GGACACTTGCCGCCGGCTCGCGCTAGGAAACACCTCTCGAAGCTCGACCCTCGACCATGAGTACTTGCACAAATTCGAAATGTACGTTGGTTGATTGGATAGGGAAGGTAAAGGCCAAGGCTCTTATGTTACCCGGTCCACCCACCCACACCCAAATCCTGAAGATCTGGTTCGGGAGGTGACCCGCGGAGTTGGGTCTGTGGGCGATCGCGACTTGCCGCCGGTTTGATCTGGGAAATACTCGAGAGCGTCCCTTGCTTCGTGTCCCTTGCTTCGTGTTTGTCCGTCCGTTCGAAGCTGGCCAGGACTGCAGTCTGCGAGGGTAAGCTTAAGCCTGGCACACTGCACCGATTTTAGTGGAGATGATAGACAGGGCAGATCAACGCTGCCGCCGGCTTGGACTAGGAAACGATGAATTCAAGGTATGTAGGACCTTCAGCCATTTAAATAATTAGGTATGTATTTCTCTTCGTGACGACACGTCGTTCGCTGTCCGCGTCGATTTCGCAGTTCCCTAGCTCTCACCCACAACTCCTGGACCGAGTCCGAGCCAGGACTGGCACGAAGCTGAAGCTGAACTTCCTTCCTGGATACATACAATTCACGAAGCAAAGGGTCGAGGACGCCGTGGGCGACCGAACTTGAATACGGGCGATAAATAGAAGGCGCTGACGGGAGGAGTATGACTAGTGCGAGGCCGCCAGTAAGTACCTACACCCTCCCGAATCTACGACTACCCTGCGTACTGAATCTACCGTCACCTTCTGAATCCGAACCCGTGGAGATACGACGATGCGGGGAACTTGCCGCCGGCTTCGTTAGGGCTCGAAGCGAGTAACGAAGCTGGACCCTTACTTCCCTTCCCTTACTTTACATTGCCTTACCTCACCTTAACTTACCTTACGGCCGATGCTACTTGACGTTGATTGGGCGATGGCGATGGCGATTTGACCTCGTCGATCACTTCCTCCATCTCCACTCGGTGCTGGACCATACCCAATCCGACTGAAAGATCCACCGCTCCATCCAGGCGAAGGTTCGGAATTCAACGCCCGGTAAGATTCAATATACCTCAAACATGAATTCGCCACGCCCTAGCAAGTCCCTAAGCCCCTGAATTCATCAAAGTAAAAATAGGCGCCCTATTGCGGGCCTAGGCCTTGGCCTCTACTCTGATCATGAGATGAATTACAACTTTCGATGAACTTTCGATGAACTTTCGACCGGGTTGGGCCGTGGACTCAGGACTGTGGGTCCACTCGGGAAAGTGCGCCAGGGTAAGTGGGGCAGGGTAAGTGGGAAGGCATGCATGGTGCCGCTGGGTTGGAAATACGAACCTGGAAGGAGAGGTTGGAGTGCTGGTTTGGAGTATGTACTTGAGCGGTACGAGAGTTCCGTTCATTCGCTGTCAATATAGTTCCATGGATTCATGGATCCATAAGGGACGAAGGGAGGTCTGATCTATGAAAGGTCTCGAAAGGTCAAGAGACTGAGTGGATAGATGGGCCTACACCCACACCGTCGCTTTCATTTCACAATTCACGACAGAAGATAAGCATCACACGACACAACGCGATGGGAGAAGATACGACAAGTCGGAGGTGAGCCAGGTATGGATAAACTACCAAATTCGAAAGCTCCAACTTGAGGATGCTATAGAGGACGAACGTGCGCCCCAAACCCATCTTACACACAGATTCGAAAATACAGCAGTATAGTAAACCCTGCAGCTGATGATATTATTTCGTTTTCACTCGGACTCGAATCCGGAATGAATGAATTACACACCAGATGAATTCGAAATCTCCAATACTACTCCTTCCCTTCACTTCACAGTCACACTGCGATCCTGCGATCCTGCGGCAGAAGCACCAAAATGCCGCACGCTACGTACGATCGCGAAATTGACGTTCGACGTTCGACGTTCCAGACCGTCATTCCTAATTGACAGACCCATGAATTGAGATATACTTAATTTAATACATACGTATAAGCTTGCCTACGGCACGGCCTTATAAGCGAAGCGATCCCATACTATTGAGTCCCAATTGTCGTTGTGTAGGAAGTTCGGAGGGATGGGACGGGAATGGTGAGGAAGGGAAGGGTGGGACGGGAAGGGGTGACGTTAACGGGACAATGGACTTGTCGTGGTATGAGATGGACGCTTCGAATTCGGGCGGGAACATGGACATTTCGGGCGGGAACGATCCATAGGGATCAGGTTTAGAGCAGGGCAGAGTGTTATCAGGGAGATCAGGACGAAGGGAGAAGAGAGAAGGGCGAAGGGCGAAGGGAGATCAGAGCGAAGGTGAGGGTAAGGGCTAAAGCGCTAAAGGCCAATCAGAGATGGGGCGAATGTAATCGTTCCTCGTACGTATAGAGCAAAGAACGATGGCGATGGCGATGGCGATGGCAATTATAGCTCTGAGGCGTGATACGCATCGATGGCAATGAACAAGGAGATTTACTTAGAATTCGGATTCCGGGACGATCTACCTTCCACAGTCCACAGTCCAACGCTCTGTTACTTACGACAGCTGAACGCAATGAATAAGGGAATGATCGGCCTAGACGCTAGACGGGATGAACTGCGCGTTGCGTAAAATACAAAGATACTCGCAGATGGAGGGTAAGTAGGCGCCGGGGGGAGGGAGACTCTCTCTTGCCTTTCGCGGCTTTCTTTTGAAGTTCGCGGGTGTTTCTAGAATGTGTAGGTCTTGGATCGCGGATGGGGATCGCGGCAAAGGATGAGTGGGGAAGACTCAGGCTCCGGGTCGGGTGCTTAGGACGACGACGATGCAGGGGAGGGTCAGAATATTTAGATTGACAGCGAGGGGTTAGAATATGACGACGCGGGGATAGACACAGACGTACCGCTCGCACGACTTTGCCTTACTTACACTAGGCGCTGGGCTCGTTGACAGAGACGCAGGACACAGGACATCGAAGCTCGCCTCAGCGTCACTGTCTGTCTCGAGTGGAGCTGGGAAGCTACTAGGGATGGGAAGCTAGGGGATATGGGATGGGAAAGGGGATGGGATAGTAAGCGGGGAAGGTGGGAAGATGGGAAGGGGAAAGGGGATGGCACAGGGATGGCAAGTCCCGAGAGCCGCGAGGGACCGAGCGAGGAGCGCTGCGCCCGAAAGGAAGGTAGGAGCCAACAATCCTGTCCTAGCGCGAGCGCGAGATAATGGGGCGTGCAGGGAAGTTGGGACTGTGCAGGGAGAGTTAGAGTGGGAGAGTGGGAGAATGGGAGTGGGAGGGTGAGAGTGGGGGAATGGGAGTGTCCGAGAAGAATCGGACTCGAAATCGGATTCGAAATCGGGTTCGGAGAGAGGGAAGATTTTGTGGAAAGGGTAAGATTTTGGTGCCGAACGACGGGAGGAGAACCGTAAACGTTAACGGGAAAGGCAGGATGGGTGAAATTACATATGTACTAGTAACTTAGTGGGATTATGGATCCAATGCTATCGTCAAGGGCACAAGGAACGGGAAACGGTTGACGAGGAGCTGGGGGCTACTTAGAGTAGGGGCGGAGGTGGAGGCGCAACGAGACGCGACGAGAGTCCGAGACGAATGTGGAGGCGAGGCGCAGTGCTGTGCTGTGCATGGAGGGGCCGATACGGAGGCCGACACGGAGGACCAAGACACGCCGACACGGAAAAAAAAACAAAGAGACGCACAGGAAAGGAGAAGAAAGAAAGGCAAAGAGAAAAGATAAAGAGAAGGACGCGTCGGAGGGGAGGAGCGTCCGAGATGGATGGACGGGGCTGGGCGCTACAAGCGAAATGTGGGAGGCCTGCGTAGTCGGTGAAGGACGACTCCAGGGTGTGCGAGAGCACGATATCGGTGCTGGGTAAGACGAGAGTGCGATGCTGGGTGCGAAGTAGTAGGTACTAGAGCGCGATACTGGGTAAGACGAGAGCGCGACGGGCGACGACGGGAGGGTGCTAGGTGCGAAGTATGTAGGCTAAGGTGGAGGTGCGCGTGGTGTGGCGTACGTGCAGTGGGAGTTTGCGGAGGACGCGTAGGCGTACTGGGCGATCTGGATCATCTTAGCTATGGGATAGGATGGGACGAGTCTCGAGGGACGCGTCGATGGAACTTCTCATTCCCTCCTTCTCTCCTTCTCGTTCAGATCTGACAGAGGGGAAAAGGGGGGTCTCTGGACAGTGCATCGCAGGAGAAATTGACAAAAGGAGACAGCACCAGATGGGGAAGGAAATCCGAAACTAAAAGGACCGGCACCGCACGCCCGTTGCCGGGATGGTGCGGCTTGCCGAGAGCGGCAACTGGACGACGGGCGCGGCATGTTGGCGGTGACGGAAGAGTTGGAACTTGGCACGGGAGGGTGCGAGGGTGCAAAGGAGGGTGACGAAAGGGTGCAAAGTACAAGTGGCGTGCAGGGAAATGGGAAATAACCGCGCTAAGTAAGCAAGTAAGAAAAGAAAAGAAAATCAGAAAGGATTACAAGTGAGGGTGAGATTTGGATCCAGATCTGGGTGCAAAATGATTCATGAAAGGGGAGACCACCGCGCCGGATCGACCGGTGGGACTGACCAGCGTTGGTGGGCGTTCATACAGAGGATCATACGCTGCGCGCGTGGGCTGATCTCATCCAGAGATTCAATGCGCGCAGACCGACTCTGCGTCTGAGAACTTGGAAGAGATTCGCGAACGAGATGCGAGATTGAGAGGCCCTGGGAGTCCGAGTCGGACTGCAAGTGAGTGACGGTGACGGTCCCAGGTCCATGATCGCATCGAGCCCCTTCGCTCAAACCCAAACCTGCAGCTGAACCCAGACCCTGAACGTACGGTTACGTTTGGACGTATGAACCTGCACGGGCGTATGAGCGAGGGATATCAGTCATAATACCAAGAGGAGGGAGGAGGGAGGGGCTCTCTCTTTTGCCTTTTGGTTCTGCTCTACTCGCTCAGTGTTCTCTTCTGATTTAGTTCTTGCACACACACGAGTCGAGACAAGACGAGAAGAGGAGAGAATGGACGCTGCCAATGCCAGCTCCAACACCAACGCCAACGCAAGCAGCAACTCGCCCGCGAACGCGAGCACGAGCACGGGCACGAGCGCTCCCCTGTACGCACCCTCTCCCATCTCTTCCTTCTCCTTCACGTTCCTGACTCCCTCCCCCCCCTTCTACCTCCATGCAGGCAAATACGCTCGCGGGTAACCGTCGTCTGCGGTGAGGTGCGTCTCTCTCTCCCCATCCTCGTCAGACTCATCTACTCACCTATCCCACTTACCCATCCCCCATCCCACCCACACCCCACCATTCCCATACACTTACGCCTCTCCCTACGCCTCTCCCTGTCCCCTCCTCTCCCAACCGACACCGACCTCCGACCAACCCAACTCGACCCGACTCCCGACCGACAGTGCAAGCGCCTCAAACTCAAATGCGACCGCCTCCACCCCTGCGCGAGCTGCGTCAAGCGCGACACCGTCGCGCGGTGCATTTACTCGCCGGGTGCGGCGGAGAAAGTGTGCGTGTGCTCTTCCTTTCGTTCTCTGTGTGCGCTGACTGGGTTGCCTGTCCTCCGCGTTCGGTCTGTCCACTTCGCCCCTCACATCCCTGCTCTCCCCCAAACCCCTCCCACCCATCGACCCCACCCCATCCCAACGCACCAACAGCGACATCGCATCCCTCAACAACCGCCTCATGCAGGTCGAGTCCCTGCTCACCCTCCTCACCGCCGGCCAGTTCCACTCGACCTATCCGCCTGCCGCGCTCTCGAGCTCGCTCCCCGCGGGGTTCGGCTCGTCCTCGCCTGGGTTTAGCGTGAACGCTTCCCCTTCGATGGGGTTCAATTTCAGTCAGGCATTGGTTAATATGGGGATGGGCAGTCCGGCGGCGGTGGGGACGACAAGCGGCGCGGGCTTGGGCTTTGGCCAACGTGCGGGTTCGCAGTCGGGACTGTACGCTTTGCATGGTCAACATAGTCAACATCTCCAACATCCTCAATACCACCACATGCGCGCCCAAAACCACTCAAACCCAACTCCGCTTATCACACTCTCCGCACACGACCTCGCACTCGCCCTCCTCGACGAGCTACAACCCGAACTCGAGCTCGAGCTCGACAGAGATATCCACCTCGCCGCGCCGTGGCCTCCTACATCTTCCAGTCCACATACCCTCACGAATGATACGACTACGAATGCGATGAACGTCACGACATCGACAACAACGAAAACGAATTACATCAAGCTCGAGCCGCCGCCTTCCGACCTTGACCTCTACCCCACTGCTTCATCTACAGCGTACACTTCCTTTGCCGAATTCGACTTTGGCTCCTCGTCCTCGTCTTCGACTGTACGCCCTCCTTACTCACATCCTACGCAATCATATCCTGCCCATCTTCCTCCTCATCCTCCAACGAGAACACCTGGGAGGACAACACGAAAGGGAGGGCAAGCACAAGCGCAGACGAGAAGGAGACGGAGAGAAGCAAACGCACACGCACACCTCCCAGCGCTGAGCATCTACTATCCCTACCCCGGGCTGAGCGTCGGCGCGCCTGGTCCTGGGGGATCGCCTTCAGGCTCGTCTACGGTGACTGTTGGCGCTGCGTTTCCCCCTTCGTGTTCCTCTTTTCCGTTACCTTCCACCTCTGGGTCGAACTCGAGCTTGATGGCGAGCACGACAGGATCGACGTCGGCGAGCGCGTTCTCGACGCACCTGTCCCTCCCACTGTCGCACCACTCGTACGCCGAGCTCTCTTCTCCTCAACCGCCTCTTACTTCCGCACCTCAATACACTCCTCCTTCTGTCCCTCCTTCCGTCCCACATCCTTCCGTCCCACATCCTTCCACAACCCCAACTGCCTCCAGCACCCAAAGCCAATACACGTTCCCACCGCAAGTCCAGCTCTCGCCTTACCCTCAACCATCCCTGCCCCAACATCCTCCTTCTGGCCCCACTTCCACCCACCCACTTTCCTCCTCGCCGCACCCCCAACCCCAGTACCAACCCCAGACGACGGCCCCGAGAACCTCAACATACGGCGGCGGCAGACCGCAGATAACCACAGCCCTCCTCGCCCTGCTCCCGCCCCTGGGCGTATGTGAGCGGTGGTTGGGACGGGCGTGGGCGAGGGGTATCCTAAACACGAGGGTGTTGCCTCCTTTTGTGTTGGGTTCTAGCGGAGGAGAGTGGAGGACGAGTGGGAGTGGGAAGGGAAAGGGCAAGGCGAAGGAGAGGGAAAAGGAGAGGGAAGAACAGTGGAGGGCCTTCGAGAGCCGGTGTTTGCGCGTCCTTTCCTTGGGCGGCGGGTTTGGTGTCGGGGCTGCTGGGCCGTCGTCGTCGTCGTCGTCGTCCATATCTCCAACCTCTGTTGGTGCGCATGCTCGTGCGGAGAGGAGGAAGAAAGACAGACCCCGACCCCGACCCAACTCAGATCAGGAGAGGAGGGACCGACCCCGACCTAACGCTGACAAGGAACGCAAGGACCAGGAACGGAGGGACCGCAAAGAACGAGAGAGGAGGGAGAAGGAGAAGGCGCGGATGATCTATTTTGGGGGAATGCCTGGGCTGCGGAACGCCGCTGGTGGAGAGGCGTCGGTGTCGGTGTCGGCATCGTTGACATTGGTGTCTGCGCTGGAGCGCGGGGAGGGTGGGCGGAGGAGCCGGTCTGGAGATGGGTCGAGTGGGAACGGGAGTGGGAGTGGGAGTGGGAGTGGGAATGGGGGTGGGAGTGGGAATGGGGGTGGGAATGGTGGGAATAGCGGTGGGAGTGCTGGTAGTTCGGGAGGCAGGTCAGGAGAGGAGGGTAGACCGAGAGACCGACATCGAGATCGCCGGAAAAGCAGCGGTATGGAACTGGAGCTGGAAGACGCAGCGCACGAACCAGAGCACCAAGGAGCGGTTGGGCGAGGACACAACGACGAACCCGCACCAGAACTAGAGCCGGAGCCCGAACCCGAGCCCGGGTCGCTGACGTTCTTCGCCCTGCTGTGTTTCGTGCTCGCCATTGGAGCTGCGGAAGATGAAGTTGCACCAGAAAGTCACAGTGGTAACGAAACGCACAGGCACGAGTTTTTATTCGAGTTGGGGAGGCAGGTTTTGGGTGTTTGGGATACTTGCTCTTCTTCGTCTTTTGGTGGTGGTGGTGGTGGGGAGGAGAGGGAGAGGGAGGAGTACATCCTCGCGTGCGTCGTTGGGGTTGTGTACCTCGTGCGGACGGGGGCTCTTGACTCTCCATCGATCTTGAAAGAAGAAGACGCGGAGGAGGAGGGCGCGGAGAAAGACGTAGAGGAAGGAGGGGAAGACGATGCTGAGACAGGAGATGTGGAGGGCCAAATCGTTTCACTCGTACGTCTTTCTTTCTTCCCTTGCGACGGCTTCGAACCGAGGAACTGACGGTGTATACGTGCAGGTGGGCAAGATGATCAACGCAGCGCGTTCTTTAGGGCTCGATCGTCTGTCCTCTACCTCCGGCCCGGGTCCTGGTGCGACATCGTCTGGCGCTGGGAGGGACGCGAAGGGCAAGCACCCTACGAAGGGGGATAGGGAGAAGGCCAAGGAAGAGTGGAAAAGGATGTTATGGTGGGAGGTGTTGTTCTGGGATCTGTGCGTATCTTCTCTCTACAGTTCTCTTTCCTCCTGTAGAGTAAAATGCTGACGCTGAAAATAAATAGGTTCTCAGCCGACGCCCAACACCGCCCGCCTCTGGTCCCGCTCGACGCGTACCTGAGTAGTGGGCTACCGTCTTGTTCTGGCTCTCAACCTTCCTCTTCTACTTTCCCTCCATTCGACGTGCAGGACGAAGAGGAGGATGAGCCAGACAATGAAAATGAAGATGAGGGCCAAGCAGACGACGAGGACGAACCGGAAGACGAGCGGCGGTACAGACCTGTTCTGCGCTTGGACGATCGTGAGGGCGAGGGTGCTGTGGGTGGAGAAGAAAAGGAAGGCGAGGACATGGAGGAGGCCTACACCGGGGCGCGCTATCGGTGCGTTCCATTCCTTTCTGTCTTGCGTATTTGTATTCACTGGACGATGCTTATCGAAACGAACGACAGCTTAACACACCTAGCAGCCCTCATCAAAGACCATGTCGCCCGCCCCGCGTGCAGGTGCTGCGGGTACACCCTCGAGGAGGCGCTCGTGCTTGAGGGTGAGGTTGAAAGGTTCGGGGCGGGGTTGCCGGCGGGGTTGAGGTTTACTCCCTCGTCTAATACTGCTTCGCCCTTGATGCTGGGAAATGAGCAGGATGAGAGGAAGGCACAAGCGGCAGAGCTCGCGATGGTGGCGGGTCTGCTCGTCCTGATGGTCTACTGCCCGTTCGTTCTTCGGGGTCGAGGTGATAAGAGTGCAAGCGTGCCAGGACCAGGATCAGTGCCAGTACCTGAGCCAGCGTACGAGGCGAGTGTTAGGGCGGCAAGGGGTGTGTTGAGAGCAGCGAAGGAGCTCAAGTCCTTGTCTTCCTCCTCCTCCTCCTCCTCGGTGTTCCTCGACCTCTACCCACTCGACAGCACACTCTTCGAAGCCAGCGTGATATGTGCACATGCGGCGTTACACCCTCGTCCCTCGAGCTCTTTAGGCTATGCAAACGCAAACGCGGAGAGCGACAAGGAGAGAGTGGTGCTGGTGGAAGATGCCCGATCTGCACTGGACCTCCTTTCCACGCCGTCTTCGATGCTGACGGGCAAGCAGAGAAGGGTTGTTGCGGCTCTGCGGAAGCGGCTTGTGAGGGGCGTTGGCGAAGGTGTGGGCGCCGGTGGTGTTGGGGCCGGTGGTGTTGGGGCAGGTGGAGGTGGGAAGAAGATCGGAGGGTTGGGCAAGGGAAGGAAGGCGGGCGAGGTGACACCGGCGTCGACACACACAGGACTGAAGCGGAGGCGTGACGACGACGACGACGACGGCGAGGGTGGAGGTGCTGGAGGCGGTGGGAGAGGGTTTGGAGGTACGTCTTTATCTTCTTTCGAGTTCGTTCTTGTGGAGCAGTCAATACTAACGGTGGTTGTATCGTAGGTTCGGTCAACCTCCATCCCAACCCCGGAACCACGTCGACTTTGTCCTCCACATTGACATCGGCATCGACAACATCCCCAACAGTGATGGCGACAGAGTACCACTTATCAAGCCACGGAGCTGTTGGTGCTGGCGGTGGAGAGGGCATAGTGTCTGGATTTGACTTTGGCGGCGCTACGACTCATTCCAACTATCACCCTTTCCCGACACAGTATGCACCGCTCCAACTGCCGCCCCAGCTGCCTCAGCCAGACCAGGTGGGGCTGCACGGCGTTCACAACAGTCAGCAGCACAGTGGGATGATGGACATGTCCTCGTCGCAGACTCAGCAATATACGTATAGTGATCAATATCAGGGGCTGTCCTCGCCTTCTGCGTACACGCAACAACAAGGATCGCCGATGACGCACCTCCAAGGATCGACGTCGACGTCGGTGCCTGGTAATGGCATGGAGGCGGCTTCGATGCCCTCACCTTCACCTTCGACTTCTGTGGCGGATCCACACACGAGGCTCACGGATCTGGGTCGGAACTCGGGTTCTGGCGGTACCGATGCGCAACTGGAGAAGATGGACGACGTTGACACCGAGCGCGACCGGCAACGGCAACGAGAGAGGGCATGCGACCGCGGTAATTCCGACTCCAACTCCAACTCCAACTCCAAGGAAGAAAAGAGGGACAAGGACAAGGACAGGAAGCACGCGAAGACGCAGAGGACGTACCCCACCGTCGGCATTCGCGTACGCGATAGGGCGTCCAACCCGCTATTGAAGTCGCGCCAGCCAGCCGCGGTCACGGGTAGGTCGATGACGACCGCTGATACGGTCAGGGCGTATCAGGAGCAGCAGAAGAAGTTGGCTGCTGCTGGTGGGTCGGTCCCTGTGTCGATGTCTGGTCAAGGGCAGTCGTCGGCGTCGCCTGCGCAGGCGCCATCTCCTGTCCTGGCGGTGGGTGCACATGAGAGGGAGGCAACGACGTACCGGCCAAGGTCGTCGTCGCTGAGTATGGCGCAGGCCCAGTCGCAAGTCGACCAGCAGCTACCCTTTGGTCAAAGTCAGGCGTCGAGGTTCGTTATGCAGCAGCAACAACCCAGTCCACAACACCCACAGCCACCGTCGTTTGGCCCACATCCGCATTCGCAAATATTCGACCACTCGCCTTTCCCTCAGCAGTATCAGCATCAGCAGTCGCCTCTCCAGCAGTCGCCTCTTCAACCATCGCCCCTCCAACAATCGTCCCTCCAGCATCCACATCCCCACTCACATTCACATTCGCAGAGCATGTTTGCCGACACGATGGCGTACAACCCCGTCTCCAGCCCCTTCTCCAACGCCTCAAGCTCGCCATTCGCATCGACGAGCTCCGGCCCCGCTCCACATCCTTCGACGCCGACGTTTGGGTCACAACACCAGCACACGCCGCCGCTCTTTGGGCCGCCTCCTCCGCCACCTGCCCCTCCGCCTGTTGGTCCGCCGCCACCTCAGCCGCTGCAGATGGGCAGCCCGGCAATGTATTTCCAAACTCAGACCCCGAGTGCGTATGGAAGTTCGTACGGAGGTTCGCCGGCGTCGTCTGGGCCGCAGACGCATGGACACTTGGAGATCCACGGCCACGGTCAAGGTATGCAACCCGACGCGATGAACATGAGCCTGGACCAGCCGATGCTCTCTGTGCCGAGCACGCCCGTGTACGAGGTCAAGCCGGCGCTGGAGAGCTTGCAGCGTCACCACCTCTCACAGCCCCAGCAGCAGCATTATGAGCAAGACCAGTATCAACAGGCTGTGGTCCCGCACTATGACCAGGAGATGTCTGCGCCGGGCCAGCAACAGCAGCATCACCAGCACCAGTACCAGCAACAGCAAGCGCCTACAGACTCGCAGGCCTTGTGGAATCCTGGCGGCGATTTTAAGTTTGGGTATTGATTACTTTCCAGTTCGCGTTTACGACTCGGTTTGGATTAAGCACCACAACCCACCCTACTCTCATTGCTAAGAGCTATCCCCCAAAAAAACACGTCGTTCTTTTCGTTTTATTTATATCTTTCTGTTTTCGTCATCGCTATCTCTATTCTCTACGTATGTACATGCTAGCCATTGTTCTCGTGTTTCGTGTTTTCGTGTATGGTCCCCTCACTCTCACTCGCCTCGCTATCTGTGCTTTGTCTTCGTGTATCATAGTTTCGCTCTACGCTTTCTCTTGTTTTCCGTCTTTCATCTCACTCACTCACGCTCACGCTCACGCTCAGTCCTCTGTCTGTCCATCTGCTTACATCTGCGGCCCCTCTCCTACATATCTTTTTCTACTTACAAGCTACAACGGGCCGTCCCTCGAGCCTCAGCCTCGAGCCATTTGTCCATATGAGTATATACTATCACATTTCTACTCTCACACACGCATTGTTCCTGTATCCGTCATTTTCTGGTTGTTACTTCATGATGTCAAGATGCGTTTCAATCGCAGTAGATTATTGTTATCTAGAATGTGATTTTAAAGTAGTTTGAGTACGACGGGTGTTGAACGAAGCCCCTGAATGACAGTCCTATTTTGGAAATTTCTTCCTCGTTTGGGCTCAGAGGCAGTTTACCAAGCAGCCGTATGCGGTTGACGATGCGTAGGGCAGTGAAAGCATTACTCCGTTCATATAGATGATTACGTTAGAATGTTATCTGATAGTCCGAGTGTTCTTGCAGCACAATAGACATTTTTTCAAGAAGGGCCTCAAACTCTGTTCCAATGGAACGATTAGCGGGCTCTTGGTCTGCTCCAAATAGAGTGTGCGACTTGAGGAGCTCTTGCATGGAAGGAACTTTCTCTTCAAATATCTTGTGCTGTGACATATCTATCCACAACGCCACGGTGAGTACGAGAAAACTGTGGGGAAAAATGGGAGCTTACAGTTCACGCGCACCGACCTGTCATAAGCCCAGTCCTTTTGGATCATTTGAAAGGCATCCTGAGTGTGTATACGATTCAAAGGGCAGGCCTGGCAGCACTAGAAGCAAGGTTAAACCTGAGTTCTTAAAGAAATTGGCGTAGTTGGGCGGTACCTTCTGGAAAAAGTTGACAACCGGAACGTAAGCTTCCTGGCGGCTAGACCCGAGGCTGGACGCAAGAATATTGTAGTGCAAAATTTGTTGCAATACTTCCGGTGGCCACAGGAGCCTGCCGTCGTCAGTGTGGCTGTCGAAAGGTGCCCCTAACATGATTGTGTAGATGCACATTCCAAGCGACCACATGTCTGCACTCTCGTCGAAGCAGAACCATGGGACGCCACCATGACTGACATTATGCGGAAGAAAGTCTCCTTCCATGTCATACGCCAGAAGTTCCGGGGCAGAATACCCTGGCGTGATGCGAGCCTGGCTGTTCATCACAAGCGCTTTTCCGAATGTAGGGCACACTGCCCCTCCGGGCCCTGATAGAACGCGGGCGCTCCCGAAGTCAGTTATCTTGAAGAACCCGTCTCTGTCAACTAGTATATTCTCTGGCTTCAAGTCGGTATGAATGATACCAAGGCTATGCAAATGGTGCAGGCCGTTTACCTGTCAGGAACCTGCCATTAAACCTCGGGCGCTTTGCTGTGTTGGGGGGAAATGGCTTACCACATCCAATACCAAAGTTTGCAGGAGCTCTGGCTTCCACTGGTCGCATGTGTGCTTTTTGCTGGCTATGAGACCGCTAAATAGCTTCAGGAGATCTGGGCCGCAGTAATCCTGCCACTTGGGTGTTAGCAATAATTGTAAGGAAGTAATCTGAATCCTCTGAGAAGGCACGCACGAAAACCATGAAGACACTTAAGTCTTTCCTGGACCACCAAATATTATCTACATTGGACTCGAGGTCCGGTTGTTGTACAACATTGTCATGGGGGAAGGCTTGGAGTAATTTCAGCGCCTTAATTTCGTGAGCATTCCTCCACATCTCCCGAGATGATGGTTCCAGCTTGACGACCTTGAGAACCCAGAATTTATCCTTTCTTCGCCCTTTCATAACGAAGACGCTGCTCGCTTCCCCGATGGCGAGGGGTGCCACCTTCCAGACATGGTTCTCTCGGATGCGGAGGCGGCGAGTCGGAATCTCAGGTGGATTGGGCACGCCAGGAGGAAGCTCTGGAGGTCGCCTTAGATTTTCTTGATCGTCTGCAGGAGGTGGCAGTCTTGCAGAAATATCCAGCTTGCATGGAGGTACGCTGGAGTCCTTGTCCTCGAAAGGGTTGAATCGATGTTTTGGTTCCAGTCTAGTTCCCATATCCCTGCTAAAACCACGGACCATTGCCCATTGTTGAGTCGTGATCCCTCCAAAATTTCCCTGGGTGTTTAGTGTAATGGGAGACAGAAGACCCCCGCTAGACCGTCTGTGAGCGGACTCCATGCTGCTCTCCGGCGCCAGTGATAACTTCAGTGAGAATCGCCTTGGATATGGCATGGATGGGCTTGTATATGTTCAGGAAGGGATGCATGCGATAAGGAACGAGAGATCAGTAATGATTGCAGCTTTCACTCACCATCTTATACAGCTTGGTCGACACTAACTTCTGTGGGTGCTTCGACTGCGAGTTATTGTATTCAACTGGTTCAAGGACAATCGACACCAAGTCGTTGTTTTCAAGCCTTGTTCGCATTTGCGAAGGTTCCTGTGCCAGCTTTTGTTCAAGAAGAGGTGAAGGTCATATCAACAAAGACGTCGAAAGGAGGGGGGAACCACTGTGGTTGCCATGTGCACCTGGGCGTTTGTTCTTAAAGTATCAAGTAGGCGCCCAAATAAAGGTAACGTAATTGTACTTCATCAATTCGGATCATCCTCGTGAAAATCGTAAGGTAAATACTACAGACAGAAATGTAAGACTACAATACGAGTTCTTTAATATATTTCTACGAGTTCAACTCCTATACTGTAGCGTATCGTGCTCACCATATTCTAGAATGTAATCTGATAGTTGGGACGTTCCTTGAGCTTCAAGTTCATCCTGGCGAGAATTGCTTCGAATTCTAATATTACTTCATTTGCGGGAAGTAGGATGTTCTGACCGAGTAGAGGGGTATCTTCCAACATCGCAGATGGAGTACCGCCCTTATCATCCCTGCGCAATCTGGACCACTTGGTATTCTTGACGTCTGAACAAAAGGGAAAAGATGAGATCGGGCAGCATGGGTCGAGGGAAGTAGCGCACAATTCGCAAACCGTGGACGGCTAGACTCCAGGTCAGACATGCTTTCTAACTTCGCGACCAGCTGCGCTGCTTCAGGTCCATGTAAACGGGATGAGGGGAAGATTTCGAGACACTGACGACCATTTCTTTCAGTAATTTGGTGCGAAGGATCGAGAATAGATCCACCCACTCGTTTCAATATTACGACGACAGGTCTGTCCTCTTCCAGAACTGCCAAGTTGGCGCGTATGATCTCCTCCATCTCTTCAACAGAATGCTTGGCTTTGAATCCTTGGTAGAAGCAATCAGGACGGTGGCCAACAAGATCCAACACGGTCATTCCCAAGGACCAAAAGTCCACGCTTTCATCAAAGCACCAAGATTTGGTACACCTGGTGTCCAGATGCGACATGATGAGCTCTGGAGGGGCAAAATTTGGGGTTATCCCACAGCAGTGCTGCGAGCGAACCATTATTGAGGACTTCGGGCGGCCAACGGGAATGTATGCGCCGCCAAAGTCGCCAATCCTGAAATAACCAGCAACGTCGACGAAGATGTTTTCTGGCTTGATGTCTCGATGGATTATGCCGAGGTGATGAAGGTGGTTCAAGCCGTTCGCCTAATGAAGTTTGTATTCAAATCCCGCACTGCACATTGACGAATATTTCACCTACAATATCGATGATGACCACTCTGACGATCTCCCAACCCACAAGTTGAAGCTGGAAGCCGTCTGGGTCGCGGTCTCGCAACTTCATGACATCCGCAAGGTCTGCAGGATAGTATGCCTGTCAAACGAAGTTGAGCGGTCGATACGAATCTTGGAATAATTAGTTACTTGCATGGAGGGTGTAGATAGTGGCAGTCTTTTTCGACCACCACTCATACTCGAAATTTCCTCCAAGATTGGGCTGCTCGACGATATTCTGGTGAGGATGTTTTCGGAGCCTCCTAAGCGCTTTGATTTCCATCGCATGAACCCAGACCGTCTCGCGATCAGGGCTCATCCGAACAGCCTTCATAACAATCTTTTCCCCTTCATTCAGGCCTTTCAGAGTGAATACGTTCCCAAACCCGCCGCTAGCAAGAGGAACCACTCTCCAGATGTAATTGCTCGGAATACGCGGTCCTGGAGCCTCTTCTGCTCTAGATGTCGCTTCAGAAGATATTGCATCAGTAGAGGTTTTGCGCTCCAGCATAGGAAGGGTGTCAGGATGGCAGAGACCGCGGGATCCGGTTCCAGGAACAGAGAGCTTCGAAAGCGTAGAACGAGTAGAACAACTAGGCAATTCGGGCAAGGGCTTGTCCTTGAATCCGCACTTCCAAGTCTCGATTTCGAGTGTGTCAACTGAGTCGCAATCACTTTCCCTCCCCTTTTCTATTTCTTCAATGATATCTTCTTCAGGAAAGGTGGGCTCGGTCGGCGAAGAAGGAGCACTTTTGCGTCCTGTATTATTCCAACCCCATTTCCCCCGACGTATAGGGCGGGAGCTAAATCGTCTGATGAGAGTAGAACGACCAGGGAACGCGAACATGCCTGCGGCAGTGGCACGCGCAGAGTCTCCTTCTCCCCGAGTTGAGGATTTGTCCTTCAATTGCAGAAGGCCTTTGAGGGTAGTTAGACCCAGTAATTTCTCCCGTAAGCCGGGGAGCATCGAGGCGACGTTGATCGAGAGGGCAGGAGTTGACGAGAGATGGCCAGGAGCATCAGCAGTGGCACATGGCTTTGAGATATTTTATACAATCCTTTCCTGTCGTGCGCTTTGACATTTCGGCAATTGTTCTAGTGCGGGTTTAGGGGAGTACAAAAGACATAATATGTGTCATGACGATACGTACCTTACCATCAAAGAAGTCTTGTACTTTCCGGAATACGGCAGTTCGTATTAGATAGGACAAAGGAAAGAGAAACGAGTTGCTGTCAATATCGTCGTCGACTTGCGCGTACATGTGAAGGACGAATCCAAGTGGCGATGTAGCCGGTCGGAGCCGGCTTAGCGTAGATTAGATTAGATATTAGATACACATGTGGCTGTGCACGCCTGCGACGCCATCCGCACGGCCTGCTCAACGCGTTTCCGAGCCTCCGCATCCGAGAGCGGTCATCTGGCCTGCTCCAGTGAGGCCTTCCGGATTGGCTCCATCAGCCTGACCAAAGTTTATTCCGAACTATCACCGCTGATTCTCATCCAGTTCTTCATCACCAATTTTTCATCTTATCCTAATTCAACACACCACACGCCCTAAGTAGCGCGACTTGGATCGCCGTCGTCGGACTCGATGAACTTGGACACAGCGGCAGCGATTATTAGAAGTACTGCTCGTCAGACGATGGAATCGGAATAACTCCAGTCGACGATTGAGCTTAAGCTTGAGCTTGAGGCCTTGAGGGATACATGAAGGACACATTTGTGAGTCATTCATCTCGTCTTCTACTTTTTCTTGAAGCCTCTGACGTCTCTTGCCAGGGAATACCTTCAAAGATGGAACCGAACGCGTACCCCAGAGTACCACCCTTCACTTGGGAGCCGGTTGAACCGCGGAAGCCTCTGCCCATCTATCCACCTCCAGAGCCATTAGAAAGCCCGCCAGCTCTCCCTTCACCTCCCAGGAAACCGATATTCGACGCTCCATATACCCTTTCCACCCATATATTCCCGGCAGCGTACCTCAGGAGCACCAGACTCGTTCCGGAGCCTCCTTCGCCTCCCTCAAATGCCTCCAAGGCGGAGCGAAAGCGCGTCATTGCTGAAGCACTTAGACAGCTGACTGCGTTACGCACGAGCAGAGTGACCGAAGGATATCCTAGGCTGCTGTGGAATTGTGTCAACCGATATGTGAAGAATGGGTTGAACGAGTCGAACCGGACAGGGGCCACTCTGTTCTTTGTGCATGCAAATGGCTTTCCGAAGGAGGTGCGTTATCTTTTCATACGGAGAAATCTTCAGAATCAATTTGATCTCCCTGTAGATTTGGGAGCCTACCCTTGGCCTTTTGTTAGCTTCACCCACCGCAGGTTTTATCGACGAAGCGTGGTGCTGGGAATCCGTTCAACACGGGGATGCAGCTCTGCTTAACGCGCACATGGCATCAGGGATCTGTAAGTCTTATCCCCTGTGCTTCCTTGCTTTCCCTGTCCACCTAACGATTGTATTTCTGTCCAATTGACTGGCAGGATGACGGACGCGACATCGCCAACTTCCTACTTCACTTCCTTCCCTGTGCAGCGACATCAGTCGCTCTACCTACTCATTTACCTCATGTTCCTCGTGAAGAAACAGACCACCGTATCAAGAATGGGTACAAGAACCGTAAATTCGTCGCTGTGGGGCATTGTTACGGTGGATGCATCTCGTAAGCCCATCTCGACATTTGGTTATCCAATTCGTAAGGCTGACTCCATTTCTAGTGCTTTAGCTGCTCATCTCTACCCAACACTCTTCAGTGCTCTCATTCTCTTGGACCCCGTCATTTCCAAGCCGTTCGAGCACGAACCCAAGGGTGCTGCTTCGGCCCTCAACAGACAAGAGACTTGGTCCTCCAGGTCGGATTTCCCCCCCAAGTCCAACACTTCGCTTCATCTGATACCTTGATTGTTCTTCCAGAGAAGTCGCTTTTCAATACTTTAAATAAAACCCCTTCTTCCAGGTCTGGGACCCTGCCGTCGTACAGATCTACGTCGACTGCGCTACATACATCAGCAAAACCTGATTTTTCTATGGGTGCTACATGGTGCTACACAGTGCTGCATTGCTAATCACTGTCACCATGCAGAAGAGAACCCTTGCTATGGCTCTATGGAGTGCTAAGTAGCACCATGCAGCTTTGCATAGCTGCCCAATTTTGATGTTTTTGGCCTAAAAAAATCAGGGTTTGCTGATGCTATCTTACGAAGGACACCTCAGGCAAGGAAGCCGCAAAGCTGAAGATGACCAGCATGCAAGAGGCCGTCGCCTTCTCGGATGTCCACACACAGTACGAGGTGTTCCAGTGTATGGTCACGCTGGATGAGCGCATCTCGCTGAGGTGGGTCATGCCCGGGCGGCCTGGCACACCGGAGATTGGGGGCCCCGGGGCGTCGAAGTTCCGCGTGTGGGTGCGCCCTGTGAATTCGTCGAATTGTCAGATCGAGGGTGCTGGGCATTTGGTATGTCGTGCAATGGCTTTGTTTGGATAGGGTTAGGCTGACTATACATCTTGGATGTGATAGATCCCACAGGAAGCACCACAGGAGCTTGGTACGTCCTTGGGTGCATATTCGCAACTATAAATGCTAATTCCTGCACATAATAGCTCAAGAACTCTCAAGATATTTGTTGTACCTCTTCTCGACTCCGACGTCCTACCGGAAGGCTAATCTATAATGGAAATCCACACTCTAGATGTAGAGACTTTGCACCTCTTGATTTTTGAACGTTTTCAATGTGTTTACGCTATGTTGTGCTTGATTTCGAATAGGAAGTGTGCTCGAGCTTGAAAGGATTTCACTTCATCTGGCACACGAACTGGTACAATTATCTCGATTCGAGGTTGCAGAAGTACAGAGGTTTTGCGCTCCAATACACGGAGTTTTCTTCTTTACGTATAGCGAGCGTTGGGTTGGTACCTGATGGTTTACTAGGAGGGGTTATATGTAATGGTAGATGATTATAGGAGATAGGGCCTTGGAATGCCCGTATGCAGTTTTGGCACTTTGGTCGGTGATGGGCGCCTATCAAATCTCGCGTGTTCGACATTCGCGAATATCAGCACATCAGAAAATTGAATTCTTGAGGAATCCTAGAGACTGAGAATCTTGAAATTGAGAGATCTCAAGGATCCCTGAATACTTTATTGCCGGGTTTTCTCTAGGATAACTATGTTTTACTTCGGATTTTAACTCGCGGAGAGAGTCACTTGTGAAAGTCAGAGGTTTTTTCTTTCATTTATATTTTTGTACCATCGCTCAGGTTATCTCTGTTACTTACATACCTCTACACCGTGTATGCATGCTATTTAAGCGGCCATTGTTCTTCTGTTTCGTGTATGCCGTCCTCATTTTCACTCTCACTCTCACCCTCCTCGCCATCGACATCGATATCTGTGTCTCGTGTTCGTGTATCATAACTTTCGCTACTCTCATCTTTGTGTTTTGTGTTGTTCGTCTCACTCACTCTCTGTCTGCTGATATGGGCCCTCTCCATATCTTTTTTTCTGGGTAGTACGATGTACGGGCTGTCTCTCGAGATACTATGTCAACCGCCACTCTCGTGCATCTGTCATTTTCTGGATGGTATTTCTGATGCCAACGTGCCGTTCGAGCATATCAAGTTGTGTTTGTTGCTATAGGTAGTACACCGGAATATTTCAAAGCGGCTCGGTGTGTCCTTCACTGGGTAGAGAGCCCCTGAAAGGTCGACTCCGATTTCGGGAAAAGTTTCCTCATTGGGACCAGGGCTAGGTTGCTACTGAGCGATTTTCGCCGTTTCGGCGTTCAATGGTATCATTTTGAGGAGTCATATTGATTTAAATTAGAGATTGGGTTGGGACGACCGTCATGGAACGCTTCTCGTGAGTTCCTGGATTCTGTGAGATTCGAGTGAGATTGGGCATGGGAGTCCGAGTCGGGGTGACGGCATGGTGGTTGCGGTGACACCCCACGAGCCTGAACCAGGTCCATGATCCATCGGGTGGCGAGAGCCCCCTGCCCTGGATGACGAAACCCAAAATCAAACCTGCATCGGTGTACTCGTAGGAACGAGGGTTATAATACCAAGAGGTGAGGAAGGGAGGGTGCCCCATTTCGATATCGCCTTCGCCTTTCATTTGTTCTGGCAGTGGAAAGGTTAGCTCGCTCGCTCCCTCAAGTCGTCTCCTCCTCGTCTCCTTCCTACACTGCGAGACGGTACGAGAGGTCCATCCCGAGAAGAGGATGGACGATGCGAGCTCGACGCACCACTCCAATGCGAATCCCAACTCCAACACCAGCGCCCACACCAACGTCGGCACCAATGCCAATAACAGTCCGAACGCCGGCACGGCCGCGAAGGCTCCGCGGTGAGCACGCTCTCTTCCTTCCTGCCATCGCTGATCTCTTCCCACCTCTCATCTCCATCTCCTCGCCTCGTCTCTTCTCTTGTTCCACCCACCGCCCTTGCAACCGTGTCCTCGTCCTCGGCCCAACATGAACCGTGTAGGCAAGGCCGCTCGCGGACGACCGTCGTCTGCGGTGAGGTAAGTCTTGTCTCGTGCTCGTGCTCCAGTCCTCCATCCAGCCTCCCACGAAAAGAAACTCACGCAACCCAACAGTGCAAACGCCTCAAGCTGAGATGCGACCAGCGGCACCCGTGCGCGAGCTGCACGAAGCGCCGCACCGTTGAGAGATGTATCTACGCCCCGGGCGCGGCTGAGAAAGTGTGCGTCCTCGTCTGTTGTGCCGCTGAGGCTGTATGTATCGTCTTTGTTGGCTAACCTGTCCTTACCCTCTTCCTTCCTCCCCTCGTCTACCGTTCGCTCATCTTGCCACACCCACCAACCGACATCTACGACCATTGCCAACTGAACTACACCACACCGACATGACCCACGAAACAGCGACGTCGCCTCCCTCAACAACCGCCTCATCCCAGTCGAAGCTCTGCTCACCCTCCTCACCGCCGGGCAGTTCCAGTCGACCTACCCGCTCGCGAACCCAGCTGTAGCGCTGCCGGTGGGGTTTTCGTTCGACCCAGCGTCGTTCAGCGCGTTACTCAACAGCTTGTTGACCTCGTCTGGGTTTAACCCGTCCACGCCGGAAGCTGCGACGTCGAGCGCCACGCAACACGACGCGCGTAAACACTCTCAACACCATAGCTATACCCACAACCACCACAACCACCAAGCGAGCCTGCGCCTCCATGAGCCTCGACATACGATATTCCTGTCGGCACACGACCTCGCGCTCGCCCTCCTCGAGGAGCTAGATCTCGACATGGATTCCGACCCCGGCACTGCATTTACGACAGACACGACGACCGACACGAACATGACGATTATGGACACGACACCGACAACGACGAACAGTAATACGAACACGAACTACATCAAGCTCGAGCTCGACCCCTCTTCCTCTACCCATCACACTTCCTCTTCCTTCGTCTCTTCCCCCTCCACCGCCTACCAACCCTTGCACGAGTTCGACTTCCGGTCCAGCACGTTGCGTCCTAATACTCATCTCCTGCTTCCAACACGAACGAAAAGCCAAGCACAAAGACAAAGAAGAAGACAAGCCCAAGCCCACCACCTCCTTCCAGCGCTGAGCATATACTACCCGTCGAGCATCGGTTCAGCGTCCGGTTTAGCGTCAACCCCACTGGCAACTTCAGCATCATCAGCGTTCGACGACCTCGCCTCTCCTCTACCTCCTTCCTCCACCGCAACGCCTACCACCACATCTACCTCCAATCAATACACCTTCCCACCGCAGGTCCGGCTCTCGCCTTACCCCCAACCTCCCCCCGCCCCCGCTTTCTCTTCTTCCTCTACTTCTGTCCACCTACTTTCCGGCCCGTCTCAAATAGGCCAGACGACGGCCCCGAGAACCCCAAGACCGAGCACAAGCACAAGCACAAGCACAAACCCACAAATAACACCAGCCCTCCTGTCGCTCCTCCCTCCGCGGGGGGTATGTAAGATATGGTTGGGACGGGCCCGCGTTCTCCTGGAGGCCAGGATCGGGGTGCTGTTGGCGTTCTCGTTGAGTGGAGGAAGGAGGAGTGGAGGAACAGAGAGGGGTGGGAAGGGCAAGGCGACGGAGGGCAAGAAAAAGGAGGACGCCTGGCGGTCGTTTGAGAGCCGGTGTTTGCGGGCCCTATCTACCACCTCTGGGTTCGGGCACTCCTTTTCATCTCCATCTCCATCCTTAACCTCGGCGCCACCATACCTACACGCCCATCCGCCGACGCACGAAAGGAAACGTACCTACAAACCGAATGGAGACAAAGAGAGGGACAAGAAAGAACGAGAGCGGAGGGAGAAGACGGAGAGAGAGAGGAGGGAGAAGGAGAAGGCGCGGATGATTTACTTGAAGGGTATGCCCGGGCTGCAAACCTCAACATCTATACCGTTGTCTGCGTTGGAACGGGGGGAGGGGGGTAGGAGGAGTGGGTCGAGTGCGAGTGCGAGTGGGTCTGGTTCTACCTCTACCTCCGGTAGACGACGAGAGCGGGACCGGCGCTCCGAACGCAGAGACCCAGCGCACGGCGCCGACCCAGGCGACCCAGGAGATGAACCAGGGCAACAAGAGCAAGAACACGAACCCGAATCCCTCCCGTTCTTCGCACTTCTATGTTTCGTGCTCGCCGTCGGGGCGTCCTCTCCTGCTTCACCCTCGTCTCCGTTGGAAAGTGGTAACGAGCCGCACACGCATACACCTGGGTTTCTGTTCGAGCTTGGGCGGCAGGCTTTGGGTGTGTGGGATACTTGCTGTCCTTCTTTCTCTTCCTTTTCGTCTTCGTCTTCGGCTGGTGGTTTGGGCAAGGAGAGGATGGAGAGGGAGAGGGAGGAGTACGTCCTCGCGTGCGTCGTTGGGGTGGTTTACCTCGTCCGGGCGGGGACTATCCAGCGTCCTTCGTTTGGTGTGGAAGATGCGGATGATGATGATGAAATGGATAGAGGAGAGGCAGGGGACGCAGACGCGGAGGGACAAGTTATTGCACTCGTACGTCTTTTTTCTTTCCTTTCTCTCTTTGTCTGTCTGACGGTCTCTGACCGTGTTCAGGTCGGCAAGATGATCAACGCAGCGCGTTCTTTAGGACTCGACCGACTCTCATCCCCATTCTCATCTCTTCTCTCCGAGTCCGAGTCCAGGTCGAAGGGCAAAGGCAAGGGCAAAGGCAAACACCCCATGAAGGAGGATGGGGAGAGGGAAGAGTGGAAAAAGATGTTATGGTGGGAGGTGCTGTTCTGGGATCTGTGCGTGGTTTTTCCCTGCTTTTCTCTTTCCTCCCGTAGAGTAAAATGCCGACGCTAAAATCAAACAGGTTCACAGCCGACGCCCAACACCGCGCGCCCCTCGTCCCGCTCGACGCCTACCTGAGCAATAGTTTACCCTTTTGTGCTGGCCTTCAACTTTCCTCGACCTCGGAAGCCCAGGACGACGACGAAGGTGATGAGGATGAGGACGAAGGTAATGAGGGCGAAGCAGACGACGAACATGATGAAGAAAACGAAGTGGAAGACGAGCGGAGATACAAGCCTGTGTTGCGGTTGGACGAGCAAGCACAGGCGGGTGGAGAGGAAAGAGACGAAGAAGCAGATGGTGGTTTGGACATGGAGAAGGCCTACGCTGGGGCGCGCTATCGGTACGTTCCATTCCTCTCTGTCTCGTTATTCTGATTCACTGGACGATGCTTATCGAACCCACGACAGCCTAACACACCTAACGGCCCTCATCAAAGACCGCGTCGCCCGCCCGTCTTGCAGCTGCTGCGGGTACACCCTCGAGGAGGCCCTGGCGCTTGAGGGTGAGGTTGGGAGGTTTGGGGCGGGGTTGCCTCCTTCCCTTCGTCTTTCACCCACATCCTCCTCGGCGGAACTCGCGATGATGGCGGGTCTGCTCGTCCTGATGGTCTACAAGCCGTTCTTACTCCGGGGTCGGGGTGGTAAGGACGCGAGCGTGCCAGGATCGGCGCCAGTGCCAGCACCTGGGCCAGCGCAGGAGGCGTGTGTTAGGGCAGCACGGGGTGTCTTGAGGGCTGCGAAGGAGCTCAAGTCCTTGTCTTCCTCCTCCTCCTCCTCTTCTCCTTCGGTGTTCCTCGACCTCTACCCACTCGACGAGACACTCCTCGACGCCAGCGTGATATGCGCACACGCGGCGTTACACCCACGTCCCTCATCTTTAAGCTCTTTCGGCTATGCAAACACAAACGCGGGAGACGGCAAGGAGAGAGTGGTGCTGGTGGAGGTTGTTAGATCTGCGCTGGACCTCATCTCCGGGCCCAACACCAGCTTGACGGGCAGGCAGAGGTGGGTTGTGGAGGGTCTGCGGGAGCGGCTTGTGAGGAGCGTTGGCGAAGGTGCGGGTGCGGGTGGTGGTGTCGGAGCAGGCGCGAGTGGGAAGAAGAGCGGAGGTGCGAGCAAGGGAAAGAAAGCGGGCGAAGTGACCCCGACGCATACGGGGCTGAAGCGGAGGCGTGAGGACGACGACGATGAAGGTACTGGTGGTGGTACTGGGAGTGGTGGTAGGGGGTTTGGAGGTGCATTCTTTCAAGTTCGTCCGTGTGGAGAAAGTGCTGACGGTGGTCGCATCGTAGGTTCGGTCAACCTCAACCCCAACCCCGGAACCACGTCGACTTTGTCCTCCACATCGACATCGGTATCGACAACATCCCCATCCCCAACAGTGATGGCGACAGAGTACCACCTATCGAACAACGGGGCTGCTGGCGCTGGCGGTGGGGAGGGCATGGTGTCTGGATATGACTTTGGCGGCAGTAGCGGTAATCCAACTACCTCTCAATCCCTCTATAACCCTTTTCCGACACAGTACGCCGCGCTTCAACTGCCGCCCCCGCTGCCTCAACCAGACCAGGTGGGGCTGCACGGCGTTCACAACAGTCAGCAGCACCACAGTGGGATGGTGGACATGTCCTCGTCGCAGACTCAAGAATATGTCTATAGTGATCAATATCAGGGGCTGTCCTCGCCTTCCGCGTACACGCAACAACGAGAACTTCATCAGCAAGGATCGGCGGGGATGCCGCACGTCCAAGGATCGACGTCGGTGCCTGCTTCGATGCCCTCACCTTCGACTTCGACTTCTGTGGCGGATCCACACATGAGGCTCGCGGATCTGGGTCGGAACTCGGGTTCGGGTGGTGGTTTGTCGGGCCCGCGCTCTGCCGGTGCTCGTGCCGGTGGGCAAGTCGAGAAGATGGAGGACGACGCTGAGCGGCAACGCGAGAGGGCTAGGGATAAGGACCGCGAGCGGGGTGATTCCAACTCCAAACAGAAGGACAAGGATAAAGACAAGGTCAAAGACAAGAAACATGCGAAGACGCAGAGGACGTACCCCGCCGTTGGGATCCGCGTGCGCGATCGGGCGTCGAATCCGCTCTTAAAGTCGCGCCAGCCAGACGCGGTCACAGGCCGGTCGATGACGACTGCTGATACGGTTAGGGCATATCAGGAGCAGCAGAAGAAGTTGGCTGCAGCTGCTGCCGGTGATAGGTCGATGTCTGGGCAAGGGCAGGGACAGTCGTCTGCGCCACCTGCGCAGGTGCCGTCTCCTGCTGCAGCGGCGTATCGGTCAAGATCGTCGTCGTCGAGTATGGCCCAGACGAAACAGATTGACCAGCAGTTTCCTTTTAGTCAAGCGAAAGCACAGTCGAAGTTCAGTGTGCGGCAACAACAGCCTCAACACTCACAGCCGCCTTCCTTTGGCCCACACCCTCATTCGCAGATGTTCGAACACTCGCCTTTTTCCCAACAGCATCAGCAGTCGCCTCTCCAGCAGTCGCCTCTCCAGCAGTCGCCTCTCCAGCAGTCGCCGCTCCAGCAACTGTCGCTCCAACACCCGCATCCTCATCCACATTCACAGAGCATGTTCACCGACACGATGGCGTACAACCCCGTCTCCAGCCCGTTCTCCAACGCCTCGAGCTCGCCGTTCGTGTCGACGAGTTCCGGCCCACATCCTTTGACACCGACCTTCGGCTCGCAGCACCAGCATCAGCCTACGCCACCATTTTTTGGCCCTCCTCCGCCTCCACCGCCGCCCCCACTACAGACGAACAGCCCGGCAATGCATTTCCACCCTCACACTCCGAGTGCGTATGGAAGCTCGTGTGGAGGGTCGCCAGCGTCGTCTGGTCCGCACTCACAGATGCACGGGCATGGTCAGGGTATGCAACTCGACAACATGAGCCTGGACCATGCGATGCTCTCTGTGCCGAGCACGCCCGTGTACGAGGTTAAGCCGGGGTTGGAGAGCTGGCAGCGTCGCCATCTGTCGCAATCCCAACACCACCAGCAAGGCCAGATGCTGCAGCAGTATCATCATGACTCAGTGGGCCCGCAGTATGACCAGGAGATGTCTCTGCCAGCTCAGCCGTACCAGCAGCAGCAATATCAGATTGAGTCGGGTATGGCGATTTCGTCGCCCTGGTCGGCTCAACCGCACCAGCACCAGCACCAGCAACAACAACCGTCAACAGAATCCCAGCCTTTCTGGAATCCTGGCGGCGATTTTAAATTCAATTGACTACCAGTTTACGACACCGACACGCCTTTATGACGACTTGGATTAACGACTACAAACCCCTACTCTCCCTCCTATCCCCAAAAAATCGAGGTTTTTTTCGTTCATTTACACTTTTCCGATGTGTTTTCATTATCGCTATCTCTACTCTCTACATATGCTAGCACACTGTTCTCATGTTTTGTGTACGGTCCTCTCACTCACCTCGCTATCTGTGCTTCGTATTCGTGTATCATAGTTCCATTTGCTTTCATCTCCGCGCCTTCTGTTTTCTGTTCTTTTATCACACAACACACACCGTCTGTCTGTCCGCATCTCTGGGCCCACCTGCATATCTTTTTCACCTAGTATAACGGGCCATCCCTAGAGCCTCATTCTCGAGTCATTCGTCCACATGAGCATTTGCTATTGCATTTCTACTCTCATACACGCATTGTTCCTGTATCCGTCATTTATGGTTGTTACTTTACGATTTCAAGGTGCGTTTCAAGCACAGTAGACCGTTGTTGCAGTGGTACACTAGAATGTGATTTGAAAGAGTTTTACTTGAGCACCACAGGCATTGAACGTGGCCACTGAATGACACTCCTATTTCGGAAATTTCTTCCTCCTCCGAAGCGGTTGACCGTGCGAGGACGTTCCGTTATTCGAAAGTCCGAGCTGTCTGAGCCGTCCGAGTCATATTAGTCACCATTACATAATACATACAGCCACGCCAACAGCTTGGAAAGGCCTTTCTGTTACCTGTAAGTCTAATCAATAGACTTTCGTAGCATGCATCGACACTACATTGGATGTTATCTATTTTGTTTTTGCTCTATTCAGGCGATTATTAATTCAAAATTGTTGAATTGGCCACTATCCAACGACAAGAGGAAAAGGTAGGCTGTATGTACGACCTGCTCGTTGTGTCTACATAACGAGCCAAGAGGGACAAATGGGCATCAACATGCGCATAGGCGCGGCTGACAGGAGTTGAGTCCTTGAGGTAACCTTCGTCAGATGCCCCGCAAGGGGCCTACAGAGCAAGAAAGTGGTCGTCGGGCTCTAATTGACTGGAGAAAGGCTGAGCGGGCGAGATCGACTGCGGCACATGAGGAGGTTACAGGCAGAGGCGATGTGATGAGGCCTCGCGGACGACCGAATCTCGGGCTGGAGTTTGAGCATGCGAGGGCGGCGGGGCGGAAAGGGGCGAGAAATGCTGAAGATAAACATTAGAACACGAAAGAAGGCGGGCGAACCTTAGCGTCACGCTACCAGCTCCCCCTTCAGTCCGCCGCCGTTCTCCAAGGTGTCTCGAAGTGGGTATACAAATGATCAATGAGGTCGCAGGTCGGTCTTCCTCACGACTCCGAGTCGTATGGAGACGCGAAAACGCGACTGAGGTTCCCATTCTCGTTGGACGACGCCTCCATGGGACCTCTTCGAGACAGTTGGGACAAAAGTGTGGCGTGAGCGGTTGGGCGAGTTTTGTCGAACATGGCGCCGGGAGGTAGATGGTTGAGTCGATGTCGAGAAATGCACCGATGACGTCAATTTCCACAAGGAGTTCTTCAAAATGATAGGAAACTCACTTTGGTCAGAAAGAAAGAAAATACAGGAGGTGTCGCAGAGGATTGCAGAGGGCGGGCTTGGGGCGGGGAGGGCGTGGAGATGGAGGGGCAGACGTTGTGGCAGGACTAACGTGTGGGCCCGGAGATTCGTCGCCGGGGCAGCCGAATTCCCACAGGTGCCTTTGTCAGCAAAGGGTCAGACGGGTCAGACGGGGCAGACACTTGGACGGCTCGGACTTTCGAATCCCGGAACTTTCTGGACCGTGCGGCTGATGACACGTAGGGCAGCGAAAGTATTGCACCATTTATACATATAATAATAAAACGACTCTTTTGGTTGAATGTCAACCTAAGCCACAGTACAGGGCGCGAAAGTGAACTTCGAAAAGACACTTTATTTACTCTCATAGGACAACAGTAGACAATGTTATGCTGCGACCGACAGCGTTTCTATCGGCGCAGCAACCCGAGACGATTCCTGAGCAGGCGATCCTCCTGTTCGCGATCCTCGTCTGTCCACTCTCCCGGGCCCAGAGCTAGATTAAAGTCAATTAGCCTGTACCCCCCTTCATGGCCTTCTGTCGATGCAAATTGGACATGTCTCGGGTCGAGGTCTTGGTGAAGCACACCTGCACGGTGGAGTGCTTCAAAGGCATCAAGGACTGGCTGACTGCAGGAAGTTAGGGCATGCATACCCACAACGAGAAAGGGGACTTACGCCTGTAGGTCATGAACCATTGCCCAGCTCTCTGCCATTGGACCCCACAGCCTTTCTTGCACCATCACAAAAACTTCCTCATCTGCAGAGCTAAACAGCCCATAGCAGTGGGGAACAGCATTGCCCTGGAGTGCGCGCAATGGTCCATCGTACAACCTCCCTTCCCACATGACCCCATCTTCAAGGTCCTCTTGCTCAACATATGGGCCACACCTGTTGCGCGGACAGCAGATCTTAACGGCAACTTGCTGCGAGACGGAGAAGTCAGACTTGTCAAGTGAGGTAGGCAGGCTCAGTGAGCTGCCATCCAATCTTGATTCCCAGCTTGAAGAGGGAGATATCTTTGCTGCTGGAAGCTCTGACGGTGGTGAGGCATTTGCATCCCCTGCTCCAGCGGCGCTCACAGCTGGCAGAGATGACGGGCAAAGAGATTTGTAGCCACCTTTGGTCATATCTTCCGCACCATCGTTCAAAGCTTGTGCTCCAGTGTCAATGACAGTAGACCTCACTGGGACTGTGGGTGCTGCCAGTTTGCCCTGTAGATGTCGAGGATTGACAACTTGGACTGTCAGGCTTGTGATCTCCATCTCGGAGGAAGAGCCATTTGGAAATGTGAGTAGCCCTTCGAACACGGTCCAGGCTCGTCCTTCCCCAAGAGGGCGTGGTCCACAGATGATCAGATGAGCAGGATTGAGTGAACCTGAGGAGGATGCTTCAGTCGCTGGGGTTTCAAATTTCACTCTGTCAAACACTTGTCCCGCCTGCACCGCTCTGACAAACGCAGAAAGTTGCCTACAGTCGTCACCGAGGAGATCATGTCGACCAGTATCCTGCAAAACCATCAGTTTAATGAATACACCCTCAGTGCAGCACTCACATCTTGATCCCTTTCTTGTCCTTGTTGTCCTGCTGAACCCCGCTGTGCTGTGAACATAGACGCGCGAGTTGTACCACAACGATTGCCACATCCTTGATTGCCACGTCCTCTTAGGGCCGCGGTAGAATGTTCTCCTTGGTGCTTCAGTTGTGAAATCTCAACCTTCAAATCAAGGAAAGACACGCTGAAATCGGCCGTGGGAGGCCGCCAGTCGGTCAGGGCAAGGGTGTACATAGCCGCAGTGAGGGTAAACGAATCGAAATCCTTTCCTGCATCGCGTGTGATGACATCGGAGAGGTAGAGCGTATTCTCGCCGGCGAGGTACGCGACGATGGCATTTCGGGTGTTAAGGAGGATACCCCATCGCACCTTGTAATGGTGCATTTGAGTCTACACCTAAGAATTGTCAGCGGAAGTACGCATTCGGAGGGGTTGACGCGTACCTGCAGGCATGCCTCGCACGCATTTTCGTCCAGATTCTTTGCTTCGTATTTGAGGCGCTCTCCTTGTACCGAGAACTCAAAGCCACCGTGTGGGCGGCCAGGGTCTTCAAGCCACTCCCGGGATTTGGCGGCTAGCACCAATCCGTCCAGGGACGAGTCGCTCAACCACTTCCATTCCATAACCGCTTTCGGCACCTCGCGTTCACAACATACCCAGTCCGTTATCCCAGGAATACGCTCTAACTTCGGTGCGACCCAGTGCGGAAATGGCTTAGAGTGGCGCTGCGCCGGATTGTAAGCTGCGACGCAACCGAGGATGCGGTTGACGAGCTCAGCCATGAGCGGTCTGCACGCCGCCGTCAATTCCTCTTCGTGATGTATGTCGGCTTCGCGCAGAAGGATGTGCGACTCCCAATACGTCTTGATAAACGCGGCGAGAGCCCGTTGGTACTCGCCCAATGACTGCTGATCATCGTCAAGACTCACAGCGACGGTCGATGGGTTCAGAGGCGAAGACGAGGTTGTGGCGGTTGCGGTCGCTGGATTAGGCCGGATGTACTTCCAGAACTCCAGGAAGAGGTGACGACGAAAGTCTGGGAGGTATTGTACGCGGACTTTGCGCGAGGTGAAGATAGGCTGCATTGCGCTGGCCAGGTCCGACGGCTGACGCGATATCGGCCCCGCTGAAAAACTGCAGCTCGTGGATGGATGTCCCAGGTTGGTCTTGAAGCTCGGGACGACGTAGCGCGTAAAACACTCAGCAAGTGTTCGCGGTTCGTGCACGTGCTGCATGAGGGCCTCTTCTTCTTCGCAAATCATCAGCAGCTGGTTGACGGCAGTTCGAACGTTTGCGATGCTCGCCGTCGGCCCGTCGAGGGCGTTCTTCAGGGTTGCTACAAACTCGGGACTGAGGTGTAAGGTGGGCATCGCGTGCGGGATGAGCGCGGGAGATAAGAATGGAGACCGACAACACCTGCCAAATTCTGTTGGTGTTCAAAAGTCGATCAGACTCGCCTCTGAACGTTGAACGTTGAACGTCCATCGCCTCCACCGAAGGCCTCCAAGGAGGAGCGAAAGCGTGCCAATGCTGAAGCACATATACAGCTGATTGCGCTACGCACGAGCAAAGTGGCCGAGGGATATCCTAGGCTGCTGTGGAACTGTGTTAACCGATATGTGAAGAATGGGTTGAACGAGTCAAACTGGACAGGGGTCATCTGTTCTTTGCGCATATGCAGATGGCTTTCCGAAGGAGGCGCGTTATCTTCTCGTATGGAGGGTCGAGGATAGCGCTCGATGTGTTTGCGCTATGTTGTACTTGATTTCGAATAGGAAGTGTGCTCGAGCTTGAAAGGATTTCGTTTCATCTAGCACGCGAACTGAATTATCTTGATTCGAGGTTGCAGAAGTACATGGAGGTTTTGCGCTCCAATAAACGGAGTTTTCTTCTTCCTAATGCAAACCTTACGTAAGTCTATGGTTTTGGTATGATGCGGTCTGGACTGGACGACCAATTGTCTCGACTATCATCAGTGTGCCCAAGCCTCCCTCTGTTGCAGTCTGGCTCGGATCTGGCCTAGGACTTGACCCAAGACTTGACCACCAAGAATCGCAGACCAATTGGATCTCATTCATTTCCCTGTGTCTCCGGTCGCGTCCGTACGCTGTGCTATATAATGGCCTCTGCGTGGTCGAGACACCATATACCCTCCTTCACTTGACTGCCATGGCCACCGTTGACACTCTTAAGATTGAGGAACTATCCCTCGGCACACCCTCCGTGCTACCAGAGCCAGAGGACCGACAGAAAACCCCTCATCCCGAGCCTGCTCGTTGCCCCGCCTCTGGTGCCCTCGCCAACGACTCGAATCAAGCTGTCTGCCCCGTCACTGGTGCATCTGCACCCCCGAATGGCGAGCCATCGACCCAAGAGGTTGATCCAGATCTCCTGCGGACCTCCATCTCCACGCGAATGACCTACCTGAAGGACTTCCTCGGCTTTAAACGCTACGACCAGGATGTCCTCAACAAGGTTGCACCACTGATCTACGAATCGATACCCACCATCGTCGACCAGCTCTACTCTAAGCTATTCGAGTTTGATTTGACGAAGCAGGTCAGCATCGTGATACTTGTGCCAAAGGCTAGTGAGAGCTCAAGCACTCATTCATCGCAGGTGTTCCTCGAACGGAACGATGGATTCGATGGCCCACTGCCCAGAAGTCTAGAAGACCTCACACTAGACTCTCCTCAACTTGTCTATCGGAAGGTCTGTGCTTCCCACTTTCAGTGAAGCATATCCTGACACACGAATACCAGGTCTTCATGAAAGCCTGGGCACGCCGGATACTGACTTCCGACTTCACCTCTGTCAAGACCTTCCAATACCTCGACAAGGTCGGAGTCATGCACACTGGCGTCAAGAGCTTCAAGCACCGGGCGCACGTATCACCCTTACACGTCCCATGTATGTTTGCGGCCACCCCACTTCCAATGCTGCATCCTCTGAGTCTCGCAATACAGATCGGGATTGTGCCCTGACACTGGGCTGGGTTCTCACCGTTCTTCAAACAGCCATTCTTTCTCTCGACGAAGAGAAGCTCTCTGCTAAAGACAAGATAGACGCTATCGCCGCAATCAACAAGGTAGACCTGGCTTGGTTCATTTCCTCTCGCATTTAACTGATCTTCATTTCTTTAGGTGATATGGATGCAAAACGACCTCTTCGCTAGACATTACATACCAGGAGAGTGAACAATACAATTCAAGGACCTCGTGTTGTACTCTAGAGTAAATAGTAAAAGGAGGTTGTATGTACTATGTATTTGTTGCCCGTGACAATCACATCTCTGCTAGTAAGTTCACATCACCATTGCCAATAGCTCTGAGGAATAGACATAACCTACGAGGCTACCCCACTACGCAGATTTTGTCTTCGTCCTCTTGCCTCCACTGGGTTTCCCCGCCTTGAAACCCTGCATCACAAGCTTACGACTCCTTCGCCCAAACAATTTCACACTCTCGACATCCACTGCCTGCCGCCTATTCCGAAACGCATGCTCGAGTGTCCACCTCTTTCACCTGTAGAACACCAGCTTCAACCTCAAGGGCCTTTCGTGCCTTCTTGGGGATGTCGAGCATGAATGCTCCAAGCACCCCGCGATGATGCATATAGTGTCCGGTCCAACGACGCGGGTGGCTTGTGCGAAGCTCGCTTGCATCTTTTTCTCCAAAGGATCAGTCGAGCAGGGTGCTGCCCAGCGGGCGTTTGCCGTCAGAACTAGGTTTGCCTGGGATAGAAGTCAGGCCAGTTAACAGAACCGACGGGATAGAGGAGACGAATGCTGCGACAAGGCCCCAACGATGAGCTCCAAGGTCTTGCCTGCCTCGTTATTAACGCAAGAATGCACCTTGCACGTTGATCATGCACCCTTGCCACCCCAGCCACGATCTTCCTGTGGCCATCCGAGGGCAGGCATAAACAGGCAACGAACTTGAAGGGAGAGGCCTTCTCCGATGGTGAGTAACGTGCGGGCGACGGGCATTGCAAGTATTTGCGAGGCGGGGATCTGAGGCCAAGACTAGGAGTGGGGATTTGGTGTGGACGATTCGGGCAGGATTGCAGAAAGGTAGATCGCATGGAACCGAAGGATGTCTTTGCCGATAACCTGTAGGTCTGCAGGCCACAACGACCTGGGTACCCCGCCGCATATGAGCAACGCGTCAAACCAAACGTATACCGTCTGGCTCGGGTTGTCTGCACACCCCACTCGAGTCTAGACTTCGGACGCGATATTGATACGTCCTCCAAAACGGATGGGTGCTCCGAGCATGCAAAGAACGTCGCCTTGTTATTGGGAAGGCCGAACGCTGCAGTGGTCTGTCGCGTAGTGGGTGCGTTAGGCGGAGAGTTGGAACATGTAGTTCTCTGACGTCCACTCGATTACATCACCGGTTTCGATAGACCTTTTGCGACCTGGTGGGGTCGGAGGTCACTTGTGCGTTGATGTAGAAGCACTCGTCTGTCATGGAGTAGCAGCCCGAGTATTGGCCATCGTAGATGAAGTTGGCTACAATTCGTCCGCATGAAGTACGTATTGCTGATGTTGGTCCTCTTGCCCAAGTCTTGTCCGTTCGCCAGCCTCACAACACGAAGCAGAGCGACCCGGAAACCTCTCACCGAACTCCTTCTCCCGGGCCCTCCCTGCCCCGCTGAAATGCACCCTTGCAACGTTCTGTAGACTTTCTGGAGTCAGTTAGTTCGTATTAGGACGGGATAAAGGAAAGAAAAACAAGTTCCTGTCAATATTGTTGTAAACTGGGGTGCGTGTACTTACATATGGAGGTCGAATCCAAGTGGTGAGGCCAGGTGAGGCGGTCCAGAGCCAATCCATCAACATGACCAAAGTTTATTCCGAACCGTCACCACCAGCCGATTCTAACGCCGTCGTCGATGCTCAGCGCTCATCGATGAGCTGGGACACGTTGTCTGCAATTACTATTAGAAGTATTCCCCTCGTCAGACGATGGAATCGGAATAACCACGTGAATGGTACGGATACCGGCTATTCTGCTTTGCGGAGTCGAATCGGTGGATTGCGAGGGATACAAAAGGACACCTCTGTGAGCCACTTATCTCTCACTCTACTTTTTCCTTGAAGCCTCTGACGTCTCTTGCCAGGGAATACCTTCAAAGATGGAACCGAACGCATACCCCAGAGTGCCACCCTTCACTTGGGAGCCGGTTGAACCGCGGAAGCCTCTACCCATCTATCCACCTCCAGAGCCCTTAGAAAGCCTGCCAGCTCTCCCTTCGCCTCACAGGAAACCGATCTTCGACTCTCCGTATACCCTTTCCACCCATATTTTCCCGGCAGCGCACCTCAGGACCACCAGACTCGTTCCGGAGCCTCCTTCGCCTCCCCCAAATGCCTCCAAGGAGGAACGAAAGCATGTCATTGCTGAAGCATATAGACAGTTGACTGCGCTACGCACAAGCAGAGTGACTGAGGGATATCCTAGGCTGCTGTGGAACTGTGTTAACCGATATGTGAAGAATGGGTTGAACGAGTCGAACCGGACAGGGGTCACTCTGCTCTTTGCTCATGCAAATGGCTTTCCGAAGGAGGTGCGTTGTCGACTGGTGTACAGAGATATTCAGCACTTATTCACCCTTTCTGCAGATCTGGGAACCTACTCTAGGCCTCTTGTTGGCTTCGCCGGCCGCAAGTGTTATCGACGAAGTGTGGTGCTGGGAATCTGTTCAACACGGGGATGCAGCTCTGCTTAACGCGCACCTGGCATCAGGTATCTGTAAGTCTTGTCCTTGGTCTTTCCTCAAATCTCCTGCTCGCCCGACGAACTTATCTCTGTCCAGTTGACTGGCAAGACAACGGACGCGACATCGCCAACTTTCTCCTCCACTTCCTCCCCAACGCTGCCACTTCAAACCCTCTACCGACCCATTTACCTCGTGTTTCTCGGGAGGAAACTGACTTACGTATTAGGAATGGGTACAAGAACCGTAAATTCGTCGCTGTCGGTCATTCTTATGGTGGATGCACCTCGTAAGCCTCTCTGAACATGCATTTATTCCTGTTATATAAAGCTGACTTCATTGTGTGTAGTGCTCTAGCTGCTCATCTCTACCCGGCACTCTTCAGCGCTCTCATTCTTCTCGACCCGGTTATCGCCAAGCCGTTTGAACATGAACCTAAAGATCGGCCGGTGGACCTGGCCGCTGCGGCTCTTAACAGACGAGAAACGTGGTCTTCCAGGTTAGAAGTTTCCTCTCATCCTCGACCATCGCCTTTTCTGATGCACTCGAAAAACTTGTAGAGAAGAGGCCCTACAATCCTTCAAACAAAACCCCTTTTTCCAGATCTGGGACCCCGCCGTGGTGCAGGTCTACGTCGACTGCGGCACCTACCTCACCAAGGACGCCTCGGGCAAGGAAATCGCGAAGCTGAAGATGTCCAGCATGCAAGAAGCCGTCGTGTTCTCAGAAATCCACACAGAGTACGAGGTCTTCCAGCGCATGGTCACGCTGGATGAGCGGATTCCGCTGCGGTGGGTCATGCCTGGACGACCTGGTGCACCAGAGATTGGGGGTCCCGGGGCGTCGAAGTTCCGCGTGTGGGTGCGCCCTGCGAATTCGTCGAATTGTCAGATCAAGGGTGCTGGGCACTTGGTACGTCTAACAGTGCCTTTGTTTTTGACAGGGTTAGGCTGACTATGCGTCTTGGATGTGATAGATCCCGCAGGAAGCACCGCAGGAGCTCGGTACGTAGTTCGGCTTATGCTCGCGTCGTTGAAGTACTGACTCGTGCATGCGATAGCTGAAGAACTGTCGAGATATTTATTATACCTCTTCTCGACTCCGACGTCGTCCCGAAAGGCTAACCTATAGCAGAAACTTATGCTCTAGATGTAGAAATTGTATATTGTAAGCTTCATCCGTTTGACTCGTGTCGACATCGGTAGAGCTGATAGATACCAATCATGCAGTATATCTCGTGAATTCTTGACCCTTACTGTACAGTGGTATATTCGAGTCGTACATTCTTGTTTTTCGAATGTCCACTTAGGATCTAAGTACAAAGTCCAGGGTATCTGTTTTCCGTAAACAAAGGCACAAAATGCAGAGGCGTGGAGATACAGGGAGAGGGCATATAAAGATAATCAAAACGAGGCTCTGACAGCAGGGGGTCTTTAAGTAGTCGTCATAAAAATAAGAACGAACGAAACCAATCAGTCAGATCCACTGCAGAATCAGAACGGTCTTTTCAGTCGATCGGGCGTCAGCCCAAGGATGGACCCGGGTGTCTGCGCCTGCCTAACAGCCTGCTGCGCGTCTCGCTGCGAGCGCATGTCGGAGTGCAGTGAGAAGTTGGTCGGATCTGGGAGGGCGTACGCCGTGCTGCCCATCGCGACAGGGCGGAACGAGGGCGAGGTGGCAATCTGGAGTAAGAGCGACGCGGCGGACTCATCCTCCGGCGTACGTGCTGCTGATGAGGTTGCCGAGGCGTTGAGTGTTGGGCTTGGAGTCGAACTGGGGGCACGCAACGATTTGGGTCGCTTGGGCATCATCGCAGCTGTCGCGACCGGCCCTAGGCTGAGCACGGGTGGGATTTGCGACGAACGTACGGGATCAAAGTGCGTTGACGAGGGCGGCGAGGGTAGATATGAGTTAAGTCGAGGAGATGGGTTTAGGTTGGCCTGGGGTAAAAGCTGCGGATCGATGGCAGAGTTAGGTAACCAAGAAGAAATAGATGGCAGACGGGCGTCAGGTTGAGCAGCAGCGGCTTGCAGATGAGGTGAGGGAAGTGTGGATGCTGCGTCTGGGGGTGAAGATGGCTTGGATGAAATACGAGGAAATTTCGCGGTTCGCTCTTCACCGACGACAACAACGTCCTCGTCGTTCTCGTCGGCACGCTTGCGTTTCTTTGGATCCTTCGTGCCGTTGCTGCAATTAGGGCAGACTGGAGGAGCGCCAGAGCCGGCTTCGAGGACCTCAACGCGCTGGAGGAGATCTTGGAGGAAGGAAACTGTCCGGACGAGAATTTCCAGTTTGAATTCCTTTTCTTTTTCTTCCTTTTTGCCCTTGGGCTTTAGCTTTTTCTTCGCGCCGCCGGTATAGTCGTCGTCATCTTCATCGTCCTCGTCGTCTTCCGCGTGCTCCTCGGGCTTCTTTTTCTGGCCGTAATCGGGCGGCACAAGCTGCTTCAAGGTCGCGAGAGCGTCGTTGATCTTGGTTCGCCTGGCCTTCTCGATGATGGAGTGGTTGAGACGGCGCTGCGCCTCACGAGCGGTCCTAGACAAGGGTCCTGGTTTCCGGCCGCGTTTGGCGGGAGCTGGTACCGGTGGCGGGTCTACCAGCGTCGTCGTCTGACGTGGAGCGTAGGGCTTCATGGGTAGAATTGGGCGGGGTTGAGAGGGGATCGCCGGCGTATCGACAAGAGTCGAGATGGAGTCCCGTTTCGCACGTCGAGAAGGGTTGCAGCTGGCTGTATAGAGCTCTCTGGCGGTCTCGGGCATGAACTTTGGGGCGAGACAAGGCAGACTGGTGGGGGAAGGCAGAAGGCGGAGGAGCAAAGCGGGTGTTTCTCCTGTAGTTCTTGAAGGTCTCGCACTGAGAGGGGTACTTGCCATCGTGCCAAAGTGGTCGCAAGTGCTCGTGTGCCCAAGAAACGTGCTATGCTGGGCTTCGGCACACGACATGTTCGTCGCGCCCTGATTGGCTGGAACGGCGCACGTTCGCAAACCATAGCCACGCCAAAGGCTATTTCCTCCATCTGCCAAGGACAGTCACCGAAGTCTATCGGTGGATATCCGGGCTGTCTTGTGCGTGATGACGCGGGGAATTGTCCCTGCAAATCGAGAAGAGAGCAAGACACGTTTATTCTCTCCGAGTCCACGACAAAGACGAGGTGAAGCACATTCCTATGTAGCGGTCAAATTCCGAGCTTTACCTGCAGCCAGAGATAAGTAGCTGGCCGTTCAACGTTCAAGCTCAAGCTTCGATGTCCCTAGGGCCGCAGTTTCGAGCCTAGAGGACTTGGTTTAACTCCATCAGCAAGAAGTAATTTAATAGTACCTTGGCTTAATTTCTGCAGATAATCTCGGCCATTTTTCCAAGTCAAGGTGTGTGAAAAGGGTGGCTTGAAGCATAGTTAGGGCGCTAAAAGTGGTGAACAAGCTTGAGGAACGTTGGAAAATGAGGCGTGGGAGGGTCCAATAAACAAAATCAAATTTTCGATTGGTGCGAAATGGCTCCTATCTTTCCATCTTGTCGCCGAATGGTGAAATAGTCAAAGTTCAAATTTTCGAAGGTGAGAGGCAAGCAGATGAATCGGAAGATTACGGAAGAGTTGATTTGGTGGTCCAGATGTACTAGATATTGGTCGTCTATCTTATCGCAGATCAATTGAATTCACCATCAAACTCCGGTTCCAACATTGAAATGAGTCGATCTCGTTTTTTATAGGACGATTACAAGCAATGCGCCCTCTTGAATCATCTGATTTTCTAGTGCTCTCAGAGCAATCAGGTCGGTGGGTGACGACTGAGTCAGGATCCGTGATCGCATCATGGACAAGCGCCTCAATTTCCTTCCTGTTCACTGGATCGAAGCTTGGCTTCCGCGTTGGGCCACAGACTGAGAGGAAGGACAAGGCAAACGGCGGCACTCGAATGGTCACCATTATCACTGGAAATTCAAGAGAAAGCGCCCTTCAAGACACAGCAAGCTGGAGAGCTCTTGATCCGCAGCCTAGTTGCGATGTTGTGATTTTTGATACATGCGCAAGACACGACAGGACATTTGTTCAAATCGTTTTGATCGACTGGGCGTCCCAGCTTGAGATACAGTATTTTTACGCAGACGATGTGAGACCGCAGGCGCTTCAAATTTTCACTACAAACTGATTGAACTGCAGGAGGCGAAGTTCGAAGGCTTGCCAGAAGAGGCGAATCAGATCCCTCGAATCTTGCTTGTCGGAGACTCCATCTCGTCTGCAATGGCCGTTTCTATTGAACAAGGAGGAGAGCTAGTACCTTTCGGCATCCTCGACGGTTTTCCTTTCGTAGCACAAAGGCGGCTTTTGCAACGCGACCCTCCGCTCCAGGTCGCCGTCGACCTAGTCGCTTATCCGGGCCTCAACTTAGTACGCCCAACTGAAGAGGAAAAAGAGAAGGGACACCCACTTGGAATGGTGGACGCATTTTTCTGGGTACGCTTCCTTCTCTGTTTCGCTTTTTGTCACCTATAGCTGGATTATAGAAATCTCCATGGACGAAGGAGGCTTGGGTTGCTAGCATATCACCAATCGTGGTCATGATCGAACTGGGTAACTGGAACATGTTAATCGGCTCCTACCCAGGACCTGATGATTTTCTGCAGGCACGAACGACCAATTCTTTCAAGTGCCCAAAGAGAAATTTGGTGATGCCTTCATTGAACTCATCCAGAAGCTTTTGTCCCAATCTCAGAACTCTTTCATGCATGTCTGGCTTGTGGTACGTCTCCTGCTAACCCCTTTCGATGGTCCGGAGGTTCACTGTATAATATTAGCCTCCATTCCCGGATGAAGACACTGATAGCCACCAGCTGAACGAAGCGATGCCATACATCATTGACCGACTGCAGAACCGATTCGGACCTTCTATCGAATTCAAGATCTGCGACTTGGTGGAAGGGCTGACAGCGAAGGATACAGTCGATGGAGTCCACCCCTCGCTGAAGGCCCATCAGAGACTTGGTGAACAGCTGGCCGCTTTCATTGAGAGAAATCTATTCGAGTCTACAAAATAGCTGCTTCAACACATAATATGAATTACTACTCCAGGACATAAGAGGTTCAGAGAGCTAGTCGATACTGCGGACGTTCCTCCAGCTTTACATTCATCTTGTGCAGGACATCGTCAAATGTTGTCATTCTTTCCTCTGAAGGGCAATCCACAGGTTCGCCGAGGAGAGGATGTGAATTCAGGGCAACAGTTGGTCGAAGGAATTTCTCCGAGAGCATTCTCTGCGACTTATGAATAAACCAGTTGGTGTCATGGATGACTGACAGATGAGAGAGATCAGAACAGAGGACCGTAAAGAGAGCAACCTCCACTCACAAGATGCAAAGCCCGTGCGATGAAAATGGAAGTCTTTGACCAATTGAACCCCGGCATCTCCATCGAGGCGGCCATTCGGATAGGCTTGAATGCACTGTGACGAGAAGAAACTCAAAAAAATGGAGGTATGGCACCAGGCTTGGCCTTACCCTCTTGAAGATCTCAGCCGTCTTTTTGTCTTTTAGGCAGTATTTTTTATCGAATGTCTTGTGAACCTCCCTCACGAATTCTGTCGGAGGACAAACGAGGGCATACCAGCTGCCAGGGTACAAACTCCCTACCTCTACACGAAGAAGGTCCAGAATGATCAACCCCAGAGCCCAAAAATCGACGCGTTCGTCGTAGCACCAGGTCAGCTGATCTACGTCGTCGGAGTACGAGGCGACGAGCTCTGGAGCTGCGTACCGGAACGTAAAGCCACCAGTGAAGGTTGTGCGGAGACACATCGGGCGGTCACTGCTCCGAACAGGGATGAAGGCGCTGCCGAAGTCACCAATCTTACAATAGCCGTGTTGGTCGATGAAAATATTTTCAGGCTTCAGGTCCCTATGGATGATTCTAAGAGAATGAAGGTGGGCCAAGCCGTGCATCTAACAGTGTTGATGTTTCAAGAGGGCTTGACGATTTTTAGAGGAGCACTCACAACGTCGCTTATCACCAGTTTCACGAAGTCGACCTCACGAACGACTGCACGAAACCTAGCTTTGGACGATGGACGCTTGGTAATGGTAATGACGTCTTGCAGATCAACAGGGTAATAGTTCTTGAATCAATCCATCTTTGAATAACTATCCATGGAAGTCTGAATTCACTCACAAAAAGTATCGAAAGCAGACCCGCTTCTCTTGACCACCATTCGGTCTCGACATTCTTTCCCAGTTTTGGCTGCTCGATGAGGTTGACGTGCCCGTTTCGACCTATCCTTCGCAAGGCCACGATCTCCATTGCAGGTGCCCATATTCCGCCTGGACCGCGGTCCAACTCGACGGTCTTCAAGATGAATCTTTCGGAATGACATCGTCCTTTGATCGCAAATATTCGTCCGAACCCTCCTCTCGTGAAAGGAGCCACCCTCCAGACGTAGTCGGGCGGAATGCTGAGAGGTGGTAGCTCAGGTAAGGGCTTTTCTTGCTCGTGGTCAACCTGGGTCTCCGCTTTGCGACAGGGCTTGTTGGTGCTGTAGAGATCGCGAAGAACAGTTGAAGAAGAACGAGGAGCTCCTTCGTCTCGTCGAATCGAACCATGGTGATCTGGTGGTCTGAACAGGTTTCGAAGCAACTTCTGGAAGATTGGGGGCATGGGTGATACGCGGGGAAACTAACGAGAATGAGGAATGAGTCAAGCGTGAAAATTCACGAATGCATATTTAGGTTACTCAACGATTTATTGTTCCAGAATGGGCTTCACAAGATGCAACAAGTAGCGCCCACAAAGCGACCATACGCCACGATTGTGCAGCATTTCTTGTGTTTGGTGATAGGAGGGGCGGGAGTGTTGTTCTACCAAGTTGGAGATAAGCTCTGACGTTGGCCGTGGCTTGAATATCTTGAAAGGCCCAGGGATGGTGTGAAGTTGCAGGTCGGGTTGAGATCATCAAAACAGGAAATGTCGTGTGAATAAAGCAACGTCCGGCGGCACTGTAACGCCCAGTGGTCTTGGGGTTTGTCCCGTAACTTTTCTTGGACACGGACATGGAATGACAACTTCAACTATGCTGGATGTCTGAATAGTGTCTGCTCAGCGACCACCAACGGGCAACCGGTACGTGCTATGCGTTTGACCCTGAACTAAATCTCCATTTACTCACCTACCCCAAGGTATTTTGCCGATGTCTTCGGTCATACACTCAATCTATTTTCTCGCAGTTCAACCTTCAGCGGGTATTTTAGGAGCTCGAACTGTAGAAGATGGACGATACGCTGCACGGGTTGGCTTTCGACCTTCTATCTCAACATAAACGCGTAAAAAACCGGGAGAAGAGCTTGTTTCTAGCCGAAAGAACCTACGACTTTGGCTCATTTGGACCCCATACCCCACGTCCGTTGATTATCGCGAATCGCATCTCACGTATTGACGGACCGTACCCAAAGGATGAACTAATCAGCTCCCTTCACTGATGCTTTCCTGGACATACTATGTTGGCTGCTATGTTCACCCGTCAGTCGCCCATCCCGATTTCTTGGGTGACTATAGGATAGAATGGTGAATCGTCCCCAAGTGTTGCACCCGAGCTAGAGAGTCTGAAAGCTTTCCGGGGCACCGATTCTGTTAACTGCGGTTCTGGTGACTTTTCTATTTGCGACTTGCCGGAATCCTTGTGGCCATTGGATGCCGCCCATTTCTATAACATCAACAGAAGCAATATGGCCTTTACCAAAGCAGTATTCGGATCCAGGTGTCTAGGCCGCGTATGTATGTCGAGTCTTCTATCTGTAATCAAGCCTCTGCTTCTGCCATGGGAAGTAGGCTCTCATCGGGTTGGTAAACATGTCCGACGAGTCGTCTGCGTGGTGCTCAGCTCTAATTATGCATCAAACTCGAGATCGTTGGCGCTGAAAGTCAAAACTTTGAACTTTGTTCGTCTCGAACTTCAAGATGACGCCTCGAAAGCACTCCGCCCCGTGAAGATGTCCCAATCGCCGTTCTTTCTACGTCTTGAGTGTCAAAGTTAAGAATCAGCGCACACTTTCCATGTGCGCATGCGGGGGATCCCTCAATGATTTTTGGTTCTCCATCCGGCCTTTCTAGAGCTCTCAATTCTGTAAGTTGTCAGGCTTCATGTCTCTCCTGCCAGTCTTCTAACTTCCTTCCCAGTCACAAGGTGGCCCCATGCCCCAAAACCTCCATGGAGCGCCGGTGCTTGGCAGGAAAAACGAATCAAGTGTCCGTGCCCGGACCGATAATTCGCGTCTTCTCTCAACTGAATTTGTAGGTACCGCGCACATAAAACGTCTTGAGCAAGAGCAGTCTGCATTGGATTCCCTCCTTTCGTCCCATGTCTTCCACTCAAGAACCAGACAAGAGTCCGAACCCGCCGATTGAAGAGGTGGAGAAGGCTGTCTCGGAGCATTCGAACAAGGACGGCACAATCCACCAGGCTGAGCTCGGTTTACGAGCGCACAGGAAACACTTCTTTGCGCCGTTCGACCCCGCGTACGCTGCAGCAGTGCATCGTGATGCTGAAAGCGTCGAATATACTCCAGAGGAAGAGGTATGCTATTCTAATCTCGACATTCTGTCTCGTTTTCTGATGGCGCCACTCAGTGGACTGTGAAGCGCAAGATCGACAATAGGGTCCTTCCGCTGGTTGTATGCAGGTTCGTTCCTCAAATGCTCTCTGCGCAGAACACTCACGTCTGAATATCTCCTTCGTTTTGTAGTTACGTCTGTGAGTTCCTGATCCTATTTCTGTAACCCAAATATTCAGACATAGCTCGGGATCCAGTTAATCAATTCGGTGGGACCACATCCTGTCTTGCACATGACCATGAGCTGACCGCCTCCACCTTGCCCGTACTGCCTTTAGATCGAAACAATATGTTGGACCATCTCCATTCTTTCGAATTGACGAATACTGATCCCAAAATCGCTTTCAGTGGAAATGCGCATGTGCTTCCTGCATTTAATGCCAACTACGTGAGTACCCTCGCAAGGCCGTTGAGTCGCGGCAGCAGACTCAGCAGGGTTGGTACTTTCTAGGGCATCACGAACAATGATAAATGGACGCTGGCTTTGAGCATTTTCTATGTTGGCTACTGTAGGTTATCGCATATTTTATCGGAGGATTAAACACTAAAATATGAATAACTAGGCCTACTCGAAATCCCTGCTAATAGTCAGCCACTCTCGCTACATATGCGGAAGGATCAATTCATTAATTTTCAATAACAGTCCTACAGCGCCACATTGGGGCCAATCGTTTGTCAGTCCTTACCGCGCCTTTCCAGATTTCGTCGTCCTGATAATTCTTTTCGTTGGCATAGCTTCTTCATTGCTCTTATTTTTTGGGGTTTAGCATCCATCTCGTTTACGTTTGGCAAAGGATATCCCGCGTTGATTGCTTTAAGGTTTGCAGTTGTGTCATCGCGTTTTATTGATACTGACTGTCGAGAAGAGTTTTATTGGGTATCGGAGAAGCGGGTTATTATGCGGGCATGATCTACTATCTTTCGTTCTGGTATAAGAGGTGCGTGTTTTCGCTGCGAAGGTGCTAGTAATGATTATAGCATCTTTTGGCTGTAGACATGAACTCGCCCTCCGCATCAGGTGGGTACTCGATTTCTCAGACAGGAAGGATTTAATCCCTTCCTCCAGTCTCTGTATGACCGGAACTATACCAGGAACTATTGGAGTACGCTGCGTTCATGATTGTCATTTCAACCTCTCAACCCCATCACATCCTTAGGGTCTCCTTGCTTTCGGCCTTGTTCGGGCACACACGCCCGTTCTTGAAGGGTAAGTTCCGTCTATCCGTCTATTTCTGCTGCCGTGACTCTTTAACTTTTTCATAGATGGCAATTCCTATTTCTTGTCAGTCTTTTTCGTCGAGGACTCTCCCGGGGAACCGTTGACAAACCGCCATAGATCGAAGCCATTCCAACTCTCATCATGGCATTCATGATCCTCTTCTTTCTTCCCTCGTTTCCGTTTTCTGCTTCCTTCCTGACCCCAAGACAACGTGCTATCGCCCAAGCACGACTCAACCGCGACCAAAAGCCTCAATCCCATGGAGGAATGAATGGGTGGGCTGGGTTCAAGGCAATCGTCACCGATATCAACTCGTGGCTATTTACCGTGCTCTACGCAGGATGCGAGTCCTTTCCTTAATCACAGATTTTCGAAAGCTGAAGAATCCTTCTAGTCAATATTGGCGTTGCAACAATCGCATACTTTTTGCCCACTGTAAGTCTTCCTGAGTCGGCGAGCCTCGTTATCTTGGCTCAACTCTTCATCACTCTTTCTTTGCCAGTTGATCAGGAACCTCGGCTTTTCCTCTATTAATGCGCAAGGGTTAACGGTTGCTCCATATGCCGTGGGCTGGTTTATGGTCTTGTTCCAGTCCTGGCATAGCGATCGTACCAAAGATCGAGGCTTCCACGTCATGGGGTCGTGTTCTGTCGCCTTCACTGGCTACATCATCCTGGCGACTACGGTCCACAGGAGCGTCGGTGCCGCTTATTTTGCCATGTTCTTGGTCGTAGGCGGGGTCTACAGTCTATTCCCTCTCGTTATGTACGTTTTTCTCTTTCTGTCAGCCTATCAAGGTTCCTGATGTGTCTCTTCTTCTCCAGGAGTTGGGCGGCAAACACATTTTCTCCTACCTCGAAGCGTGGTGTTGGAACAGCGTTCATCGTTTCTATTTCCAACTGTATCGCGATGTAAGTGAGATAATTTAGAGGAAACGTTGTTGGATTCTGACTGTTCCTTCAGAGCTGCACCTCAGATCTACTTCGACCCCGAAACTGACTTCCGCAAGGGACATGCAATCTCTGCAGGGTGCGAAGCTCACTGTTCAGGTTCTATCTCGCCTAATATCTCTCTATTAGGTGTTTAGTTCTTGCTTGTCTGATGGCATTCACGATACGCACTCGGCTTTCCATGCGTAACAAGAAGAACAGGGCTACGTTGGCTGCGTTATCAAAAGACGAGAAAGAGAAACTTGATGCGAAGGGAGGAGATGTGTGGGACAATGACCCTCGATATGTATTTATGACTTAAACGTGGAAGGAAGGAAGAAGCTCGAAGCCATGGATTATGTATACACGTTACTATTGCTCAAGATTCTTTGAAGTTGAATGAAGTGTTGCGCCTCCGTTGCCCGATTTTGAATCTGTGGGAAGAAAACTCCCCGCCACCGCTAAGGCCAATTCTTCTGCGCTGACAACGACGACGTCAATCGACGACATAAACAGAACATGTCGTTTCCTTGTAAAGTCCTCAATGAATTCATCACCGCAAACACAACCGAAACCCGAGCTCTTCCATCCTCTCGATTTCACTGTGCATGACTTCGTACCGTCCAACACGACAACGCCTGAACAAGAAATTTTGAACGAAGCTTTCGAACTTATCCAGGATTCTATTAGAAACGGTGTATGGAATGAAGTAGATGTTCCCCAGAAGGGAGAAATCTGGATATCTCGTACGCTGGCACCACTTTCTTCCTGTTTGTTGGCCTTGACCTTGACTCTCTAGGTAACGCGTTTCTGTATGCTGAGGGACCACCGACAGTTGTCTGTGAGGCTTCTGCAGGAGTTCAGCTGAAGGAATGGGGTGACGCACTCTCTCGAGGAGAGGTTTTCAACATCGAAGATCTGGAAGACTTTCAATCCTTAGAAAGGCCCTATCTCGCCGAGACCTCGTTTCATCTTTCAAAACTTGACCTTTCGGTCTATCGTAAACGCGCAGGGTCCGTAGGTCCGACAGGAGAGCCTCAGGCTCAGCGAAGGAAACCTTCCCTTGGTCCTTTACATCGCCTTGTCCCGAAGGTCTGTAAACTTTTGTTCGAACGGCTACGCATGCTGATCTTGCTCACAGCCGCATATTCACCCTTCTCCATTCATCGCTTCTCCAGCCCATCTCAAAGGCAGGCCGTTCCAAAAATACAACCCAATTTTTCTTGCCCCATATACCGCCTTCTCCCAACCAGACGATGCACGTGTGGCCTGGCTTATCCCTGTGAATGGCACATTGCCATGGGAGAAAGCTTCAAGCGGGTCTTTCCTCGACTCCTCTGAGGAGACGCCGATCTCGTCTGACTTGGGTACCATCCTGTGGTCCGAGGAATCACTGCTAAATTTCTGGCAGTTTCTCCTCGATCTGCGACGCGTTGGTGCGTTAGGATCATTAGGAATATCCTGCCATTTCGCGCGACAGCAAAAACAACCAAGCCTTCCTCAAAACCAGGCCAATATCGAAACTCCTCCGTCTGCAGTTCCAGTCCCTGGCTTCTCAACGACGGATCACATCAAACTGTACCACGATGCATCCAAAGCATTTTATATCCGCAATGCCCTCGACCTGTGGTCGTTCCAAATCGGCATCGATCAGGAGCTACCGCGTAAAGTTCGGGTGTTGAAAGGGGCACATCTTGTCCTCATGGACAACTCCTCCAGACCTATTCTTGTCTCGTGAAGATGACGCAGAACCGCCGTTCATATCGCGTCGACCATCTTCTCCTCGCGTACAGGAGCTCCAACCCATCCGGTGGCGGTTTCCTAGCTGTTCAGGCTTTGGATCACAAGGCTGCCCAATCCATACCCCACATCGCCGTGAGCCAATTATACTTAACCTAAAAATAAACCCCCGTCCCATGCCCGACCTTTCGCGCCTTCTTTCGGTTCCATATCTGCTATCTGTCTATATAACTGGCATTTGCGCCATCTTTCAACTCCGGTCATCACCCTTCACCCTTTTTGTGGCGCTTCCAATATCAACCATGTCCTCAACGGAAGAACAGGCTGTGGATGACGCGGAGAAGAGCATCTCTGAACATACGAACAAGGACGGTACCCTTCACCAGGCGGAGCTGGGTCCAAAGCCACAGAGGGAACATTTCTTCTCTCCTCTGGACTCGAGGTATGCTGAGGCAGTGCACCGAGACGCAGAGATGGTGGAATACACCCCAGAGGAAGAGGTACTGCACTTAAAATGCTTTGACGTGGGCCGTGTGGCACCCTGCTAATTCCGCGTCATAGAGCAAGGTTAGGCGGAAGATTGACAACACTGTGCTTCCTCTGGTGGTCTGCAGGTCTGTTGATAAATTTCAATTGTGGCGTTCAAATTGACTATTTACTTACACTGACGATCTAGTTATGTCTGTGAGTCGTGTTTACCGCCTACAATCTTCAACAAACTGAAAATGGGTCGGATATGTCAAGTCAATCAATTTGGTTAGTAAGACCACCTTCTCAAGATGATTTTGAGGATTTCTCAACATTGGCTTGAACATCCAAACAGATCGGAACAATATGTTCGTCTACCACCACTCAATACTGCTCAAGACTTAATTCCAAATGTTATCATCAGCGGGAATGCACATGTCATCAAGGCATTCAACGAGAATTATGTGAGATACGGGGTTTTGAACCGATTACAAACCCAGGTCACTGACCAGCTATGTTATAGGATATCACGACAAATAACAGATGGACTCTGGCTTTAAGTGTCTTTTATGTGGGCTACTGTGAGCCCTACCAGTCTTCTTGAAGAGTCAAGCTGTGCTTATATATTGTTAGGTTTATTGGAGATGCCTGCGAATGGTAACTCGTCTATTGTATCCATTCCGTCGACATTTGATCTCAACATCATCATCCAGTCCTTCAAAGGCATATCGGCGCGAATCGATTGTTAGTTTTTCACGATTCGTGGCTCGGCCCTCGTTGCTAACTTTTACTCGCACAGTTTCTTCATCTCCTTGACCTTCTGGGGCCTAGCATCACTTTCCTTCGTATATGCGAAAGGGTATGCAGGGCTGCTCGTACTTAGAGTTCTCATGGGAATCGGAGAGGCGGGGTATTACGCTGGAATGATTTACTACCTTTCATTTTGGTATAGAAGGTATGTTTTTGCCCTTCACCCAGGGGGCGACATGCATTAATTTGCCATTGCCCAGAAACGAGCTTGCCATGCGGATAAGGTCGCTTCTTCGCATTCCGGGATGCGATTGGGTTCTCAATACGCTGTTATTCTAGTCTTTGTATGACAGGAACGCTACCTGGAGCTATCGGGGTACGCTTTTGAAGAAGGGTCATGAGAAGAAAGGTCTCATGTTTTCTTATTAGGGTCTTCTTGCCTTTGGTTTGGTTCGAGCACATACCTCACTCCTTGAAGGGTACGTTGTCGTCGCCTTATACACCCCGATGATGCCCTAATAACACACTTGTCTTACAGATGGCAATTTCTCTTCCTTGTATGTTTTTGAATTCATAATCGCTGCCACCTTTGAACCGACATCCGCTTTAGATCGAGGCCATCCCGACGCTCATAATGGCCCTCATGATACTCCTCTTTCTGCCCTCATTCCCGTTTTCTGCAACATTTCTCAGCCCTAGGGAACGTGCCATCGCTCAAGCCCGCCTGAACCGCGACCATAAGCCTCAGTCACACGGAGGGATGAACGGATGGGATGGATTCAAGGCAGTCATTTCTGATATAAACTCCTGGTTGTTTCTAATCGTTTACGCGGGATGTAAGTCATCGTTCAATTCTCGAAAGCGAAGCCAGGTGTCTAATATTTATCTCAGTCAATGTCGGCTCGGCCACGGTCTCATACTTTTTGCCAACGGTATGATCAACCCTTGAACCTTCAAGTTTGACTACCATTTGACTCAACCTTTCTCTTCCTAGCTGATCAAAAACCTCGGTTTCTCGTCCATCAATGCGCAAGGATTGACTGTCGCTCCTTATGTTGTTGGATGGTTCATGGTGTTCGCCCAGTCCTGGCACAGTGATCGCACTAAGGATCGAGGGTGGCACATCATGGCATCTAGTGCCATTGCCTTGGTCGGGTATATCATTCTGGCCACGTCTGTCCAGAAGAGCGTCGGCGCTGCGTATTTCGCGCTTTTCTTGGTCGTCGGCGGGGTTTACAGTCTCTTCCCTCTCGTAATGTATGTTGAGTCATTGGTCTCACCTGGCTTCGCCGATTAGCTTTTTGACGACGTGCAGGAGCTGGGCAGCCAATGCATTTTCTCCTACGTCCAAACGTGGTGTCGGCACCGCGTTCATCGTTTCCATTTCCAACTGCATTTCGATGTAAGCAGAAGACCCGCCTGCCCTCGAAAACCCACATCTGGTTAACTACTTGATTTTAGTGCTGCACCGCAGATATACTTTGACCCCGAAGACGAGTTTCGGAAAGGACATGCTATTTCCGCGGCGTAAGTAATTTTCCTTACCTCTTCCCCCGAAATCTTGCCAGCCACTCACCTTCTTACCGAAGGGCTCTCTTTCTGACCTTCCTGATGGCGTTCATCCTACGCACACGACTCACCCTCCTGAACAAAAGGAATCGGAACTCGCTTGCTGCGTTATCGAAGGAGGAAAAGGCGAAGCTTGGAGAGAAAGAGGAGATCTGGGATAACGACCCTCGATATGTGTTTATGACCTAAGTTTGTATTCTCCCCTGAATCTTAGTATCCTCGAGGGTGTCGATAGTTTTGCTCGTACTATTTTCAACGCCAATGGGCCAACATACCTTCCATTCTGTATTTTGTCGTCCTTCGTTGTGAGATGACCTGGCTAAAAGGGGTCAGTAGATCATACATGCCGGACCAGCCATGTCAGGTGGGTGGACTTCCTTGCCTCCCACCAATATACTTAAGAGAACCCCTCTCCACTTCAATGACATTTCGCTCCTCATACCTAGCTTATCGCATCGAAATCTGGTATGGTCCGTCTCTCGGAAAAGGGCAAAGCGGCTTTAGACAGCATCCTCGTGCGTAGCCTTCATCCCACTGCTCAATCCTCCACATGCCTATTGACCCCTGCATAATCGGTTTACGCGCAGACTAAGGCCATCGATGATGGCAGAGTACCAGGTGCTGGACTCGTCGTCGGGACTGCAGACAAAGAGATCTACTGTGGTGCAGCGGGCCTCCGATCCTTCCAGGACTCGTCTGCAGGCAAGGTCGACGCCGACAGCATCTTCTGGATCTGCAGCCAGACTAAGCTCATTACAACGGTATGCCCCTCTCACTCTTCAAGACTTGTCGTCCTCATCATGTCGCCCTGTTTCTAGATCGCTATCCTCCAACTCGTTGAACGCGGGCTCCTCGACTATGACACCCCAGTCGCGCCGATCATCCCCGAGCTTGCCAACCCAATCATCATCGCCGACCCCTCTTCGCCTTCTTCCACCTACGCCCCGGCAAAAATGCCCATCCTCCTGAGGCACCTCCTGAACCACACGAGCGGGTTGTACTACACGTCACACAAGAGGTCCCCAGAGGATCTCGCCCCGGCGAACACCCGCAGCCCGTATGAGGGCGACCACTCGGTGACGCAGTTCTTTAGGATCTTGAGATCGGGGCAGGGGGTGTTCGGTGAGGAGTATAGGAGGGAGAAAGTACCCGAAGATGGCTTGCCTGGGGTGCCGTTGGCGTATGAGCCTGGGACGAATTGTAAGTGCTCGAACCCGGCTTCAGGGCAAGGCTTTACGTTGATGCTTGGGCACAGTTTCTTACGGATGGAGTTCCGACATTCTCGTATTCATGGTAGAAAGGCTGACTGGTCAGAAGATGGAGGCTTACTGGTGCGGTGCCATCTTTTCCTATGTATTCATTGTAACTCATCATCCTCATTCTCTGTAGCAAGGAGCACATATTCGGTCCGTTGGAGATGGAGACCAGTTTCTACCTGACCCCGGAGAAGAAGGCGAAGCTCGTGCAATTGACATACCGTCGACGCGACGGAACGCTCGAGAAATGGGCAGATCAAATTGACATCATCGAGCAGGATCCTGCGAAATGTCCGTTTCCTTCCTGTGCCCCTTTCTTCACAACCTAAGAATCACTGGATGTAGTGGATGTCGTCTTGGGTGGCATCGGCCTTTACTCGACACTGAGCGACTACCTCAAGCTTCTCCAGCACATTATCAGTATCAACGGTATGTTTCCTCCAACATGACGCCGAAGTGCTCATCCACTCATGCATGGCCTATCATGATATCATCCCAGCCGGCACTGCAACCCAAGGCATCCTCAGTGCGAAGAGCGTCTCTGATCTCTTCACCCCTACGCTACCCGAGCACGCCACCGCAGCGCTGTACCAATTCACAAAATGGGAAAACTGTCAATTTGGCATCGGGCTCTGCCTTGCCACCAAGGATTGGTCGAATGGGCGGAGGAAGAAAGGATCGGGATTCTGTGAGTACTTACTGCATAGGATATATTTGGGTAATAAGGGACGTGCACTCATACCTGCTACAGGGTACGGCTGGGCGGGCACCAACTATTTCATGGATCCCGCAACGGGTATCGCAGTGGCCTACGGCACTCAGGTCGCACCCACCTGCGATCCGGAGGTGGTCAAGCTTTGGGAAGAGCTGGAGGCGACTATCTACCAAGGACTTGAGGCATAAATTCAAGAAGATTTGCGGAATCACACAGGAAATCCAGGAAATTGTGTAGTCTCACTTTCTTTGCCCGAGAACGTGAGGTGATATTTCCAAGACAAAACTGGGACGAGAATGCCTTTGGTATAAAAGGCGACGCAATCGACCTTGATTTCTACTGTGTATGTTGTGTATGTTCGCTCGCCTTCACAGTTTCTCCAAAAGAACTTTTAAACTTGGTGCGCCACAGTGTACAAACTCGGTCAGATTGTCCGCATTCCATCAGAGACGACCATTCGGAGCTTTCACAAGCCGACGCCCTAAGAAGGGCTTGGGAAACGGCGGTCGGCCTTGTGTCGACCCAGCCGCCTTGGCGCTCTTCATGTCCTATGAGGATACGGCCACGACCTGAAGCTTTGAGTCCTCGGTTGAGTGGCCAGCGGGCGCCAGCGCCTAGACCGGTTGTTTCTCTGGAACTTCTGGTCAGGTAGTTAGCGAGCAGATTACACATTAAGCCATGGCTCAAGCACATTCTAGTTCTGGAAAGGGCATAGTTCGTCTTCATTTTCATGGAGGGTGAAATAGATGGCGCTTGTCCCCGCTTTCCACAAAGGCTGGCAAAAACAGCTGCCGGTTTTACTGAAGCTGAATGACAACGGGCGGCAACGAATTTACTTCACTTTTGACGGACGTCAGACGAACTACTTAGTCCAACGCTTCTTTCAATTTTGAGGAGCGGCCAAGGCGATCAAATGCTTGGACATTTTTCCTTGCCTATAACATTGCAAGCCACCCTTGTAAATCAAGTCAGAAAATCGAAAAAAATTGCCTGCCGGGGTGACATAGGCAGAAAAAATAGACCTGGAAAACGCTTGAATAACTTATTTAAAAACTCAAGCGGGCGGCGCAGGCATGAGAGAAACTAGTAGGCTGTGGGTGGGAAAACAGGTCCACGCGAGATTGGCGGAAGTTTAGGGTGATGTCGATGATGCGCCCCTGAATGGCGAGATATAAACTCCGCATGCCAACGCTCCTTGTTTTCAACGTCCACCATCTCCCTCACCGCAAACGACTCTCTTGCTTTTTAGCAACCCCCACACTCTCTTACCCACACTCTCCTTATTCTTAATCGCAAAAATGTTCTCCAAGGCTGCTATCCTCCTCGCTTGCACTTCTGCGGCTTTTGCCAACGTCTTCGTATGTTTTTTTCTTATGTCGAGGGCCACGTCAACCAACTTGGATGCTTACCCCCCCTCCAGATCACCTCCCCCACGGCTGCGACCACCTTCTCCGGTGGAAGGACCGCTACTATCAGATGGCAGGACGATGGTTCTGCTCCTACCCTTAAGGACTTCGGTCCTGCTCAGATTTCAATTTACGTTGGGAATGCCCTCCAACAGGTGCGTCGCTATGTCCATATGGGTCCCAGCCTGTCTCATTCTGCTGTAGACTCGCCTGCAAACCATCAACGCGAGCGTCGACGTTTCTACCACCTCTGAGCTCACCTTCACCCCTGATGCGTCTATCGGCCCCAACAGCTCCGAATAGTTAGTCTATCCTCCCCCTCCCCTCCACCATCCCTAACCTCCCCAACAGCTTCATCCGTGTTGAGTCGCTCGCTCTCAAGGACGCGGCCCAGCCCCAGTTCCCCGCTCTCGCGTTCTCTGCCAAGTTCACGTACGTCCATTCTCCAACTCTCACCTTGCGGAGCCCTTCAATTGTTCCCGCAGTCTGGACAGCATGACGGGTGTCTTCAGCGCCGACGTTACCAGCCAGATCAACGGCCAATCGACCGCGCCCCTAGCCCGCACCTCAACCACTGCCGCCACCACTGCTACCCGCGCAACGACCTCCGCGAGCAGCGTAGCGAGGACATCTGCGACCTCTGCTGGTGCCTCCGCCACGGCGTCCACCAACGCTGCCGCCGGTCTCACTGGCAAGGCCGGCTGGGCGGGTGCTTTCCTCGGTGCCCTCGTCGGTGTTACCATGTTCTGAGTGGTTCTAGTTCCGATATAAATTTTCATTTTCCTCCCTCTCCTGGTTTACTTCGTTGCTCTCGGTCTCTCCATATTCGTGACTTTTATTGATGTTGCGCAGGCTGTTGTTGCATCGGTTTCGTTCGACCCGACCTAGTCCATACCCCACGACCGAATTTATATCCACATTCATGATGATTTGACTGGCAGGGCGCGAACACCTAGAGCACCCTCGCCAACGATGGGAACGGAATCTACCTTACATTCGTTACAGACCGACCGATGGTCAACTAATCGCATCATGATTTCTTTGATTCTGACTCAATGAAGAGGGCCGCATGTTTTTTTTTATGGTATGAACAAAGGATAATGTATTGTGCAATTTCGCCGGTCCCGCTTTCGGATAAACCCCCTCGACGGTCTCTTATCGTGATGCTAAAAGTAGGCACGAACATCTGATGAATGTGTCATTTCGCGCCGGCGAGATCGCAAAAATGCTTGACATCGTGAGCGTTGAATTGAACGTGGAATCACAGGAATAAATTTCTCTTGTATTCCTCCCTGCTGCCCGTGCTAGCCTAGGTTTGCGAGGGGATCCTCAGTTATTTCAGCAGGCCGGGACAGACGTCTTCCAAGTGTTCCTAAATCCAGGCAAGCGTCGAGTCCAGAAAGCCATGGGCGCTTCCATGGCTGGCAAACTTTTTCAACAACGTCCGAATGATCATCGACATCGATAATAGGTCATCAGACGACCCGGCCGCAATGGACGCCTTATGCTTTTCATATAATTTGAGCAGCCTTGTTTCCCCGACTGCCCGCCCAAACACCTCGATATTTCATCCCATCTTTACCTTCTTGAAGGCTGTTCTTCCCTTCGTCCCCATCTTGCCATCAGCGGGGGGACCTTTGGAATTTATCTGTCCATCATTGTCACATTCTGGTATCTTTCAAGCCTGCGCTGAAATTCCTTCCGTCCTTTTCGCCCGGATTTACAGTTGGGGAGTCGCATGTCATCTGGGAAGCGGTCAGTATTCCACTTTATAAGTGCTGGTAAATCTGGACGGGTTAGCGCTCGCAGCTGAGGTGTTTATAAAGAAGATTGATTGGCAATTCGGAGTATTCTGGTCGTTCCACAATTAGATAACGTTGTAACTTGGAGAGAAGACAGTATCCTTGCTGGTATTCCTATCTCTTGCTTGGGACCACATATGCAGTACCTCAGTCAACCAGAGCAGCTGTGTAGCCGGCGCTTTGTGTAATAATGCGGCTAGTCTCCTAGTTTTAGCGCCCGTGGTGATCGATCGGTGCAGCAATCCCGAAAGAGATCGAGCCCCGGAAGGGAAGGACGGAGAGCATTCGCTGGACTCACTTCTGCAGCGGACAGCGAGCACTGAAAAGGGGCCAGTCAGCGACTTGTCAGACACCAGTATGACAGTCAAGGTCGAGATCGTGCCTTGCTGCACAGGAGGGAACACTCCCAGCTTTCTTCAGCCAGAAGACGTGTCTGGCAGGGGAAGTGAAATGCATATCGCTGCAGTACGATGCCAACATTGCATGCAAATCATCATGGGAAAAAAGACTGAAGAGGTCGTGGAAAAACGATGCCTTCTCCTCGTTTGACATTTTGCAAAGCCTAGATGGGGAAATCTTCCTCAATGAAAGGGGTTTGTTTGTGACGGGGTGTGAAGATAAAGGTCTGTTGACGGTTCACATTGCTCAATTGGATGCTCACATTCTTTCGTCGTTCTCAGGCAGGCGCCTGCGGGCTGACAGTTATCACACGGCGAGGGGAATCTGAATAAGCGCCCGGAGCAATAAGCTTTGGCTTAGCGCTTATCCTTGCCACGCAGTTCAAGTATTGATGAAGAGAATTCGCTCATTAAATATGTTATGCCGTTATGATTTGGAGGAATTTCAAAGACAGGGCTCTCCGATTATGTGCTAAATTGGTTGGTCCCACACCCATTCAGTAGCAACACTGACGGCTAGGGGATAAAATGTAGGAAATAAGGGGGGCAGGTCGTAATATGCCACTCACCTTCAGTATCTGTTGGGAGACATTGAAGAATGTTATGGCGAGCGCAACGAGGCACGTCTCTCTTCGTCCGACGATAGTTCCCTTATTCTGCGGAGTAACTTTGAGCGTAGACGATGTTAAGTAAGATCTGTTCAGATGACGTTCATTCTGCGCTCAATTCGCATCCGCCCTGACCTCGGCAAAAAAAAAACGAAGGAATGAATTAAATGGAGAATATGAACTCACCTCGACCATGTCTAGGTTTGTGAGATGCTCAGTAGAAATCTAGATCAGTGATGTTCGGGTCTGATTGATGGAGTTGCTCTGGGTTTGACCGATGGGCCGCAGAAGGTAGTGAGGGGGGCAAGGGAGGTCAATTAGAGTATTTCGTGCACATTATTCTCCCTCTCGCGATGGAAGTACCGGTGGACCAGTGGTGGCAGGGAGAACCCTACGTGGCTGCCGGATTTAGAAGCCGGAGAATGCCGAAGCCACTTCCTCGGCATGATTTTGCCGATTTCACGCATGGAGCAAGTTGAACCTTGACAACGACCGAAATTCTTGGAACGACCGTCACGATTTTCACGCCAAAGTCCGTCAAATTCCGTGCTTTCCTTGGTTCCACCATCTTCAGACGCTGCTCTGCTCACTCTCTATGCCTCCTTGACAGGTTCAAACCCGCTATTAACCCAAGAAATCCACATAAATCGCCATAGCTTCACTTTGAAGCACCTTACGCTCTTTTCTGCAAACCGCAAAGCTCCACATTCGTTATCAACCCCGCAATGTATTCCTCTCTCATGGCCCTGGCTTTGGCAATCATCTGTCTAGATTTTGTTATGTTGGTTAATGCCGGACTCTACGTATGTGCTTATCCTTGGTGTATAGTGTCAGCCTGCTAATGAGTTTTGAACACCTCCTCAGATCGTTGAACCCAGACAAGGGACCACATGTCGAGGCGGCCAACCGTGTACAGTAACTTGGCTCGATGACGGTACAAGACCGCTGCTATCCGCGATTGGAGTATCGACAATAGGGCTCTACACGGGCAAGCAGGTGCGCATGCTGCATGTAGACCTCATGCTCTCCGTCTCATCTGCAACGCGATTCCAGCAACTTGTCCAAAGGATTACTCCTGTTGATGTGTCCACTGCGCAGTCCCTTACGTTCACGGTTTGTCGTCGCCTGCATCAACCGTCGTGCATTTCTCATTATGAATGTTGGTTGGTGGTTGTACAGCCGAACCCTGCAGCTGGCCCCAACTCGGATGACTAGTGAGTTGATGCTCTCGCACTTCTGAGATCGTTGCTCATGCAGCTACAGCTACATCTCCATTACCTCAACCACCCTGAAAGGAAACGAAAGCATTCCCTATTCTGGCTGGTCGGCATGGTTCAGGTCCGTGACACCACCTCTGCTTTTTCTATGGACGTCTAACATAGTCTCCAGTCTTACTGGCATGTCTGGCTCGTTTGACACCCCTCTGCCCGCCGTCACATCGTCCATCCCCATCCCCGCCTCCTTAACCCAGACGTCATCAGCAGTGACGTCCACGAGGACCATCGGCACCCCTTCCACCTCCCTGAAGCCGCTGACGACACCGCTCTCCTCGAAGTCGGCGTCCCCATCCTTCAGCACCTCGCGACTATCGACGTCGACATTACCAGCGGCATCAACGACGTCGGCCTCGAGTGCCCCTTCATCGTCGCAATCATCACTATCAAGCACAAACGGAGCTACCGGTCGATCTGCCGGACTGCCTCTCCTGTCGTTGGTGGTTGCCTCTGCGTTCATTATGCTTTTCTCATAACCTTTGCCGTGAACCCTTGCTCATTGTTTGTTATGGACACCTTATCTTCGCGTTGGACGTTGTTCTCTTCCAATGACTTCCATTCTTTGCCCTTTATGTCCGCCAGAAGTAAAGTACGGTGGCGCGTTGGGGCCATGTTCTTCATCCCATCAGTCTGCGACACCCTTTCAGCGATCACATCACATACCTCCCGTCCATCCATTCCTATGACGCCGCGACGCACTCTCAATCACTCGTCCGCATAGCTCCCATCACTCGTCCGCCATCACCCCGCTCACCCATTCTTAACTCTCGACCTTTGTTCATCCAATCGTCGTCAGGACTGTTCATTCGTAGACGCTTTGCTCTTCGCCTTTCATAACCTTTGCCGTTATTTTTATTACATTGTAGCTTTGCGCCTACCCAGCTTTCGACTGATTCAACAACCCGTTTTTTTCGCGATACCCATGTGTTAGACCATATGCCATTCGCACTGTGTAACCTGCAATCAAGCTTTCTAGCTCGTTGTGATCTGGAGCTTCAGATCCAGAGCAAGTGCATGTACGCGTGCGATGCAAACGTCTTGTACGATGTCGAAGTTTGTCGTGCTTATCCAGCTGTCAGTTCATCAAGCATCAGCCGAATACCAGAGTCTACTTCTGCTCGCAGAAAGGAAGCATGATGACATCCCCCTGCTTTTCTTTCAGTCTCTCGCTGGTCTCGGAGCGTGAATATAGATATTATTGAGTTTTGGAAGCTATTTCCGATTTTTTTTGTTCGTGTTACCCGTTTTGAACACCTTAAGAGCCTGCCCGTCGCGTGGTAACTATATTGTCCTCGTCGGTTTTCCCGATGCCTTATTCGTGTCCCACGAGGAAAAACCCTGACGGGTTTAGCCATCCGCCGTACTTACGCAGTGCAGGTATGAAGGTGTGGCGCGTTGTTGTCCCTGAGAAGCCATCCTCGGGGATTAGGTCGAAAATGTCACGCCTGTTGTACGCCTGTTCGATGTAGTCGAACTCCGACCCTTGGCGGCTGCAAGGAAGGGTGAATCGTCAGAAAGGAGACCCGAAAAGGTGAGGAATGATATTTTACTCTTCGTCGACGAGGAAGTATGCGTGAGGGATGATTCTTGCGATCCCGTAGCGCTGGGTGGGCTCGACGCATAGAAGCTGCAATATGATTTTTGTCAGAAAAACTACCAACGTTTTAAACACTAGTCTTCACTTACCCCACGAAGAAGGTCCACGGTGGGGTCTCTCGGATCCATATCTGGAATTTTTCCGCCCAAGTACCACAGCTGGGTGTTCTTCCCGCCATTCCACGTTCGGATCCATCGCTCAAGCTCGAAATCTACGATGTCAAAGAGAGTCTACAAGTCCAAACAAAAACCAAATGATGAGTCAGCAACGCACGAACAAAGACAGGCGGCCAGAACACGCACTCTTCCTGTCAACATCTCGAAGAACACACAACCCAGAGAGAAGTAGTCGATCTCGAGGATCGTCTTCGACATTCGAATCATCTCCGGAGCCATGTACTCCCTCGTTCCGACTAGGCCTCGCTGCCAGTTGTCTTCACCCCGCTCAGTGAAGTCGTGGCCCGCAGGAACTGGGCAGTGGAGCTTCGTGACGAAGCTCAAACCGAAGTCGGTGATCTTGACGTTTCCCTTTGCGTCGATGAGGATATTTTCGGGCTTGATGTCCCGGTGGATGATCCCGACGGAGTGTAACGTCGCGATGCCGATGGCCTATCATGAGCGATTTTTTTTGTCAGTTGACCCACTCGATGATTCAGTGAAAGGGATGTATTGACCATTTGTGCCAGAAAACGAGGGCAATCACTCCGGTGGATGCGGCCCTCGTTGAGTAGCATGCGCAAGTCGGCATGCATGAGTTCCTATAGGTACGGCGTTGAAAACGAATCCAAGCATCAGTGACAAAGAACAAGACTTACGAACACAAAGGCATCGTCGTATCTATTCGCCAGATACCCTTCCATCTGCATCAGAAACTCGAAACCGGCTTCTTGTAGTCGCAGGTGTGTCCGATCCTCCTGTACGCCTGCAGCTCCGATTGGATGTGGAGCTCCCTTCTTGCATATGCCTCCGGGTCCTCCTCTCGGTCGAAGTATCCAAACGTCTTCATCGCCCACACCGAACCTCTTTCCAACCCGTACCCGTTGACCTGCTCGCCAACGGATCTCACGTACACAACACGCGAGAGGCCGTTCCCCGGCTGGATCTCTCGCCCCGCGATTAGGACGACTGTTGGCACGCGACCAATGGCGCTCCAGGACTCGCGGGGCTCGCGGATCCCAGGCTCGGGGTGTACTGGTGGAATAATGTTCTGGTAAGGGCGACTATAAAGCGTCTGGAACCGCCGCTCGAGTTCTTCTGCCCGTTCTCGCTCCTCTGCTTCATCCTCTGCGTCTGAATCGGAGTAGTACTCCTGCGACTCGACTTGTGGCACTTCGTCGTAGATGAAGCTGTCGTCGCCATCGTCGTGGGATCTTCTGGACGTGTCGAAGTCTTTAGCGATTCCCTCTTCTGTCGCCCTCGTCTGCCACTGGTGCTCATCGACTTCGTCAACTTCGGGATCGGTGCGCTGGTCCTGGCGGTGACTACTTTCAGGGCTGGGGGTGTAGTGGCTTTGGTGTCTTTCTGGATCATGTTGGGTGGCGACCCTTCCTTCGTCGTCTGCGATGGGCGAGTCGTGGTGGCCTAGGTGCTGGTCGTCTTCTGCTATTGAGCGCTCAGCTTGGTGGTGGTGTGAGGTGGATGCATATTGTGAGTCGTCGTCGCCTTGCCAGGCGCGATGCCACAGGTCTTCAAATTCGTTGTCGTCGTCCTGGTGGCAGGGGCCATGTGCTTCATCGGGGTTGGTGGTGTGGACACCATCGCCCGCTTGTTGATCTTCTCTGTGGGCGTCACCTTCCTCGCAGTCGTCTTCACCTCCTTTGCAGTTGTCTTCATCGTCTACCTCGTCCAACTCTGCGCGATCAAAACATGACTCCAAGCTCATGTCACTTGTGGAAAGCAAGGCTTCAGTGGCATCTGGAACGGTGGCAAGTCGGCTGGGGCTATCAAAGGTGAATGAGACATTGTTGGCACGGTCGCGCCTCACAGCCTCGGGCCATAGCAAGCCACGGAACATAGTATCAAAGCGTATCGGTGCGGTTTGGGGTGGTGGGAATAGGTGCAGACGGTCGGCGGACGCGTCGTTGAGGTGGGGGTTGGTGGTGGTAAGAGTGAAAGCCTTATAGCTATCGTTAGGACTCATCTAACCGACTTTTCAGCAAAGATCTATAGGGGTGTTTGTTCACGCTTTTGTGGCCTACCGGATTTGCGCCGGGGGCTAGGTGAAAGGCGAGTGGCTTTCTTTGATGACCAAATAGCAGAAGGCCCATTGTTCAAAGATTGAGGCGACCTGCGACCCCGTTTGGGTGGCCAGGCGCACGCGCAAGCTGGTGGGAGCATGCGACGCTTTGGAAGTGAGCCAGAGTCATCCTATGGCTGCGACGCGCTGTGGCCTTCAATGAGTTGGGACATCCGTCCCCTCGCACTCTCCTTTACAGATCCGCATAATCGGTTATCAGTTGTAAGGGAGCTAGTAACCGTTTCCTGCTCCTTTCTGACAGTCAGTCTTCGCTAGCGCCGTCGATAGCTATATCACGCTGAAGGAGAGGGTTCAATCCGTACTCGGCAACCCCGCCGTTCTCACCATCGACGAATCTGACTTCCTGGAACAGTGGCCCAGGGTTTGATCAGATTATGGTTACCTGACCTCCCGACTTCAGGATTGGATTCAAATTGCAAAATTGGATGGTCGACATTTGCCTTTTGGCCGTCAATGCCCTAGGAAACACTATGCTGATTACCAAATCTATGAACTTCCATGTGCGTCGTAAATCTACTGAGTCGAATGCAATTATGTGCTCAGAGTTGGTACGAAAGGTAGGAACCGTGCTAACTTAGCTTCCTAGCTGAAGGCATCAAAGTCGGCCATCCCGAATTTGGTTCGCCGAAGGCTTGATTTGGGTCCCGCCGGGCGTTCCGCGTGATGGGCAACGCAAGTCGCTCCAAGCGCTCATTCGTTCGATGCTCTACGCGCCAGTGTCTATGGTCAAATTAAGAGCTAAATATATCTGCATAATGCACGCGTGTATCCTCACCATTGAACTGCAAAAATCCACCGATGACAGTGACAATCTGGGTGTAGTATACATGTTTTTCCGGTGTCCGGGCAGGACATTCCTCCAAAAAGGGCTGGGACTCTTTGGGTGTTGTTCGCCGCGCCAGGACTTTGAGGACGGGTCGTGAGATAAGGCCATGTCATGATTAATGGATGGCAGCCTCGGGTGCCTGAGCCTCAGGGGTCCCCAAGCTCAAAAAACAATCCTCACTCTTTTCTTTGTTTTTCATTCCCTTCACGTACTCCCGCCATCCCAGGACCACTTCCCGTCGCCTTCATGAGACTCGGCACGTTCATCATCGCTCTTTTCGTCGTTGCGGCCCCTACGGTCGACGCTCATCCTTCAGCAAAGTCAACGAATGCCGAGCGCTTGGCGCGTGGGTTGCCCCCTCTTCCTCCTGCTCGTCGGGCAACGCATGTGGCTGGTAAGCTATCATTGTAAACAGCTATGTACATTCAACTAGTTAACACGTCTAAAAGCTGCACGAAGGAGCGGAGTGTCGCCTATTCCTCAGCCCGAACCCCAGCCCCAAGTCTGCGAGACCGGTCCTATTCAGTGCTGTAAGTGTTCGTTTGTCTCGTTTTATTTGTATTGTCGCTGAAGGCCTGATCTTCTAGGCCAAAAGGTCACCACCGCGAGTGACCCGGTTGCGGGTTTGGTCCTTAGCCTCCTGGGGGTAGTCGTGAAAGACACGTCGACTTCAGTAGGCATGACGTGCAGTCCTATGAGTGGCATCAGCTCCGGAACTTGGTAAGTTATTTCAGCTTAGGAAACATGCGTTTTTCTTATTTTCTTCTACTGTAGCGCGACTCAAACCGTGTGCTGTGAGAACAACAGCTTCAATGGTCTCATCGCTCTTGGGTGCACTCCCGTCTCGGCCTCGGTATGTCATGAAATTCTCTTCGTCGTAAATTATCGTGCTCTGACTGACACAACCCTAGACTTCGTGATTTCCTTTCCTCACGATAATTGATTCCCAGTCCCCTAAAGTTTCAATCCTTTCATAACGCTCCTTCATCGCAATGAACTCATAGATCTACTATCTACATACTCTACTCCACGTACTTGAAGCAAATGATTTTGGAAGAAAAGAATCTGTGGCCCAGGTTTCAACAAGTAGAATGTCGCCCTTGAGGGTCAACTCATACTTTGAAGGACATCCGGAATATCCTCGGACATCATGACAGCTGGTTTGCCGCCGGAACGTGCCGAGAGGTTTCTAGTGGTCTACTTGTCCAGTTACGACACACCAGCGACGCACACTATGCTTCAAAGCATCACGCTCGAACTGCTACACTCAGCACGGGGGAAAAAATGGTGAGCTCGTCAATTTGTATTATCCAATTTGAAGCCCCTGCTGAGGACGACAAGGCCCAGAAAAAATACAACAAGAGCACAACAATAAGCGCGACCTAAAGACATGGTCCAAACCTCAATGGCATGGAAACTCTATCCAAACCATATTTGTGAAAACCGATGTTTGTTGCGCTGCCCTCTATTGTGGGTCGAAGAATAACGTCGCGAACTGGAGCGTATAGTCAACGCATAAGTAGGGAGAATGGCAGGTCGGTGCTTCTCCACAACATATTCCAACATCAGTCTCACTCGAGCATCTTCCAGGAAATCTCAACGGAAGGCACGAACCCGCCGATTTGAAAGGGATTACGAACCGCGACGATGATCTGGAAGAAGAGATTCTGGGCCAAGGTTCTCCGTCGCCGCAAGCCCGCTCACGATTCTGCTAATGGACCTTCAGCCGTCGATGAGGATTTCAGTGCCGTAGATTCCAGCCAGCAGGTCGCTTCCTCCACCTCCCCTTCTTTCTGCCAAGATGCGTTATCAGATCATGCCATTGTTCCTCCGTTGGATGCAGGCTGCGGCTGTGCAGCCTCGTTCCCGGGAAATCAAGAAGATGCCACTCGCGCCGCTTTGTCCTGCTCATCCCCCATTTATGTCGGCCGCGATCTTCCTTCCTTCCCATCACCAAACCCTGCGCACGAACTTGACACTGTACGAGACGACTCCCCTCCGCACCACGTTATCATGTCCTCATCTCCCGCCAACACCGAAATCACTCTACCGACACACGAGCCGTATGTAGCTGATCAACTCAAGCTTCCGGAGGCACGGGACGCGCTCGCGTTGATTGAAATTCTATGCGAAACCATCGAAGGACTGGGAGACCTCATCCGCGTTGCTCATATCGCGAAGGAGAAGATCGTCGCGCATTATGGGATCGACATGCTTCTGAGGCCTCAGCTCGCACCTGCTGCTGATCCCAAGCTGCCTCTTTCTCCGCTTAACCTCGGTGGTAAGCCGCGAGAGGTGGACGAAGCTATAGATGCGATCAACGAGGAGCCAGTAAAATCAGTCGAATCTGCCGACGACGAAGAGTTGTTTGTTTACCCGGGCGAATCTGCTGAAGACACTCCGCCTGATTCTACAACCAGCGTCGGCGATGGTACCTTGTCTACTCCTGTCCGCTTCCCGGAGGCACCTTACATTGAAGACCCAATCGATCCGCCGACATTCAGCCCCCACACAGCGAATAGACATTCTTTATCACCTCGAACATCACCCAGAGGGCGTGCGACGTCCATGGACAATGAAACGCTCTCGACGCCGCGCGTTTCTACACGATTATTCGATCAACCCGAAGGTGTTTCGTCTCGACCAGCTACCATCCATGAAATCGAGGTCCACAGCGAAGAGAGTGAAGAACGCCTCGATACTTCGTCTGTCCATAGCTTTCTCTTTTCCGACGGCGCCCATCCTAGTACCGAGCGTTCTCGAGTACAATTCTCGCACCGCGAACGTCATCTCCACTCGTTCCGGTCAACTCCACGGATGCCCTTCGATATTTCGACGCAGCAAAACTACTCGGAGCCTATCGCAGAAGGCAGGACCTCCTCCGTCTCGCGCGTGTTGCGGTCTGCCCTCGGGGCGGACTACGAGGCCATCAAGTCGGTCGATCTCAAGAAGCAGAGCGAAGTGACGTTGAAGTGGTGTGCACGCGAGGTCCAGATGATGAAGATGCTGTACGACCTCCAACGCGGCCCGCTGCCCTATCGGCCTGGCACCCCCGAGAATGCGAGAGATTACATTATCAACTTCCCCTCTGACCCCCTGGAGAACTGTATCTGGATCGATCCCTTCGGTACCTTGAACATCTCAACTGTGAGTCTAACATCATGCTCGGTGTTCTGTTCGATCTTCATCATGTGCATACAAACAGTGCTACTATCCATATAATTTATCGCAATTCAGAGGCGTCAGTCCTATCGACGCACCTGACGAAACCATCGCACAGCGCGCCGAACCGCTGTATTTCATCTTGTATGAACTCGTAAGTCACCCACTCATTTCTGGACTCTCCTTTTTTTCTGATATTTCTGCTCATAGACACAAGGTCTACGCTTCCTCCACTCACTCGGGGTTGTCCACCTCGACATCCAGCCCTCCAACATCTTCCTTACAAGCTCGCGCCACTGCGTCATCGGCGACTTCGGCGGAAGCGTAGCAGGCACCTGGGAGGAGGCGTTTGACACATCTCTGGTGACCTACGCGCCGCGCGCGTTCGCCGCCCCCGAGCTGCTCGAAGCCTCCACGTTTGACTCAAGGGCAGATTTCTGGAGCCTGGGGATGGCCATGTTTGATATCATTGTTCCGGATGGCATTGAGGCCCTGCTGGGTGCTGAGGAAGACATGGAGGCGAAGCAGGCAGGCTACCCGTTCAGGGGGCCGAAGAAGCTTGGAGGCATGATGCGTAACAATAAGTGTCCTGAGGACGTCATCAACCAGGTTACGAACGTGAGTCGCTCTTTCCTTAGATCAACGGGCGAGGCCTCTCAAGTGTTTTCTCTGCCTCTAGATGCTTCAAAAAGGACCCTTGGATAGGGCCCATGGAAAGTCGATGATGAAATACCTGAAAGACCATCACTGGCAGTAAGTTTCGAGGAAGCACCGTGTCCATCCCCTTGCTAATACCGTCTTGTGATGTAGGGAGAAATTCACGACCTCCGATGCTTCACGTAAGTCGCAGACACCTTTCCCTTTCATACTTCTCTGACGAAGCGCTCGACAACTCAAGCACTCCTGAACTACGAACCAGCACCGAGGGCATTGTTGGCTACGGCCTCAATCGACATCGTGCCTATGGGTCTTCCTGCTCGGGAGGTGATACGTAAGTTGCGTGAGGAGGTCCATACTTTGTGCGAATACGATGTTCATATTCGTGGATAACTCGCTGGACGGACGGTTCTTGTTCACTCACGGACTACTTGGAAATGCTCGACGATGTTGTCGGTCTTTCCTCATCGGAACACTTCATACCCCCGTGTACTCTAGTTTATACCCTCCCTTCCATTTCCCCTGGATCTATGTACATTCTGTATCACTGGACGTTTCATGGGCCACGCCTCAATCCCAACTTGCATTGCGCCTCCTTCCACATGACAAACTCCCTTTGTGTGATGATTCGCCGAAAGCTGGGCATTATTTCGCATCATCTGCGTGCTTTTGTGATATCGAATGCCAGAGTTCTGTTCTCTCCTTCTATTCACGCGGAATTTAAAAGGGATCGTGCAACGGCGGCTAAACATAGACGCCGAGAGTGTGTGGCGCATACTTAGTCACGGCAGCTGATGTCATCGTGGGTGAACAAACGTCTTGCTGCCGCATCACCAATATTTGGTTTCGGGCTTGCGTCTGTTCGCGTGGAGTCTGTCATACGTGACGAGCAAAAACGACGGCAGGTTTAGGATGGCTCACCTGACGTCATGCTCTCCTGTCTCATAAACGCGACTCAAAAAAACTTCAGCTGTATTCCCCTTAATATTCATAGAAATGACCATCGAGAAAAGCTCCATCGCCGACCTCGTCGCTAGATATGGCTCGTCCAGTGCAACTGCCTGGCTCGAGTTCGACCGGTACAAACTCTGGCAGCCCTCCAAAGCTGCGTCTCAATCCTCCTTCACGCCCGTACAAGGATACATGGAGAAAGGCCCATACATTTTCGCGTGGGGAAACCCGCTCGTCTCTGATCCTGCCGCGCTCCCCAGCGTCGCCCGCCAGTTCATTGACTTCTGCGAATCCAGAGGCAAACGTCCAGTATGGTCGTGCGTGGACCGCGAGCTTGAGAAAATCCTGGGTGGAGACGAGTTCGGCTGGAGCACCGTCTCATGCATCTATGAAGACGTCATTGACCCCGCACACGTCTTGGAACTGACCTCACCTGAGGCGAAGGGTCAGGAAGGACAGAAAGTTGTCAAGGATTTGAAGAAAAATCTGCACTGGGCGGACAAGTACGCCGTGAAGGTCTCGGAGGTCAAAGGAAGTCAATGGACAGATGACGATAAGATCGCAATCGAGCAGGGCATCAGAGAATGGAAGTCCACCAAAGGCGGCGTGCAGATCGCCTCGACAACACTGCAGCCTTGGCTAGACTCCGAGCATAGAAGATACTGGGTAGCCAGGAAAGATAACGAGGCGCGTCATGAGTCAATAGGTCCAATTCTTCGAGACTGACGTCTTCGTTCATACTAGTCTGTCGGTGTCCTCGTCCTTACGCCCATTCAAGCATCATCCTGGCAGATAAAAAATGCCGTCTCCTTCCCCTCCGCGCCAAAGGGTACCTCAGAAGCTCTCATCTACACTGCGTTGAAAGATCTCCACGACGAACAAGAGCGAGCAGTAGTAGCAGGTCAGAAGATTCCTAACCCTGCAAACGGCAATTACCACGGAGAGAAGGTGGAGCCTTGCCTCAATCAACGACCATCCCCCGAGTCGACGGGCTCTACCACGACGAGCACAAAAAGCAGCGTCAGCATCAGCAGTGCGAATTCCATACCCATGAGAAACGGTGCGGAAACCCCAGATCCCGCGAGTGCCAGTGCGATGGCGAACGGGATTTCTAATGGGCGACCGGAGGAGACCACAAGAAATAGCGTCCCGCGGCAAACACATCATCGCGATGCGGATCAGGTCACGGTAACATTCGGGATAAGCGCGGCCCCAGGTCTTGAGCCTATCCACAACCTAGGAGGATGGAAAGTTAGCGCACTAAGCAAAACGTACGGCAAGGTCGCCAAAGGGGCGAAGCTGATCCAAAGAGGAGAATTCAGAGTGCGTTTCGGTTTTGCCGAGGGTTTGTAACTCACCAACAGTTCTATCGTGGTGACCCAGAGCAAATTTGACACCGCTCCCGATCCTATGTACGTCTGCTACCCTCCAAACGGATTCGGGTTGGAAGGCGTCAATGCCTTATTGAAGGTTTTGAAGAAGTAGCTGGAAAGTTATTGAGGCGATTGTGATCAGGACATTGAGGGTAAATTTATCGTCATTTTGGAGGAACGCACCAAATAGCTTGCAAGTAAAGTAACACGCAGATCAAAGATAGTACGCGTCTAATCTCCGCTGAGTCCGCTAAAGGGTTGCGCATTGGTTTGCACAAGGATGAGATAAAAAGGGATCCGTACCGGTCCCAAAAGTCGATAGGCAGGTTGGACAATTCAAGTCTGAGAGATACACAAAACAGTGTTCAGGCGTGTCCGTAAGGAATGCGAGGGAGTACCTTCACTGATACCAGCCTTGGTGTCGTTGAGATGTCCACCTGTCACGGTCAACGTGAGGGGTGGTCACATCACACTCAAGTGGCGGGGTTGCCAGATTTGGACAACCTGACACGAGCGGCCGACCCATGAGTGACGTTCGCAACGACGAGGAACCGTTTTCGAGCCAAAAATTCCGGTGAATGAGTAGCTACTGACATCCAAATGAGCAGGGCACTTCCGCAAAAAAATCGGCGACTACTTGGGGAGAAGTTTCGAGCAGCGGGAAATAGGGCCCGGGTGCCACAACGTGTGGCATCTTCACGCAGTCTCTGGACCCTGGCTTGAAATGGCGCATAACTAAAGAGTGTTGCGCGGTCAAGAGTGCGTCTGAGCGTGGCCTAGCGGGTGCCTGCGCTCGCTTGGCGCACTTCGAACAATGAGCAGCCGGTATTGGTGCGCTCTTGACCATTGATTCGACCAATCCTGGCACACCTTGTCCTATATCTGGAAGGCCACTGATGCACTCACTAGCAACCCTGGAAATCCATGTCGGAAAACAGATTAGATATAAGTATGAGGCCTTAGTTCCACAAACTCTTTCCACCACAACCCCCCTCCCACCCCAACTTCACCAACGCGTCCCCCGACCCCTTCGAGACTTTCCCTCAGCCCAACACCAACAAAAAATACTACGCTTTGACACCATGTCTCGTACACTGTGGCACGACCCTCTGGCTCTCGATCGAGCCACCTCAGCCGCTCTATTTGGCGGCCCTCATCCCCTCCATGTCGGGGGGATAGACACGGTGGGCCAACCTTCCCCAGTCGGTGCGGCCACAAGTTTTCTTGTCCTCGAGATGCCGGAGAATAGAGACGGCGAGGAGAGGCTGGAGTTTCAGTATCCATATGAAGAAGAATACGACAAGAAAGGAATTGAGGAAGAGTACGACGGCGAGACACAGGATATCGAGGAAGAAAGTCACGAGAATGAGGAGCCCAACAAAGAAGGAGCGCATAAGCTTTCCTTCGACGCCGAATGCGTCTGGAGGAAGACACGGCCGAACAACAGGGAGCCAGCTTGGAGGAGACCTGGAGGTGGCCAGGAAAGCCCTCGCTTCATCCCTGTCTCCCCGGTAGGGTACCGACAAACCCTCTATTTGGGCAACCAGGACACGCCCACTGTGGCATACCATGGAGTGCCATTTAAACGATCGAAGGGTATCCGGAACGACGCCTTCCAAGACACGGCCTCTTTCAATCCTACCCTCACTATCCACGAACACCACCTGGGACAGGCTAGCGGTGTATACACAAATGAAGGGAATAAATGCTCTCTCATCACCCTTTATGAGCGCTACCGCGGTCCCAACCCAAATTTGGCGGGTTGGCAAGCCGCATCGCCTCCCACTCTACAAGGCGGCACCCATCCCCGGCCCTGCAAGTCCCAACGGGGCCTCGTAGAATATATGGCTCTTCCTGAGGTCAAGAAGTCTCCTTGGAGGCGCAACGATGTTTTGAACGTGCCGACAATCTCGCTGATGACAGGACGTACGCTCCACTCTGGAAACGGCGCGTCTGTCTTGTACGTGAAGTCTCTGAAGGCCAAGGTCGAGGGAAAGGGTCTTCACAAAGACGACGTATATATCATGAAGACGTTTTACCCGCCACGAGATGATGACGCTTCGACAAGGCCGGAAATGAGCAGACGCCAACTCGAAACAGAGCTCGACTGCTACAAAAGAATCAGCGAGAACTGGCAGTCTGAACACGTCGGTTTTGGTTTCATCATGGAGCTCGAAGGATTTCTTGTGAACAACTTCGTAGAAGCTATGCTCTTCGTAAGCTCAACCCGTTTTTCGCAGCCATCGGCGTCTTTCTCATCTCGTTCAACCTTCTGCAGGAACCCATGTATATGGACTTGAGGTCTTTCATGTGCCGATGGAGCCTTGCAAAAGATGCTCGAAGACTTATGGCGCAGATCGTTCGTCTGTTTTTCTTTCCAACGAATTGATAGTTGATTGAAATGGTAGGCAACCGGAATTGGGCTTCTCCATAGTATCGGGATCGTCCATCGGGACGTTAAACCTGAAAACATCCTCATTGATTCCAGAGGGAATGCGAGGATAACGGACTTTGGCCTCAGCTTCGTGACCAAGTTTGAGATGGCTCTCCCTGTGGGCTATCACTCGATCGAGCAGTTCGCCGACCCCGAGAAATTCCGGCGAGACTACGTCGGCACACCTGGCTACATGGCTCCCGAGATGATCAACAACTGGGACACCGTGCCAGAGATGGACTACTTCGCTCTCGGGTGCGTTTTCTTTGAGCTCCTCGGCGGCAAGGTGCGACCTCATTTCCTCGTGCTGACATCATTTGTTTACTGAAATTTGGCGCTATAGGTCCTCTTTGACGTGGCGCACGTGGAAATCAACAACTGGGACAAGGCATGGCATCAGGGGGTATCGGAGCAGCATACGTACCTTTGCGGTAAACTCAACAGTCTCCGGGAGAATTACACAGCGCTGAATCTGTTGTGTGGGGTAAGCCCAACAATCCGTCGCTGCGTTTTGTGCACCGGTCTCATTATTCTTCCATAGCTCCTAGCTGTCGACCCTACACGCCGCTTTAACGTTTCACAGATAGAACACCATCTATATTTTATTGGGATTGAGTGAGTGCTATACCCAGTATCTCTTCCCGCTTTCCTGTGTCTGATGAAACACCTTTCTGCTTAGGGATTTGTCTGAATTCAAGAAATTGGACTATGGTGTGTCCTAAATCTATCGTCTTTGTTCACCTGTTGACTTCAATTCATCAATAGCATCTTGTCGTCCCAAGAAATATTCTTCGACACCGGAAGATGCCTTTTCGATGAAGGGTGCCCGCTACACCTTCCACCCCGGCGACCACCGTTCAAATGGATGGCTCAACCCAAAAGGTGCTTTCTTCACGACGTAAGGGCGGTTCCACCGGGTCCAACAGAAGTAGCGATCCGAGGACGAGAAAAAATAGCGTAAACGTTCAAAAAATCGGAAATTAGTCAGAAAACCAAATATTCTGTTTCATTCTCGTATCTCGAGTTTGATGTTAAGCTTCGTCCGTGCGAGCAGTGGAAGAAGAGAGAGCTTGTGTTTGCGACGAACTCACGACTGTTACCAGTACCATGCTTGGTCCTCCCTGACAATAGGGTCTATCTGAAGTGCATCTCTTCTCGACTTCGGGAGTAGAGAAGATCGCCTAGCGATAGGAAAGTAGGATCGGTTGTGATGCAGGTTTGAATCATACGTTGGATTGGGGATAGGGCATGGCATAGAGCGCGTGGCGAGGGATGATGGTGCAAAGCAAAAAAGCGACGGAGTGTGAAAAAGAAACCGCCCAACCAACTGCCCTATGGTAAAGCGGGCCATCCCTCCCCGATCTGTGCCAGCGAGCAGCAAGAGTGTTGTACAGGCATCGTGATCGTGACCTCTAAGGATGAGCACCCTACTTCTCGGGGTTGGGGTTCCTAGTGAGGAAGAGCGAGTCAGTAAGCGTCGTGCGCAATGAAAGGAAGATGGAGGCAGAAGGGTCAGATAGGAGCGAAAGACGTAAAGATATATAGTTTCAACACGATCGTTTCAGCGTGAACTATGCAAGACATATGGTTTCATCGTTTGAGAATAAGAAATCGATGATTGGGAGGAAATGGGGCGATAGGAAATGTCGAACTGGAGCACTCACATTCTCCTCTTTCCACCCGGCAGTGTTGTCACATTCACGAAGCTAGAAGGGCGTTCATCAGCCAAATTTTCGACATCCAACATCCCATCGACACGCACCGACGGTTGTAGAGGATGCGCTTCTTTGCACGGCCCTTGGGAGTCTTTTTCTTCTCTTGCTTGTCAACCTTGGGGGTTTGCGACTTGACTTTGCCAGCGCGGGCGAGAGAACCGTGAACTATGTAAAAAAAAAGAAAGCGTGGGAGTATTAGCAACTATAGCTGCGACGAGCAGCACTTCAGTACCTTTGCCCATATTGTCTTGAGGATGCGGATGTCGACGGGGTCGATGATGAGGAATGACTGAGAAACTGTACAGTTGTAGACAATAAGGTTTCGGTAAATCCCGGCCGACACATGACCAGCGAACGACAATGACATCATCACCCCAATGCGCTCCTGCCCCTTTTTCCCTCTCGTTTCTGGTTCCGAGTGAAGAACCATCATCTGGGTGGTCTCTATGTCGAAACTCCGCGTCAATCTCAGATACAGAAGCCTGGATAATCGTCGACTTGGAAATTCAATAATCTCAACCCACAGGTTATTGTACGCTAGATACAGGGCTACTCATTTTGAGGCACGTTGGTACACAACAGAAGCCAGGGAGAACAAGGACTTGGACGTCACGCATTCACATTTCCTCGCAGAAGCACCATCCGGCGCCAAATGGCATCCAGGTGGACTCAACGGAAATAGCAGCTCGCAGGAAGGACAGCCGCGTTCGGGACAAGACGACCTACCAGATGGTGTTACAGAAACTAGAGGTAAGAGCTGTCTGCCTCAAGATCATCACCACGCACTCAACTCGCATGACATCTTCAAGCTCATCTTGCCTTTGGGAAGACTTTCTCATCCATCCAGCAATCGAATAGAGCCCACAAATCACAAGAAGCAACGGAGTAGCCCAACGCACAACACACCACCAACCGTGTTTCTCCTCCACCCTTCCCAACCTCTATCCCACGTCAGCCGCCTAATACTTGCCTCACTCGCTCCAGCTACACCATCTGTGTCCTTTAGAAGCGTGTCCTCGAACGGGCAAGCTTTCCAGTGGTCAGGCTCCACTGACGTTGGGGATTTCATCCGCGACGCGGCACACGCTGCAGAGTTCACAATATGCATGTCCTACGGCCCCGAGGATGCAAGGAAGCGTCTTCTGCCTTCGAACGGGCAAGAAGACCCCCGCATGGCACCTATAGACGCGGGCGAGATCCAAGGCGGCGAGAAGGTTGAGAATGGTATAACGGAGACTCTCTTGACGGTCACTGTGCCTACATTCGCCGACAGGACGCGTTTCCTGAGAAGAAGGCTCAACTTCGTCATAGGGAAGTTGAAAGATATGGAAGGCCTGAAGCAGAAGTGCGACCAGGAGGCACGTCAAGGCGCACGGAAGATGGCTCTGGGTGGGTTTGGGATGCTCATCGTATACTGGGGCGCTGTTGCTAGATTAACTTTCTGGGATTACGGGTGGTAAGTACCTGAAGAATTGGAGGGTCAAACCAGGCTGAGAAATACCGCCAGGGATGTGATGGAGCCAATAACATACCTATCAGGTTTGTCTACCGTTATCCTTGGATATCTATGGTAAGCACCACCCATGACATATGCCAATGGAAGACTTACTGACACAATCCCAGGTTCCTCTACCAGGGCCGCGAAGTCTCTTACACCTCCGTTCTCGCGCGGAGCATCTCCGCTCGCCGAGAGGTCCTGTATAAAGCCAAAGGATTCAACATCGACCATTGGATGGAGCTCATTGCCGAAAAGAGAGCGCTTCGTGCAGAGATAGGCAGAATTGCGAGGGACTATGAAGGCGACGATGACAATAGCAAAGGTGCCGACGAGGCTGAGGTTGATTCAGGACCGGAGAGGGAGGAGGGCCTGCAGGACGAGGGACGAGGTACGGCTGAGCAGGAGGCGCAACACCTCTTGCAAGATGGAAGGACAGGAGAGGTAGAGGATCGCGAAGACAAGGACATATATTGTTTGAATGAAGAGAACGTCGACGTTGATCGTGATGAAGAACATGGAAAAAGGCAAGCTCGAAAGGCAGATCGTGCCGGGCTTTAGGTTGACGGACGTTATAGATCTAATCGTTCATTACTTCGTATTATTTCATTTCATAGATACCCTTGTATATCCAATCTTCCGTAAAACGTAGACTTTTCGAAAGGAGCCCATCGTGGCTTATGACCACAAAGCATGGGCAACCCGAACGACGTCTGCCATCGCCTTGACGTCATGTACCCGCACGACCAAGGCATCTTGCTGAACAGCACAGGTGACGGCAGCTGCAGTCGCCCATGTACGTTCCTTGGGTTTTGTTTCTCGTCCATCCGGACCTTGAGCAAGGATTACTCCGAGAAACGTCTTTCTCGATGCCCCTATGAGTTGAGGGTATCCTCGTAGAGGATTTCGGTACAACGGAGCTCGGATGACTTGAACAATGACCGCGTAAGTCAAGATCAATACCAAAAATTGAATAAGTACACACCATCACCAATAAGGCGGTTCGCAACGATATCCTTCGCGGACCTAAGCACTTCCAAGTTGCCCTCCAGCGTTTTGCTAAAGCCAATGCCCGGATCGACAATGACAAACCACCTCCTTACCCCGCCCTTGCCTTTGACGATCCTATCCACCTTTGCACCAAGCTCGATACGCACCCCTTCAAGAACCGAGCCTCCAATCGCATAATCATATGAGCTGTAGTCCTTGTTCTTCCCTGCGTCACCTCTCGAGTGCATCAAGACGACGGGGACGGCGTGCTTCCTTGTGATGGCTTTTAGCTTGGTCATGTACTCGGCCGCTCGATCACCCTCGGGTATTCCAGCGGGGGCAGGCGGCCACGAGTCGGGCCCAGAGAAGGCGCACACGTCGTTAATGCAGTTTGCACCTGCTTTGATAGCAGCCTCCGCTACCTCCCAGCGGAACGTATCCACGCTGATCGGAGTGTCCACTACACGCCGAAGAAGCTCCTCCTCTGTCCTGCCTTCTTGCGTGGTGGACTCTGAGAGAACTTTTCGGTCGCGGATGGCCTCTATAGCAGGTACAACACGAGCGATCTCTTCGTCTACAGGAACAAATGCTGCTCCAGGGCGTGTCGAGTACCCGCCGATGTCGATGATCGTGGCACCCGCAGCTATCGAGGACTTCACGTAGGCCAGCGCAGCGGGTAGGACATTGTGCGTGGAACCATCAGAAAACGAGTCAGGGGTGACGTTGAGTGTGGCCATCATGTGTATTTTGCCGGGGCTGGCCTTGCGACCTATCGAGCTTGGTGTGTTTGCTGAAGGGAACAACCAATGCGTAAGAGTGTCCGGAACAGGATCGATCGATGATGTTGGAGGGGCAGAGAAAATGGGAGTTCGAGGAAAGGGAATAATTTTGTTCATTGGAGGTGCTATTGGATCGTAAATTTCGTTGAACAAGGTTTGGACAGATTTCTTGAGCACCGGGTGTACATAATCCGCGATCATACTACAACAGATAAGTCAGCTGGATTCCAGAGCATGGAAAGGAGTGCCCACTCATTGAGAGGTCTCAGGACGAACTCTCGTTCCTGAACACGAGGATGTGGCACAACGAGTTCTCCATCTAGATTATCGAGGTTTTCCTTGACGCTTCTAGTGTCGATGACTTCTGAATCGTAGAAGATGATATCTAGATCAACTGCCCGAGGACCATTGCGGGTGGATGGTACACGGCCGACTTTGGATTCTATTGCTTTCAACAATGCCAGCAACGTTCTCGGCGGGATACTGGTCTCGACCTGTTAAATTGAGGTGAGCAAGAAACTTCAGGCGGAGAAAGTATTACTAACCATGCAGGCACAATTGATAAAGGACGGTTGATCTGTCACATACATGGGTGCCGTCTCGTACAAGAAAGAAGTGTCGATTATGTCGATTTCAGCACCGATGAATCCATCGTCATCAACCAAGATATCGTGAGGTGACTCGAGAAGACGAAGAGCGAACTCGATATTACGGAATGAATCACCAAGGTTCGATCCAAGAGCTATTGCAACAGCATGTCGAGGGCTTTGGGACGTCTTAGATGAAGACAAGTTTGTCTTCTTATCGTGATCCTGGTTAGATAGCTCTGGATAGTCGTCGAATGTGCGAACAATTTGAACCTCGGCAGATTCGGCGAAGACCAAAGCTGACGGTTTGGCTGCACGAACAGAGATGACAGGCGAAGTCTGATAAGAGAGCATCATTGACAATATCCTTGACGCGATGAACGACGTTAGAGCTTCCAAGGTGAGAAAACTTGTGCTTGAAATTGCCTGTCGATGAACAATAAGTATAGACCGGGCGGCATATCCCCAGAAACCTACCTCGTATACCTGGCTAGTGACAGATCGCATTTCTATCCAATCATCCGGAGACAACCCCTGCGTCCCGGTGGCAATCGACATATTGACCACAAGATCTTGCTTCTCCAAGCGTTCAGCAGCATTCACTCCGACGATGACGGGAAAGGTAAGGCCTTCGATGTGATGTGCGATGTTCTTGGGTCTCCAATTGCCGTCTTCGCTTAGGCTCGCGAGATGTTCGACTGCAATGGATTTGCAATGGAGAGCACCCTTCAGTTGCACGATGCGAACGTGAATCTCCGACGCCCCCCGCGAAGTCAGAAGCTGGAAAACAATGTCTGATACGCGTCTTGAGATATCTTGAATGTTTCTGAAAGTTTTCGAGGTTGTTGCCCCCCGAATTGCCTTTGCGACCTCGGCATAGTTAAGAGAATGGGATAGGTCGTCAGTCTGAGCAGCCTGCGAGATGTCGTAGAAGATGGAAAGGGATATAGATATCGGCTGGTCAACAGGTTCTGTGCTTTCCTTGGACCATCGCGTTCCAGAGGATAAAAGCACGGTTACGAGGAGGTCATTTATTCGGATTACATCTCGTTGCTTGGCCGCTGGCCTGATATCGTGAATGGCTCTTTTGTCGTGAAAAGTAAGCAGACTTACCTGGGAGTCTGCGGCATTGCGATATACTCCAAGCGTGACCGAGCCGCGGCGAGCCCTAATCGTGATGTGAAAAGGAAGAGAGGCTGTCTGCAAAGTTTTTCTGCCAGAAAGGTGCTAAGCCACGCTGGTTTATTATGTAAAATTATTCGCGTTCCGTCCGGCCCGGCTATAGGCCAGCCCGTCTCAGAGCCACTATCCAGTCTGCTTTCCTGGATTCTAAGCATTATACATATACCCCTAGATGCACAACTTAGTTAAGCTTACAGCTTCAAAAATTGAGGCGTCGACTGCTCGAAATCAATGGCAGGTGGGTAGCAACTCAACTTCCCTGAACACATCAGAGTGCCAAAGGGCCAGTCACGACGAACTTTTTGCGGTCTCTTCATCTAGGATGGAGATCCACGGAGGAAAAGGCAACTGACTTCTCTGATGTTGTTACAGCCTTCCTCCTGGAGTCATACAAGGGTGCCCACTCCTTCGAGACATTGGACGCCATAGCATCTCGGGTTCTCTACTTGCAGGAGAGCGACTGAAGGGAGTCCACAGGAGTTTACTTACTCTGAAAGTGCAGGAGGCCCTCAAAATTAAGGTTTAGGTGAAGAGAGGTGAAGTGGCTAGGGGACTTTGTATTTGGCCGATTGTATTACAAGGCAACGGGCGCTTATTCAACGAGGCCAAGAGGGGTTGCTCAAGGATCCCTAACTCCCGCAGTGGGTCACGGGTAGGCGGCTCGTTCTCACGTCCTTCGACCGGTCAAGGACGTTCGGAGTGGTGACCCCCAGCCTTTCCTTTTCACTGACAGTTGAATGGAAATTGTATGGAATATGCGTTACAAATACTTGAAGAGGTCGATGCGGTAAAGAGTGGTAAATATTCTTCAAGGTACATAATGATCCTTATGGCGAGGGTGGTCAGATAGGGATGTGAACAATGATAATATCCAAGCAGGGAATGTGGAAACCATTCGTTCAAGGCGAGCTCTGGGTGTACCTTAGTAATAAGACGGAAGAATAAAAATACAAGAGATTGGTTATATGGTCATGCACCATCGTTGTGAGATTATTCCCAAGTCCAAAATCGTCCAGACTTGCTGAACGATCTGGCCAAACACATTCCGAAATATTCATCTCCTTGCAAAGAGTAAGAATTTCTCTGAAGTGTTGCACTGTCAGCAATGTGAATTGTGTTGGTTAAATTTGGAAGCCTTTTCAAGGTTTCCAAAACACGCGGAGTAGCGAGAGAGAGGGGAAGGGTGATGTGTCTAACCTCGAGGAGGAATTCGAGCCCCTTGATGATGGCGTTCTCGAATCGGGTGATGATTACTTCTTCAAACCACTCTTGTCGCAGGGAAAGTAGGTCGTAGGATGTGGGTTCGAAGAATTCCACGCTCTTCAGATCGGGAAATGCAAAATTTGAGGTCTCAAAATATTCCTCGAGCTTTGATGTGTCGAGATCGAGTGGGAGAGCGACCTTCCTGAGGCGTGTGGCATGCACTGAGAGGATGAATTTGATCTGGTCTGTGAATTCCTCATAGTTGTCGAGGAAATCAGAAGGGTTGTTGAGTAAAGGGGGAGGATGCATAAGATGTGTAAGCCTGGAAGCTTTATTATCCTTGATGCAGCTTCGGCGTCGATGTAGTCAAGAGGTATTGAGATAGAAGAACAAATCTGCGGTGGGGAGGATCCTCTGTCCTGGGTGTTGACAACTTCTGTCTTGAGTGTCTTGTCGAAGACGCACACTCGGAACTGTGACACCGAATTGGGTAGGCACTGTGAGTAGTGGGGTGGGTAATGTGGACCTCCGGAGAGACAGGGCCAAATTACCGCTCACTTGAGCAATGTAATGAACCCCCTCAGAGGTGGGCAATTTGCAATAGGTGGCCGACGCCGTTTTTCGGTCGCATGGTTACCCCTTTTTAAGGGGTATTTTCTACCTCCCGTGTTCGCAAAATATAATAAATTCTACTACAGTCCAGGTTCGAACGCATGCACTACTGATGACCTACAGCCACTCTTACCATTGAGCCAAAACTCCGATGTAAAGAACCAGTTTGACCAATATAAGTTTTCCTGTCAGCCGCTTTTGGCAATGACTTCTCTAAAAGGCTAAGTCCGTGACACCGCGGCCGAGTCTGACACCCGTACCTCCGTTGGCCCGAACTCGACTCGATGGACTCGCCGGATGTCCCAAGAATATGAAATATGAGATATTCATATTTTAGTTAATTGGCCCCTGGCATCCAAAAGTACGCGCGCAAGACACGTTCTCGGGATTAAGCTGAGTCGGACGTTGGAGACTTGGGGCCAGCATTGGTTCGCATCTTCGGCCCCCAACCCACTCTGCTCGAGCAGAATGACAAAAATAAAGATAAAACAATTTTATAATGTCGCTTTTGGTCCTTTTTGAACACTAACAGACTAAGGAAGATGCAGACGAACCCCCATGAGGTCGGTATTGCTTCGGAGTGTAAATGTGACGTTTCCTGGCAGGTGTTCTATGACGTCGCAAAAGCGGTCAATGCCGAGAGGGTGTGATGTGACTCCCAAAAATTCAATAATACCGTTTAGGGGGTGTATTCCGACGTTTTGACTATTCGCAGTGTAGGTGTTGTTGGACGATTTCACATCGCTCTTGTGTCCATGCCTTGATGTCTGCTATAATACAAAGGCCGGCCATAGTTGGATCAAGATTGCCTAGGGTTTGTACCAGAAGGGTGTCATTGGGTGTATCCATCCGTGCGCCAATGTAAAGATGGAAATACCCCAGAACATGAAGGGAAGTAGATTTAGTTAGATAGTTGCTCCTCGAGCAAGGAAGGGGTTGTCCTTCCGGCCATCCGAGAACTTTGACGAGGTTCTGGAGACCAGTGGTTGGGGTGATCAACACCATTAGTGGGGTAAAGAAGGAGTTCTACACACTCCTCTCTCTTCATAGATAAGTGACCACTCATTGTCAAAGCGTGGTTACCCAACGTGGAAGGGGAGGCGTCCACCATTGACTATTCAAGACTCAGGTTTGCTAGTAACTGTGTATTCGCCTCTGGAATGGAAATAGTCCCTGCACCGTGCCCAATAGCCCAATATAGGTATATCATGTCAGAATGTGCAATAGACAGTTTTTTTTTTTACCTGTACGGCATGTTCCAGAGCCAACTTTTACTGTGTCCGCTTTCTACACCATGCGGCTTGTTCAAGATTTCTGAAGAGGGAAACCCGTGGTAGTAGGCAATACGTGGGCTTTATCAACGAGATATATCATAGCTAGTTTCACTCGGTGTGTACAGAAGTGATTCGACACTCTCTGTCCAATTATTGCCATAGAGAAAACTTTGACCGAAAGAAGAACAAAGGGGTTCTTTGGCAGGTGCTCATATCAGGACCGGATCATTGGGCCGATAGATCTCATGACTCTGTGTAGCTACTCTACGATATCCGCGTCAATACCTCTCACAGCTCTGCCGAACCAACTCTGTTCTCTGTGCTATGCGCGCCAGGGGGGATACATATCATTCCAAATAAAGGCAAAGTGATGGAGACGCGCCACAGAGGCGAGTCACGTGATGGAAGCATGACAGGCGTTGAGCAATGAGCGCAACTCAGTAAGTTTACACCCTCAACGTTGCAACAGCTATCACGTCAAGTAAGATATCTATTCTCAATGCTAATCTCTCCCATAATCATGCGAAGGCTTCCTACTTCACGTCTCGACCCGACTTCCGACCTCTTCCGACTCTCAACTGCTGTGCAACAAAACCGGTTTCGAAGCAGTGTGTAGGGTTTTCGTCAAATCGACAACTCTTCTTCTGATGACCGATTGAGGCGAAAGCCAGCCAGCCCTCGCGAGCTCGGGCCTCACCATGTCATTTCGCGAATCGGACGGAACCTCTGCGTTGAGACTCAACATTGAACGTTCAGCCGACATACGGAACCTTTCCTCACAAAACCCTCTGCCCTCTTGACACATGGAATGGACTCTGGAGGGAAGCATGGACTCTCACAGAAAAAGGGATTTTACGTGTTTTATCGACGCCCATTTCCGAGAAACAGTCCCGATGCCAGCCGGGACAGCCTCATGACAATCAATTCATCATGATCCCTTGATAAGCCCGACATTTCTTGGACTGTTTTTTCCGAATCGAAAGACAAGTTGCGGCATTGAACACGTCTTGCTTCATTCCCCCGAGGTTGCAGGGCAGGTCCCGCTGAAGGTGCGTCTCCCAAGCGGCAGTCGTTATACGTGTGTAATTTTTCATTTATCGGTTCTGCCAGAACCTCTCGTTGACGAGCGTTGTACGCCGCACGCAATAAAAAGACAGCGCAGGTCGCGTCTTTCTCCCCAATACCCACTCTATCCACTCTTTTTCATATACCCTCTTCCGACCCGACGAATACCCCCTCTCCACCAAAGCTCTGAAATGGAGTCCAGCGGTTCTTCTTTCGTCCTATCCAAGCCTGGTTCAAGTCCTCCTCCTATCAGTGAGCTACCTGCATTGGCGTCATACTTCCCGCCCCCGAAGAAACAGACAACCTGGGATAAAATTCGGTGAGCGGACCCTCCGGATCATTAGCTTCACGATTTGTTCATTGCCTTCAGCCTTGCTATTCGTGAACCCGTGGCAGAATTCGCGGGTGTCGCAGTATTCATCTTTTTCGGGACTGGTGTCGATTGTCAAGTCGTTCTCTCCACGAATCCTGGCGTAGCTTCATCTCCGAAAGGGGTGCGTTGTGTTTCCTAATGTCAGCCTACTAAGCCTGATGTGTGCACAGGACTTTCTGTCTGTTAATTTCGGTTGGGCTATCGGTCTCGCGATGGGTGCATGGATTTGCGGCGGAATATCTGGAGGACATCTTAACCCAGCGGTGCGCTTCATTCCCTTCATTCTCTTATTCTGTGATTCCTAAAGCATTCGCGATCAGGCAACCCTTGCTATGGCGGTCTGGCGTGGCTTCCCGTGGAGAAAGGTTCCTGGTTAGTCGATTTACAACACTACTGGCTCCTGTATCATATTCAAACACTACCTTGTCAGGTTATATCTTTGCGCAAGTCCTGGGAGCACTTGTCGGTTCTGCGATCGTCTACGGAAATTATGTCGAGGCTATCGATATCTTCGAACAAGGATATCGCACCCGCGCTACTGCTGGCCTTTTCGCAACTTACGCAGTACGTCACTTTTCTTATAACCTCTGTTCATATCTGATCTCTCCCTCCCAGCTGGATTACATGTCTTCTGTCTCCTGCTTCTTCGTCGAGTTCCTCGGTACTTTCATCCTAATTTTCATCGTCTTGGCCGCAACGGACAAAAAGAACAATGCTCCTCCTGGTAGCCTCCTCCCCGTCACCCTCTTCCTTGCCCTCCTGGGTCTCGGCACTGCACTCGGCATGCAGACTTGTGGGTCGTTCCTAGATACATACTACGCTCCCTTTTGACCGCCTTCTAGCATACGCCTTCAATCCTGCTCGTGATTTTGGACCTCGACTCATGCTGACTTTCGCAGGCTATGGGAGGCGGCTTTATACTTACCGAAGGTGAGTTCAAACAACCCGTCTCTCTGTCCCATCCTGGTGCAACCTATCTTCTAGTCAATACTGGCTTTGGTGTCCCATCATTGCACCTATCCTAGGTGCTCAGGCTGCTGCTGGCTTCTATGATCTATTCCTCAAAGAGTGTGACTCAGACAGCGCGTAAGTACCCCTCGTCAATCCTGCATTCTAGGGCAAGCTAAATTTCTTCGTTCAGCGACCTTGCTGCTCCTGCTCATCCGTTGCAGAGCCCTGTCACCGGCGCAAGCCAGGTGTAAACCCAAGGAGTTGACTCCCTTCGACACCTTATCTTACGACTTTCATGACTGTATGTACCCTATACCATCTACTTTGTTACATAGCATGTAGACTGACATTAGCATGCGATCGTTACGATATGTGTATATAATGTACATACATTAATGCGAGTCTTTGATATAATTTTCGCTGCACAACTTTCAAAGTCTGGACGAAACATTTTCAGAGATAACGACTCCGAGTTCCCTGAACGTCACGTGTGCTCGTCTCTTTTAGACCGCTACCACTGCCAGATGCTCAGAGTCATATTAATTACGGCTTCAAGTTCAACTCATTCCGACATCTATTTGCTGTTGCGAAAAGTCATGGACCCTTCCGCAGATTTCCCAGCCTCATCATCACATCTCTGCTGTAACACCTTGGACTTGCATGTCCGATGTCTCAGGCTCTCAGCAGTTCTAGCTTCAAAGATGTTAGAGGGTATGCAGGCTGCCTGCCAGTGCCAGAGTCTCAAAGCCTGACAAACGCTTGGAATCTACCTGGAAGCGCATTTAGTTGTCAACTTGGACAACTTTGTTCAGCGCCGGCCGGTGCGCGCCATACTCTGATTGTACCGCATTATCACCTTCGAAACCATTCGAAGCACTGGGTCTTACTCGTTCGAACTTCGCGCCGCTCGTTTCCGGAAGCGTCTCCTTGTTTGGCATACTGACGTCCAGTAAAAAATTGTCTCGTTGTTCTGACCACTCGACGGCACACTCGAAGGTTGGCAATCACTGCTTCCAGGTCAACATTCAAAGAACGTTGTCGAGCTCTGGCTGTCCTGACTTCTACATGCACTTAACCCCCGCGTCTGGACCAAGCAATCAGAAGAAGCGCCTGCCTTTCTCCATCCGGTATAGGTGCGCATCTTGCAGAGAGCGATCGCGCTGGCAATGTATGAAGGTGTCCCTCATTCCATTTGCTCTTCTGACACTTGAAATTATAAAGCTTAAGGATCACGCTTCATGCCCGCCGAATTTGACAGAAGCAATTCCTCGAATGCTGCAAAGGCATACAGCTGATCATATTTCATGTCTTTATCCTGTCGGAGCGATGTCGACTCTCTGATAAATAAGCCCACGAGCAATCGACGGGCTCTTTGTGACGCTACCCAACTCTCCCTTGCCTTTGGAACGGCCATGTCGACTCCAATGTTTGCCATGCCCGAGCCAGATATCGTCAATAGCCCGTCTGAAAAATCTCTTCCTGTGCTCGCCTCGTACCCTACGCCTTCGAGAAAGCGGTTTGTTGCAAGGTTCAGGTTCGTTTACTACAGTTAGATCCACCCAGTGATTAGGCGACTTACCTGGTCTTTCTTTCCTTGCAGAGAGGCAATTCGTGAACCAATGGCCGAATTCATTGGCGTCGCACTTTTTGTGATCATCGGCGCTGGCTCTGATTGCCAGGTCGTCCTTTCTTCGAATTCCAGGGTTGCAGCGAGCCCCAAAGGCGTGCGTTCCGCCATCCACATCAAATTAAAGTCTTAACTGAGGACTATTGCTTAGGAATATCTGTCTCTGAACTTTGGTTGGGCCATTGGTAAGGCATTCGGTGTTCAAATTCTCCAATGGATCATTGCTGAATCCTGATGCATCGTTGGAAGGGCTGGCCTTGGCTGTATGGGTCAGTGCTGGGATCTCGGGGGGACATGTTAATCCTGCTGTAAGTCATTTATCGTGTTCACATCGTCAACATCTGAGGCGCCGTCTAGGTCACTCTTGCACTAGCTACACAAAGGGGCTTCCCCTGGAAGAAAGTCCCAGGTACACACGGTATTTCTTTCCGTTTGAAGGCATTTCCTGATTGTGCTCGAGTCTACATATTTTCTCAAATAATGGGCGGACTTGTTGGCGCGGCCCTCGTTTATGCTCAATACATCCATGCCATCGACATATTTGAAGGCGGCCGTGACCAGCGGACCCAACTGACCGCCGGATTGTTTGCAACTTACGCGGTGAGTGTCAGCATTTACGACAGACGTCGCCTTTGAAGTTGATCTTGTGTCTTTTGGCTATAAGCTCGACTATATGACAGCAGTGTCTTGCTTCTTTGCCGAGTTCCTCGGAACTGCCATCCTGGCCTTCATGATTATGGCAGCGACGGACAAGAACAACGCTGCGCCGCCTTTGTATCTACTACCACTAGTGATCTTTCTGACGCTCCTTGGACTGGGAGTTGGGCTGGGCATGCAAACAGGTGAGAAATGTGGCGCAACGGCTCTAGAATATGCCTCATCGTTTTCTCTTGGGCAGCGTTTGCCTTCAATCCCGCTCGTGACTTTGGGCCACGGCTCTTCCTTTCGATGGCAGGTTACGGCAAGGCTGTTTATACTTATCGAAGGCAAGTTCCAACTTCTACTGACGGGACCGAGATACGGCTAGACGGCGTTTCCCGCAAATTCAATCTGACATTGGGCTGTTTACCTTTCTTCCTCGATATGAGGCTAAGACTCGCTTGGGACTCGCCTTCCCGAACGACCTTTTTGATCTTCCCCGTTTCGCTACCGCTTTCCCTGTCCTGCATATAGCTGACGACCTTTTTCTTCCAGTCAGTACTGGCTTTGGTGCCCCATCCTAGCTCCTTTCCTCGGTGCCCAAGTCGCTGTCGCCTTCTATGATCTCTTCTTGTACAAGTCTGGTGGCGCCAATGCCGTCTCGGATCAGAGGTAAGCTTTCAGCTATTTCCCCATTTCTCCCCAAAATCATTGGTGGCGGGTGTCGTCCTGATGTCTTGATTGTTACTCAGAGATATCGACGTAAGTCATGGGGCGTAGTTTGATCGTTCTCTGCAGTGTGGACGGGTACAAGGACCGAGCAGTGGTTAGTTCCAGAAAGAAGTCCGTTGTCGACTCTGTTAGTATAACGGATGGACCGGGGAGCTTCGTGTTGTGGGGCGCACGGAGACAATGCTTTCATTAGTTCGAAGTCGAGGTGTCCTTTTCTTTCTTGTCCCTTCAGATAACATCTACGAATATCCAATGAAAGATCATGAATCTTGTACGAAATAAAATAGAGGTGGATTGATAAGCAATGCCCCCACATTCGAAACGACAAAACATGGGGCCTACTCAACAGGGAGACTCTGGCGCGGCGCGCCTGTCCCGCGACATTCTGGCTAATAAGAATCTTAAGGCTGTTTCCGATACATGCAGTTCCTACTAAGGCTGCAACTATAGCCTCGCCCTCCAGCTGAAAGGGCTCGAAGACAAAGCCCAGGATTGAGGAAAGGCCTCGCCAGTCAAGGCATATCGCCTCATGAAAATCCGATTTTTTCGTGCTCGTCGCCCACTCTCGACTCCAATTTAACCTACTTACTTATGGGCAGTGAACACGGCTCTACGAATGCATTCAAATAGCCTTTTGAAGGAATTCCGGTGTCTTGATCAAATCAGACAAATCTCGAACGTCAAATTTCTTACTCATCGCTTCAGCTTTCAACCCTATTTATTTCCCCATCGGCAACATGTATCCCCCGAGTTTGGAGCATAGATCGAACTGCAACTTTATTATCATTATGGATTTATAGGCTGCGGGACTTCTGCGGCAGCTGGCCATGGGGAGAACTATTATATCAGAACTACAAACAATTCAATTGTCCGCTTCGCGGAAGCAAACGAAGTCTCCTACTCTCTGGAGCTCCATGGCACTTCTCCGAGTTTTTTTTTTTTTTTCAGAAAACAATGCTCAACACTATCGCAGACGTACGTGGGGTCAACCCTCGGGTTGCCAAAAATGATGGGCGCTAAATGAAATCAAGTCTCGTGAAATAACCGACTCCACCGTTCCACAAGCAAAAAATAACGATATACCGCTGAGCAGCAAGCTTCTCAAGCTTTCGATGTTATAGTACGAACCCCGAGATTCGGGTATACAAACTGGCTATAGGTAGCGAAATAGTCACCGGTACCTGACCCTGCGTGCTGACTAAGCAATGGAAATGCATATAGCGGTGATCACGACTCCTGTTTCTGACCACGACGACCACCACGATTATGGGGTTCTCTCCAGGGCCTACGGATCCTTTCTACGAGCTCATGCAGCCGCCGCTGGATGAGACACCTGCGCAGAAGACAGCGCGTCAGAAACGGGAATTGGATGCACAGCGCGTGAGCGACCAAATTGACGAAGACATCAAACAGGAGCGCGCGAGAGCGAAGAAAAACAAGAGTGTGGTGAAGGTGCTGTTGTTGGGCCAGTCGGAGAGCGGTGAGCCACTGCGTCTGTTACATGAACTTGTCTCCTGAAACCGTCTCCAGGAAAGTCAACGACCCTCAAAAGTATGTCCCCCTATGCCATTTACCTAACATCTGTTGACGGAATATATTCCAGATTTTCGCATGAGGTTTGCCGCTGCGGAGTGGGAGAAGGAGCGTCATGGCTGGCGGTCAGTTGTCCAGCTCAACGTTGTCCGTTCCATCATCACCATTCTCAAAGTGATTGAGGCCGAGATGAACGGGGACGTGCCTGCAGACTCGGAGGACGACCAGACTATGCTCAACGAGGCTAACGGAGTCGAATCCATGAAATTTACCGATCGCCACCAGCTCTTGATGATCAGGCTGGCGCCTCTCATTGGCGTCGAGGCAGAGCTGAAACGTCGCTTGGGCGCAGGTTCTGAGCCTGTCCCATCCATTGCACCCATGGCGGCGACTCCCTTCGAAGCACCAGATGTCGAGAACAACGTCCGACGGAAGCCCGAGTTTTACGTCAGGTCGTGGAAGGACGTGCTGGGAGAGGGATCCTCAAACCCGAATATCGATTCGAGCGCAGCAACCATCGCTGATTGCAAAGATGACATGAAGGCCTTATGGGAAGACAAAGCAGTCCGCTTGGCTCTAAAGCGGCGGAGACTTCACTTGAACGACACGGCAGGCTTGTAAGTCCCATCAGCTCTTCCGACAGGACGGCTGTTTCTTGAAAGGCGTTCCACAGGCGGTATTCAACCACTGTCGGAGAAGGCTATATCTGTGGGCTTGAGGGCGTATTTTTGTCCTCCTTTCAGCCAGCAGAATCGTGCTTTTACCAATGCTTCAGAAACAACTGTTCCTGTGGGGTTTCCTAATCTGTTACTGATGACTATCAAAGTTTTCTGAGCGACCTGGACCGCGTTGCGTCGCGGGACTACGCTGTCACTGACGATGACATCGTGCGGGCGCGTCTGAGGACCGTTGGGATCCAGGAGTATCAGCTGACCTTCAAACATGGCCCTTGGGACAATCCGAAGTGTATGTGACCTATTAGCACCTTCGACTCACCCAAGCTGACCGCCTCCCAGCGGGGAAAGAGTCGGGATGGGAATGGCGAATTTTCGACGTAGGCGGTTGCCGGACGATGGTACGTGACAGAATTGTTTTGAAGACCGGTGTGTACATAGCTCTGACATGGCTCTCAGCGGGCCGCCTGGCTGCCTTACTTTGATAACGTCAATGTCATCATTTTCCGTACGTTCACGATCCCTTCAATACCCAATGTTCTCTGGTTTTCTTATGGTCACTCCTAGTCTCCCCCGTCTCAGTTTTCGACCAGCGGCTGGAAGAAGACCCAAAGGTCAACCGCCTCGAAGACTCGATCATTCTATGGACATCCATCTGCTCGTCGAAGCTTCTGTCAAAAACACAGCTTATTCTATTCCTCAATAAGTGTGACTTGCTCCGGCGCAAGCTAAAACGAGGTGTCAAAGTCAATCAGTATCTTCCAAGCTTCGGCGATCGTCCAAACGAGGTCATTACCGTCGTCAAATGTCCGCCTTCTCATTCGTTGTGTCTTCCGGTGACTAACTTTTCCATACTGCAGACCTTCGCGAAAAGTTCAAGGATCTTCAAAAACAACACTCGCCAGAACACCGGTCCGTGTATATCTACCCAACAACAGTCACGGTAAATCTTCCTCGTCTCTACCAGAGCGATCACTCTGACTTGGCTTGCGAAGGATACAACCGCGACTGCAACGACGCTGGAGACCGTACGCGATGGTGTTCTGCGGGAAAACCTCGCAGCTTCGCAGCTCATATAATCACAGACCTAGAGATGGACGCCGGCTCGTCGTGGCCGCACACGACCACCCCGAACCATCCTGATTTTTATTCCCTTGCGTAATTCACTCGGTAGAAAATCTCTCCAACAACCATTCGCCGACCACACTTCCCCCGCCGCAAGCGCGCCGGAACCCGATCGGCAACGTTGTCCACCCCCCTTGCCACTCCCATACCCCAATATACCCCATTTACCCGCGAAGGACCAATATGGTCGTCGGCAACGCCTTGATACTGCGACGTCACGGTACCTTAGCCCTTGGGACCCGGGAAGAGTTTGTACCGTCGCAGATGCCACAGACGGTGCTTACCGTGGATGGAGGAGGACATTCCTATAAGGAGTCTCCTGAGACTTTTGATACGTGATGAGTGTCAGTCGGATGACCTCTTGCTTGCTACGATCTATCGAATTATCATCTATATGTAATATGTATGGTATCTCTCTCTTGTATTCGCGGTGTTGGATGTAATGCGGAGTTTTACAGTGTGACTTTAGTAGGTGTCTGCGAAGATTTATTTAGTATATTTGGTCGGCCTGCTTGTGCTTATGTAGCTGGATTGGAGCGGGGTGTCATTTGTAGCTTGTTAGTGTACTGTCGACTGTTTTAGACGTCAAAGTCAAAGAAAACATGCAGAAAAGCTCAAACAGCAACAAATATATTTCTCCTCTGCCCACCACAGTTCACGACCATCTTCATACGCGTACGTGGTGCCCCCCGGTCGTACTATGCACAATGGCTCGATATTGCGGTGCCCTTCGAGAAGACGCGTTAAAACCGTGCGAGACACGGCGGGTGTACGTACATGGTGGTGACGGACGACGCGAAGCTTTTAAAATGTTGCCACCTTTCGCTCTTCAGAAGACGTAACATGGGTTCGCAACTCTCGAGGATCCCAGGCAAACTGGAATTTGAAGGTCAAGGTGGCCACCAGTGCTAGTGATGGGGCGCACGCGTTTCACGGTCCAAGAGAAATGCTTCGCTGCAGGACGCGATCCTTCTAAACCCAGGACCGCCGACGCGTTGTTGTACGTCATCCCTTACTTAAATAAATCGAAGTCTACTACCTCCACCACTCGGGTATTACGAACTTCCCTCGTCAACGCTCCTCAAGTGTTCTTCCGGGTTCCCTCGTAAGTGATTAGTGACATTTTCACTTCGCAGGTCTCTTGTTAACTACCATGAAGCCTTCTCAGCTTCTGCTCTGTCTCCCACAAACTCTCGCCGTGATTTGCAAGAGAACGATAGATTCCGCAGCGGCATGTTACACAGAACCTCTTCCTGATCTCGTCCCTTCAATCGACAATAGGACTATTCCTTGGGGCAGTCCAAGCATCAACAACGGCAGCTCTACATGCTGTGTGTCTCTGGATGAAGTACGAGCTGGAATCGATGCTATCGATGCCCAACTGTTACAACTTCTATCGGACAGGTTCGTGGATCCTTTTGTGCTATTTCAAATTCATTTGTCTCAGCACCGGCCATTCCAGAGCTGCCTTCGTTCGCGAGGCCACAAGGTTTAAGCCTATGCACGACCTGGTCGACGTTCCGGCTAGAGACCAACAAGTGATCGATCGAGCTGTTGGAGGGGCTCCAGCAGTGCATCTACCGCAGACCATAGTGAGAGCCGTCTTCACCGCGATCATCAACGCCAGTGTGCCCTTCGAGCTCTGTGTGGTTAGTCTCTTTCTTTAACTGCGATGTCGATCAGGTTCTCATCCTTTCTTGTTCTAAGTTTGACTCTTTCCACGATGGCGTGGATTAGTCTTCTGAGGGTTCTCCGTCGCTATGTGTGACTGCCTTTGCCGTTTGTTGTTACCCCGCAGTCGAGCTCGACAGAATATAACGTTCAGAACCCACTGCTCTTCCTGCATCCATAATCAGTGTCTTTCAGCCTCAAGAGTTTACCCAACAGGGTAACCAGTCGCACTGGAGAAGAGACCCTTTGAACTCATTCCTACGGTTTCTCTCTCAAGTGGCGTTTTAGACATGAAGGTCTCGAAAGACTTCAAGTCGAAGATGGAGTACCTTATGACGTAAGTGTTAATCATCTTTCGCACGATAAGGATTGACTTCGATCCCTTCTGAACTGCAGCATGTTCGAAGATCAGGTGTTAGCCATCATCTGGTGCAGTTCGGAATTTGGTACAGTAAGCCCTGGTCACGCAGCTGTATCGTCTGGGCAACATTCCTTATTCGTCCCTCACAGGCCGTTACAGCACACGGATGCACAAATGTCGAATACGTGGAGTGCCCTGAGCATACCTTGGGTATTTCACATTCGTCAAGCTCGGGGTAGTACCTCCCTCTCCAACTCTTTTGATATGAACGTCAAGAAGGTCCTGTGCATCCGTAAACCGTGACCGATCCGCGGTGTTTCAACTATTCGACTTATGTAGGCTGGGAAGCCGCGAATCGTCATCCCGTTTCCGACCTCCAACGTGTCCAGTCCCGCTCTCACAAGAATTCCCATACCTGTCACCCTTGTGAACGTTATTGCCATCGTCTGCTTCTACTCCTTGACTTCAGACCATCATGTTCTCGAAGGTCACCAGTCGCGCCAAGCGTCATTCCGTTCAGGAAATCCCTAGCGTTCAGAGAACGGAACCGCTGCCTAAACCCGTCGATACGGCGCCTGAACTCCTTCGTTGGAGCGATTTCGCCTATCCCTTTCCTCCAGTCGCTTTCGGCGGCTATGTCAAGTACTACAGGACACGTACGATGGCCCAACAACCACAAGCGCCTACCTTTTGTCCAACCCTCTCCCAACACCCCGAACCCTCACCATCCCGCCTCACTCCTGCGACATCTCCTCTATTCTTCGTCCCACCAAAGCGCTGCCTATCCGTCATTCCTGAAGCTTCCATGGAGTCCATGACCCCGAGAAAAACACGCAATCTCTCCATTACGACCAGCAACAGCCCCGCTATGTCACTTCGACGCAGGAGGCGGCGATTACTCCGGACCCCGAGTATTGAGCGGGACTTTGCCGTCCATGCTCGATGCCTGTTCGCCCCAAGCATCTCGGCGAGCGAGAGCGGATCAAGCAGGGGCTCATCGCTATCACACGCCAGCGCCGGCTTCACACATTCACCATCGCCTTCATCCGACAGCAGTTCCCAATGCGATTCGAGCCAATCCGACTCTACCCACTCCGGGTACCCGATAACACCAACGACGAGTATCGAGGGAGAGATTGAGCATGTGAATATTTTTGGAGAGGCCCAGCTGGGTACCGATCTACCTCAGTTGGGGTTGGAGGAGTTCGGGTGCTCTACATCATTCGACCTTATGCCGAAACGGCCGGAGAGCTGGTCGTCTTTCAGTACTGCCATGAGCTCGTTCAGTGATTGAGGCAGGCAAGGACAGAACCCACACTAACCACCCCCGTTGTATCAACACCTCATTTCACTCCACTATTGTCCTGCATATGGCCCTTCACGTCATTTGGATAGCATTCCCGCCATGCTTATATTACCGATCGAACCTAAAGTGTATTACCACCTTCTACTTACCTTCTTCTGAGCTTTCTTCCATCACTGACATGTCTTATTAGTACATCCTATTGTTCTTCACTGCCATGACTGTGTGATGGAAATCAGGACACTACAGTGGGTCGCTGCTCAACACCCTTATTGCATCATGCACTGCCTACTTGTCCCTTGCTTGCTTCGGAGTTCTGTTGAAACTTTTGCACTCGATTTTCCTCATGAACATATCGACAGGGCATAGCGGCGGATACGCCGTCCATTCATTCACGGGCTATCAAGCTGAAGGTGGACGTCAGGCGTCGAATGCAGGATCAGTGTCCAAATCGATTGCCAACTTCATTGGTTAACTGTTCCGTCTCATTTTTTCAAGATGAGCAGCCCTGGGAATTTAAGCACCACATCCCTAAACCAGATAGGGACCTTCGGGATATCTGCTTCAAGCCACTCCTCAAGACGATGCAATGGGTGGAAGGATGCAGAATCTATGAATCTTTGTGAGCGTCTACAACAATAGTATGTGTCACTAATTCCAACAGATGAATCTCTTTCGTTTCGGAGCTGCTACAGCTTCTTTAGCTAAATTCTACAAAGCACTACCATCAAAAACAGCCAACATGGCAATTACCTTTCTTTCAAATCGCCTCTCGAACCGAGCCGTCAGCAGATATAACCTCCAACCGTTTTGGCTCCCTCCCAATACCATCGATTTCGATTCCTCTCCATCCCCGCCCATAATTGTCCTTCTTGGAACTGTATTCTCCCAAGAATCCGGGAATACCAACGGTAAGGCACGGCAATTTAAAAGAGGCTATGACGGTCTGTAATACTAAATAGTGCTCAGAGGCATTCGGGAGAAGGCATGTTCCGGTTGCATTCTTCTTCATCCACTTCTCCTAGGGGATCTCATTCTTTTAGCGGGCATCATCGGATTCTTGTTGACTCCGAACATCCTCGTGGCGATACTCATCATGGTTTTAATCGGTTTTTCCTTGCTTTTCCTTGTCAGCCTTGTCCGGACACGGCTCATGATCGCGTTCCGCAACGTCATGAGTTTCTGTTGCATGGTCCAATCTACGCAGCCCATGTACAAAGACTTCTGTAGTAGCAGCTTCCCTAAGGCCTTCTGGGAATTCGACTGCGCCTGGAGCTTCACAGCATCCCCGTTGCATACGGCGTTTATTGTTTCTCGGTCCACCGGAGAGCTCTTTTTGGCTTCGACGCAGCAAAGGGAATAACTCGAGTCACTTCCGAACATTACCTACGAGCCAGCGCATCTTCTGCTTATCACTAGCATTGCTTTGACGATCTTTCTCCTACTCTCTTACTTGGCAAGATGTTTGGCCTGCACCTATCGGTCACAAGGAGACAGATGTTAAGCAGCCTTGGTGGCGCCTGGAAGCATGCACCCGTCTAGATTTTGGGAGTCTTTGAAAGACGAAAAAGGGTTGTACTTCTCGGCGCTCTCCCTGGCCATATCCGTGAGATTCTAACGGCATAGGCAGTGAAAGTCGTACTGCGGCGCAGCATCGCACTGCCAGCTTTGGACGCTTCAAGAAGCGCAAAAGTCCCATGCTCCATAACTTTATGCAAACCTGACAGAGCAGGTCTAATAGCCTGCAACGAGTGGTGTTCTCGGATGTGTACTTAAGAGCCCGAGGCCTCACCTTGATATGCCTCCAACTCTTAACTCCCAACCGCCACTCCCTCGACTCGTACACCGTTTAGGGAACGCATCACGGGTAAGAGGGAACACGCCATTCTCACCCCCACCAATGTTACTGACCAAAATGACACGTTCTAGCTGCCTAAAGGTAGAGAAATCATGAAAATGAGCTCGCAATCGACTACGAGAGGGAGCGAAGGCACTATGGGCCTGTATGCAGCTCTCCTTTCGTCCCCCTTCTTGGTCTGACTAGACCGCAGGTGCTCGGAGAAGCCAGAGAACGAAATCGAAGCTCCAAGGACAGCGAAGAGGACGCAATCTGGAGTAGAAGACCCCTGCTTTATGTGAGGCTCAGCCCTCCTTTTGCGCTCATTCTAATCCAAGCATGTTGTAGAGACTCGGACACCGACGAGGATGAGGATTTCGATGAATACGTGTGCGTGAATGCAATCAATTCCTGCCACAAGATATTGCATACTGAGTGAACGGCTGCTCTCGGATAGGCGGCGTGCCATCGTATTTAAGCGCCCGTCCAGGCTGTCATGATAGACAGCGAACTGCTATGTTTCCAGCACCAATTAAATCCTTCTGATTGACGAAGATTGCCTGCTCGATTTACGACAGAAGCCACCCTTTATCCATGGGGGTCGCTTGTTCTCCAGAATAACTCGACGAGAGTGAACGTCGTGTAGGGGGGCACAACAAAGTAGAGTAACCTCTTTAGCGACTTGCCTCTTTAGCGACTCACCCATGGCCAATCGCCCCAACACCAACTCAGCCTGCTAGAGAAGATACGCCTTCAAAAAGGGTGGGATATATAAATTCTACGAGACATGTATGCTGCTATTGAGAAGCTACGTAGTGAAACAGGATATGGAAATTGTGGCGCTGGTCAGATGCGTGCAAATCAATCGTGAGCAATCACATCTAAAAACCCAAAGATGCTAAACGAAATAAATCGACACAGAGAATACGTAGTCCATTGTGAATACCTAATATCTATCTAATATTTCGAAGCGGATCCCTCCTTCCCTGACTCGGCCGTCGAGTCTGATGGTCCAGCGCTTTCCAAGGTCTTCTTCATCAGAGGAGCGATTGCCTTCCGCGTTGCCCGAGCGTTGCCTTGCTTGTAAACCATGGCTTTCGCCTTTGGAGGGAGGTGGCTGGACTTCTCCAAGTGGAACTTTTTGTGCTTCTTCACCTCGATTTCGGCATCCGCCTCAAGACTTGCGAAAAGACGGCTTGCGAGGGTGTCTATCGTCAGACCTTTCGCGGATATGTGCTCCATCTCGGTTTCGTGGAGGATAATCCAAGCCATCTCGCGTTTGTGCTTGCCCTGCTTCCCACTGTTCCCTAGCATCTTTCCTTTCGTGTCACGGAATGTCGTCAGAACGCCGAGGATTGTGAGTCTCCTGCGTCGCATCCACTCAACCGCGTCCTTTTCCAGACGGCCATCTGACCCCCAAGTTTTGAGACGAGCTGGAACAGTAGATAGGCCAACTTTGATTGCAGGCTGACCGGGGACCCAAGGCAAGGGATGCGTATACTCCTTGTAGTCGCGTCGGAGCAGGTCGAAGCCGCCTAAATGCGATATGTCCGTCTTCTTAAGGGTAAGCGTACTTGTTAGATCCTTGATGGCCTGTGCATCGTACAGAGAGTCTGGATTTGGGTTATCGATAGGCGATAGAGCTGAGAGTGGCGGTATGGAGTTGGAGATGGTTGACTTTGGGGCGACGAACAGCGCGGAGCTCCGATCGACATCAGTGGCTTTGCCTCCAGGCTTCAATCCGTCTGTGTCAATCAGAATAGCTGCCAGGAGGAGCGTGCAAAGCTCTGCAGGTGGTTCTGGTGGTAAGAGAACTGCGACGAGAGACGCAGAACTGCCGCATGGTGAGATTGTGCGCGGGTTGGCGTTCAGATAGAGTCCTTCGTCTTGATGGTGGTCGAGAATGGCGACAACCTCTGCGTTAGGGTCGTAGGTTGGACCCAGGCAGTTGTGGTCTACGAGGGCGAACTTTTGTGGCCTGAAGCCAGCCAGTTCGGTGAGCGTGAGCAGCGCGTCCTCGCTCAACCCTGCCATCTTGAGTGCATGAAGGTTTTCTGCCCGCAGACTGAGATCTGCGCGTTCTATTGGTACCAGCGGTACAGCCGACGTCTTGTTGACCTCTGAGAGAATCCAGGCATACGCGATTGAGCTCGCAAGCGTGTCGAGGTCTGCAAAACGACTCAGTAAGACGCTCAACTGACTCAAAGACCACACACCGCCGGCCTCGTTGCCCATAACCACTGTCCACGCTGCTGCCTTCGTTGGATCCTCTTTCACATCCTTCAGATAGCTAGCCTTGGCACCAGTCAGAAATTGGTTGAGCGACGGCCCGTTCATCACTGAATCGGGGGACTGAGCTGGCTGATAGGCCTCGGTGAGTCTCAAAGCGACAGAAAGGCGACGCAAAGGGTTCTTCTTGACCATGATTGCTGATCGACGATTGAAAGCACCGATGCTTGCTGCTGCAACAAGGAGTAAGATCGGGCTTTTGTATTGTAACCCTAGGACCCTTGAAACGGCTGGGAAACGTATTTTGAACACCAAGAGGACAAGATGTTGTGGTCCAGAACGCCTGAGGCGGCCTTGTGGACCGCGGCGGGCAGCAGCAAGTCTGCTGGGTGTCAGTTATTCACTTCAAATGAAGCACGTGAAGGTGTTATAAGACAGCCAAGGGTTCTGAGGAAAGATGAAATGCAGGGGGAACTTTCTTTTTTGAGAGCGGATAAAGTCATAAGAGTAATTTCAACCAGGCGCGGTATCCTAAGATAGCTCTACAGTTAAACATAATCAAGACAATGCGGAGAACAGCCGCCGTCTAGTAGGCTATCTTCCCGACATCCAAGTCGACACCAAACTTCTTGTTTGAACACCTTGTTCGCCGCTGTAGGCAGTCAATACCCTCTCTGTCGCTAGTTCGTCAATAAGCTTGATATTCTTCGGTACTGCTGTATTGGATAGGGAAGTATATGAGGAGGTAGAAGCGATGAGTTGACGGGTACACTGAAGGAGGGGAAGAAATGAATAACGGATCCGCATTGCATCCAACTGCACCTACAAGTTTGATTCCCCACCATGCGCGGACAGATATGCCGAGAGGGATGGTATCTTCGTCTTCACGGTCGTTCATATCGATAACAACAAGGAACATCTTGAGCGCAAGGGGTATGTCTCCTGCGGTGTAGGCAGTTTCTGCGTACTGCAGGAAGGCGAAGGGGTTCTGGGGAGTGAGAAGAAGGACATGTGCCAGCGCTTGTAAGGCAAAGTTGTATCTGGTCAGAATTTGTGAGTGCCATGACGAGATAAATTGAAGGGCGCATACTGGTTGCATGACGCGAAAATATCTGCAAGTTCCAACCAACCCTCAGCATCTGTGTAAAATGTATCCAAGAATTCGTTCAGCTCTTCCACCGCCTTTTCAACCCGTCCAATCCTCCTCAGAACAGATATCCGTCGTTTCCAGACAGCCTGCGAGAGGTGTTACTAGGATACGGAGAAGCAAACAGTATGAGCAACTCACAGCATTCGAAGGATCCATATTCATGAGCTCGTCATAGTAGCTCAAAACTGTGCTTGGCGATTCAGTTGCCTCCATCCTGATACCATTAAGCACATCAACTCGGGGCGAGTCTGGGAAGCGTTCGCCTAATTGCTTCAGGCATTGCTAGTTCACACAACCTTTCGTTAATGTCAAAGCGCGCACTTCAACAGTCCTAATGGTAAACGCACATCGGCTACATCCAATCGCCCTACGTCAATCGAAGCCAGGGTCAGTTGCTCGAGGAAAGCCCATCCTAAAATGCAAAACTTGTGTCAGTGACGTGTATCATGGTTCTAGCGAGTTCTTCACCGTCGTCGCCGAGATTTGACGTTTTTCCTGACTTTAGAACAAAGACGCCTTGCCGGAATACCTCCCGAGAGTCTCTTGTGTTATTTGTGCGATAAGACGCGAGCTTCTCTAGAGCGGACTGCAAGGACATGATGGATGTTGAGTGAAGATAGATCCGGTCTGGGCGGGCCGCAAGAGAACACAACGTGACAGTTCCCCAGAAGCACGTGCGAGATTTGTGTGGCGCGCGTTGGGGTTTTGACCTTATTTGTGCTCATGAAAAAGCATGAGGTAACAGGGACAGTCAAATGAACATTTATTCGCAATCCTCGAGGATACGACACCTTTCGAACTGATATTACATTACAGGATTATTATCCCCGTTAAGATTGCAACCGCCTGTAGAGAACGAGGACTCTTATTCCTCTTTATGGTGACGAGGTTTCATTGTCGGTCTTACAGTCAATGGGGTGCAGAAAGTACCAATTAATCTGACATCTGATGACATCGACAGCTACTTCTTCAGAATTGTCGAACGAGTCACAGACATTCACACGGGGAATAAGTAGAAGGTTTGCAGTCAAAGATGGCTCGGAAACATGCTATACAGCTAACGAGACCTCTTTCCTGGGTCACTCTGGGTCACTCCTATCCGACGCACCTTGATCTGGCCTAAGTAGTATTTTTCCCCTTCACTCCTGCGCAAACACGCGGCTTCGGTCAAAGGAGTCGCTGATGATGCCTCCAAGTGTCGACACTTTGATCATGAGGGGTTAGCATTTATGAAATGGTGAAGCGCGTGGGAATCCTTCGGAGATCCTCTGGATTGCATCGACCCCAAAATTGCGTTAAGAATCATTAAACTTCATGTTTTGCGCATTTTGCGTGCTTTCGCCTTTGTTGGCGAACCCGTCGAACTTCCTAGATGAGTACGAGGAATTTGCAGACCGAATAAACACCGTCCTCCATGCCGTACATTTCAGAAAGATTCTCTAAGAGTCCTTTGAAACCATATACACTGCATCCCAGAGTCTGAAGAGTATCAAATTTCTCGGACCAACCTCCTGTGACCTCCCTGCCATGTGACATGGGTCGATCGGAGTTTTAGAGGAGATCACCACCCGGATTAAGAGCGCTATTGTCAAGGTCCTCTATCTCTCCTTCGATATACGGCACATCATCCTGCGGCCTCCCCTCGCACTCGCGACTCTGCGAGTTTTTGAAAGCTTGAAAAGGCATCCAAATTTGAATGTCATGATTCACAACGCTTCTGGACTCGTCCATAAGGTCATAAATAGTATGGGTGTCCCCATAATTAGACCGACGCAATTTTACCTTTCCGTTTGGGAAGGACTTGCGAAAAGACTTGTCTTAAGACTTCAACGAAGATCATTGCTGAGATATCTTTGCCGCCGTGGCACACGGTAGTTTAAGACATATTTTGACACAAGCTACAGCGTTTATGTTCAATGATTAATGATGAAAAAATGTTGAGAAGAGCTCATATAAGCGCATGGATTATTAAGAGAGTGAAAGTGTTTGACCAGGTGACACGCGTTAGGCGCTCAGTAGGCCCCTATCTATTGGTTACGTAATGGTGATATTACTCATCCGTCTCTAGCCGAAAAGACCACACCCTGACCACACCCTTTTCCGCTCAGACTCTCAGATTCCAAGCTTGACAACCTACTACTTGTATTCATTTACTTGAATACACCGTCAAGTGTCACTCTAACCTCTATTCACCTATTCACTTGGGAAGAGCAGTCCAATATGGCCGCAATGGGCACTCCAAGCCGACAGGCCATCCTGATTCTCTATCACAATATGCTGCGAACCTCACATTCGTTCAGCTCGTATAACTTCCGCGAGTACTTCGTGCAGCGGACGAAAGACACGTTTCGAAAGATTCAGGTGTGTGTTGTGCTCCAACTTCCGAAAATCGGAAAGGAAGGGCTGATGGGGCGTTTTGTTTTTTCTCTGACATCGTAGAACGAATCAGACCCAGAGAAAGTCCGCTCGTTGTACTCTGAGGCTGTCAGGGACAGCACCGTCCTCAGGCGCAGCGCTCTTGTCAATCAGCTGTATGGAGGCTGGAAGCTTGCCGTCGAGGTGAAGGACGCGGAGAAGGATCCAAATGCAATCAAGGAGCGGTCAGATTCGTAGAGTCTCCAATGAGAGGTGCAGGTTGAAGTCAGAGGGGTGCCGTTGGGGGCTGGTGACTCACAGACTCTCGTTCGAATCGGATCGGAGCGAGTGCTGGCTGCAGGGTACGTCATGGTGACCTCGTTCCCCGTCAGGACGTATTGGCATTTACGTTCAGCTACGGTTGATGTATTCAGTATACATTTTACTTCGCGTAAACGCGATAGACAATGCAGTCAAGATACAGCAGGGGAGAGAAGAGTGGTGATGGAATTAGTATGATACAATCAATGACATGTATACGCTCTCCTCAAGGCTTTTCACTGTTCTGCGAGCTAGAATTGGAACTACTTGACCACCAACGCCATTTACCACTGCTTTTCAGCTCGTTGGAAGTTGCATTGGGGGCAGGAGGAGGCTGAGCGGGCCCCGATCCTACGTCCCTCTTCACGTCTGAGGTTTTCACTCTCCTCGTCCCAGCAATGCCGAACCCAGCCTCCACCTCCGTCGTCAGCTCTGCCTGCTTCAGCCGCTCCTCAAACTCGCTCCTCTCCTTCTCCTTCTCCGCCTGCTTCTCCTTTGACAACTCAGGTTCGGAAAGCTCGCCTGCAGCCTCCGCTGCAAGTCGAGCCTCTCGTGCCTTTTGTAGGGACATGGTGCCACTGAGGAGGGCGAGAACGGTCACTCCCTGTAGGACGACACGGGCACGCAGCCAGTAATTCATGTCCTTTGACTTGCCGGCGCGCAACTTCACGGCGGACATGACGAGGGCACCGCACGTTGCCAGGCAGCCTGGAAGAGGGGCATACCAGTCGGAGTGGGTCCAATATGGATGTGAAAGGAGTGCTCACCGAGTGGTACCCAAGGGTTCTCGTTGAACTTGCGTACGAACTTCTCACTCCATGTTTCTAGTGGGTCCTGATAGGCTCTAGGAGGAATGCTTGGAGTCGTCGTTGCTTCTGCGCTCATGATACCTCAAGTCTAGCCGAATGGTGCTTTGTTCAACTGCAGCTCTGAGGTCAGGACGTGGAAGATGTTGCTGGGAAACTATCGAAAAGCACATTCCCGTCTTAGTCGTCTTCACTAAAAGTAGCGGAGAAAGGACTCACGAGGGCCGATGAGTCTTTCCCTACAGCTTGAGACGCCCTTGGGTTGACTATGAGGTGCGAGTTGCGGCTAAGCCTCGGTGGGTGGTTAGAACCTGAGGATGAAGGGTATGGTTTTGGGCAAAGCCGGAAGGAAACATTTTGTAATCAATTTATGGTGTCGTGATTTTGAACAAGTCACGACGCTTGCACGATATTTCTTACGAATATGCGGGCTCACAAGATGCTCAGGCGAGCCTGGGCACGCCGCGACAATGCTGAAAATCGTGGTGGAGGTGGTATACATCGGAATGGTCTGTGGGAATCTGATGATGGTGGTCCTCGCTCCTCTCCTCATCGACTAGACCGTAAACCCATACTTAGATCAAGGTGCATTGGCCGTAGGTTGTTACCGCGATGATATTGCTTCAGGGGGTGCTCGAAGTCGGTCAAAGGGTCATCGATTTCTGCGTGGTCCTGAATGTTGCTGGACTGTTTGTCGCGCTCAACCACCATGCAACGTCGAGATGAACACGATCTCGTCCCCATCCTTCAACTTATAGTCCTTCAATAACTAGAATGCTCCCAATCGGTATCGTTAATCAAAACTAGAATGCCCGGTCGGCTATACAAGAGTGAGCGACAAAAGGCATCTTGAAAGTCCAGATGGGTACTCACACAGTCCCATTCTCCATGAACAGTTCCGGACGCTCCTTCAACAAGTGATCCTTCATATGGTATATCAGATATTCCACGTTGACGGGCTTCAGCTCCTTAGTCGACAAGCTTTCTGGGTCTGTTGAGTTGTCCTTCGGAACCTCGGACGGGATGCCGAGGCGGTGCGAACGCTGGTTGGAGAAGAGGAGTTCAAGTCCACCTCCGAATTCAATTTTGAGGGATAATTTGGACATGGTAGGTCGAGGAAGAGAATCGGTTGGGTTGCGATGGGGGGTTAGATAAAAGCAAGATAAATGGGATGAGGCAAGGGTTAACCAGATAAGATGAGATTCGGACTTTGCCGAACGGGATTGATCAAAGGTCAGTAAGCGCCCAGGTTTTGCTTTCAACCCTCTACGGTATACGAATTACAGGACGGGCAATGGTCCACCTCTTTTGGTCTCCTATGATGTTAAAATGTCGAGCATTTTTTTGATCATGATCAGCCCTCTCCAGCTCAGTCGGGAGCGACGACGACAGAGAGCGCACCGCTAAAATCCCGAAGTTTGAAGAGGACAAAAATCGATTACATGCAATGAGACATGCGTGGGCCTATTTTTCACCCGTATTCATTATACAACCCCACTGGACCGCCACTGTAGTTGCTTCAGAGAAATAGTTCATGATGCAGGGGAAAGTACTTCGAAAGTCACAGTTCTCAATTGTACAGTAGTGCTATGCTTATGGGTAGGATAATTAGGGATCTCAGCTTTCAAAGGTCCCTGCACTCGTAGTGCACTAGTGGCGGGTCCGCTGGGCTCCACTGAAAGGCTGGAAGAGATCGCGGTCATTGATTTTGCGGCCAGGGGCCGCGTTTTTTGCGCGATAAAATAAAGAACAATGGAACGCTCCTTACTTGTATAGCATACTTATTTCCCATCGAACACCCACCACAGGCCATGCCAATACTTGGCAGAATTCTTGGCACTAGGCTGGGTGACCGTGAGAAATATGGTCACAAGGGGAACAAAATGAAATGTGGCTCGGTTCATTCTGGTCTACCATTGCACAGCTCTTGTGTACACCAGAACAACCCATCTCGCAACCTTTACGCGCGTCGGCACCCTAGAATATTGCCCAGAAATTACCAGGGCACGAATTGAACTCCCAACGACACTCTGCATCTTCACCGGCGTCTTTTGACTATCCTCCCGATTTAAAGATGTCCGACTTCGAAGACGACATTGACGACCAACTCCTCGAGCTCGCTGGTGCAACCGAGAAGAAGAAGAAGGGGCGACAACACTCAAGTGGAAGTGCTGGCGGTGGAGGGAGTAAAGGCGCTGCAGGCAAGAAACGCAAGTAAGTGGTACCTTCATTACGAGGCATCGGTCCTAACGAGGTGATCGCCATAGGCACGTAGACAGCGACTCGGAGAAAGAATCCTTTGAAAGCGAAGAGGAAATGCAAGATCCGTTCCCGCTTGAGGGGAAATATAGGGATGAACAGGATAAACGAGAGTGAGTGGCGGCCTGTACCCCATAAGTCAGGGATTTGCTTTGCTAATTATTCCTATTGTCCTTCTACCATCATCGCCTATCTTGCATCGTTTCGCGATGG